CATGCTTCAATTTTGCAACGAGTTCTTCTTGTTGCTCCCTCTCGGCCTCCAGCTCTCTAGCAGCAGCATCCTTTGAGGCAGAGGCTTCACCGGCAGCCGCCTGTTCAGAACGCATTGCGTCAATAGACGCCAATGCTTTGTCGAGCTCTGCCAATGTCGCACTCAGTTCCTGTTCGGACGATTGCAGGGATTCAACGGCGTTGTGGTGTTTGCTCTTCAGTTCCGTGACCTCTCCTTCGAGAGAAGAAATCTTTCTATCTTGCTCTTCAGCGCACAGATCCTGGGCTTTAGCCGCTTCTTCCTGGGTCTTCAGGAGGCTCTTCAACTCTTCGATCTCGGCGAGAAGCTGCTTCTCTCTGGCGTCGTGTGATTCTTTCATCTCGTTAATGAGATTCTCTTGCTGCACCACTTGATCGCGCAGTTGATTGACCAGGCCCATGTCGACCGAGGACCCACCGCCTCCCTGCAAGCTCGACCTCTCACGAGTGAGTCCAGAGATGATGGTTGATTTTGTCTCCATTTCCTTCTTTACGCTTTGATTTTCGGCCTCCAGCGCCTGGATACGTTCCATGCGATTGTGTAGTTCGTGCATAGCCGAGTCGAGGTGGACTTCGAAGTTCTGCATGGTATCAGGGCGGGCCTCAAATTCCTCAACTGCAATATTACGCAAGGCGGCAAGGGAGCGGTGAGCCCGATCGACCGTACCAATCAGACTCTGACTTGTCTTCCTCCGGATTACAGGGGACTTGAAGCCTGGGGTGCTCGGCGGTGAAGAATTCTTCGATCGCTGCAGTTCGGCTTTCAGTGTTTCGATGAGGCTGAGGGTTCCTTCATGCTCCGATTGCAACTGGGCATACTTCTGCGACATGATGGAAACACCCTCCTGATGCTCCATGAGCAAACGACGCATCTGCTCCACTTCTTGAGCCTTCGCTTCATCTATCTCTCGAGTGTCGACGTGGTTCTCCTGCGGGACCTCGCCATTACTCAAGGTAGATTGCTCGTGCGAAGAAGCAGGCTCCCCGGCCAAGGATAACTCCGAAGAGAGTGATGGCGAGGACGACGGTTGTTTTCCATCGTTCGAGCCGGGGGCCTTGCCTTCCTCTAAAAAAGACACCGGGCGAGATTCGAGGTTGGTGGAGAGAAGGTCCTGAACCTTTTCGTCTGGGTGACGGGCTTCGTCGGCAGCGTCCCGTTGAAACTCCGCCAGGGCTTTCATCGCTTCCGCATACTTCGCCTCGAGCATTTCATACTCACTCACAGTAGATTCGTGCTGCATACGCAAGTCGAACAACTCCTGAGTGACCGTCTCAAGTTTGTCCGCAACGACCTTGGTTTGGGTGGGAGTAGAAGCTCGACTCGCACGGGCACCGTTCTCCTGAGCCTCCAGGCGGTCAGTAGCCGATTCTAGGACCTTCAAATTGGTCTCGTCTGTCTCAGCAGTCGCTTCAGCATCCACGGAAGCTTCGTGCACGGCTTCTGGGGCTGGCTCTGTCAAGCCTTCATCCGATTCGGGTATGGCGGTCTCCACAGCCTCAGTCAGGACATCGAGGGAAAGGGAAGTTGCCCGGGTGCGAGGTTTGTAGGCGCCCTTGGCGGGAACTGGAACATGAGTCTCAAGCTCGTCCTCGGACTGTTCCTTCTGGTTTCCGTTCTGCTGGACATGATCAAGCTCATACAAAAGGTTATCCAGTTTGCCCAGGCTGCGCTGGCGCTCAATAACATGCTCCAAGCGCTCCATTTCCCTTTGCATTAGCTCCATATCTTGATCAGCTTCGGCCAGACGCTCCTCCAGCGTGGAAATATAGTCTTCGCAGTTGGCTTCGCTTTCGCGGGCTCGACTCAGCTCCTTCCGAAGTTCCGCCACGATAGCCGCCTGCTTCTCTTCACCAGTAGACTGGCCATCAAGCCGCGCTTCCAGCTCATGCAGATAGGTTTCTGTGCTGCTTTCACGGTCAAGCAGCTTCTGAATCCGCGCCTGTAATTGGGAGTTGACAGTCTCAACGTATGCGCACTTTGTTTCGCGTTCGAGAAGCGTGCTCTCCGTCACTGAGAGCGAGGACCTAGTGTTAGAAAGAGACGACTCAAGGCTCTGAATAGTCTTCTCGTACTCCAGGACGACCTGCTCGATCGACTCTGCAAACGATTGTGATCGCTTCAGACGTTCAACAGAAGTTTTCCCGACCAAGCTGACCACATCATTGGGGTCTGTCTCGCCAGCATGTTCGGAGTCCCTAGCGATCTCCGAGATCAATTTCGCATGACGTTGGCTGAGAGCGTTGTAACTCTCTTGGGTATCGAGGAGCTGATTCTGGAGCTCGACCTCCCTCTCGTTCTGTCGCTCCGCTCGATCCTGTGGGGCAGCGCTTCGACGGCCGTTCTCTTCCGCATTACGGAGCTGCTGGCGCAAGAAAGCGACCTCCGCCTTTAGTCGTTCAATAACTGCGTGCTTATCGCTTTCGTCGGCAATCTGCTGGATGCGGGGCTTGCTTTGGATCGCTCTGGCTCTTTGAGCATACTGAACCGTATTCACGGTTTCACTGAGATGGAACTCCGCAGGGTTGACACATGCGATCATGTATGTATAGGCGTTACCACCCAGAGAGTCCTGGAGCAGTCGTGTGAGCTTCGAGTCACGATAGGAGACGTGAGCGCCGGCCTGGCGAGAGGATAACTGCGAAATGACCTTGCCCAAGGCAGCAAGGCCCGCATTAATAGAGATACCCTCCTTTGCCCGTTCACCAGAGGCCCCAGTGTTCTTCAACCTCTCACTTCCTGCTAAATCCACGAAATGGAGCTTGCTATCCACCATGACAGAGGCATCAGAGCCAGACATCATTTCCACTGGCATCGACATGCGCTTGTCTTTGGGTGTCGGGGACATGACTCCGTTGGATGCCTTCCGCTGAACAAGGTTCAGACTGAAAACCGCGTGCGATCGAGAAGACTTGGCGTTAATCGCGGTGGAATCAGTCTGCCGGATGGAGGAACCGAAGCTAAGAGCACCCATCAGATCTTCATATGAGTTAATATTCACCTGATGTAGACCCGTGAGAATAATACGTCCTTTGGCATCCTCACGGATGGTGACCGTGCCCCGGTCGCCCTGATGTGTCGATTCAGGCACAAGGAGATCTCGCAATTGTTCGTTGTAGATCTGCACACGTCAGTATCTTCAAATCGCGAAGCAACATTCGATGTGGGGTCACAAACTTCAACGTAGGTAGCCTTCAGCTGCCAGTTCTTCTCGACGCTAGCTTTCCCAAAGCTGGAGGCGGAGCCGACAGAATAGCGGGATGGAGTACGAAGGCCTGTGCCGCTGTTGCGATTCGGTTTGGCAGGGCCCTCTAGTTTTTCAAAGAGAAGCTGAGCCGCCCGAGGAATGATTCCTATCTTAGGTCAGTCGAATGCGCCGCAGAGCGCGCGATTCTCAGGGAGGACGAACCCATCGATCTCGGGTCACTTTGTTCACTGGGACCCGAAGTTCCCATGGTGTAGGACTTTCCCGCGCCGGACTGGCCATAGGCCAGGATGGAGACATTGTAGCCCTGTAGAAACGAGCTCACACTATCGCTGAGGTAGTCCCAGACACCATCCTGATCGACCGTCTCAGCGAACACACGGTCAAAAACGAACAATTTCCGGCCCTGTGGGACATCGATGGCAACACTGGTGGGATTGGTGACGTGGACCATGGGACGCTGGAAGCGCTGGGGAACCAATTCATATCCGGGGTCGGTTGGCTTCAGGGGCGGTCGCACTCGAACAGCTAGGAAAGTAATCAGTATGCAGAGCTATACTCGTGAAGCCGCGCACGTGGGGCGTTTGAGGCGCCGAGGCGAGCGGTATCCGCAATACCGCATCTGAACCAGCTCAGCCCCAACGGGCGCACGCACTGAAGGGAATAACGCACCGACTTTGACCGCAGTTTTCCCATCCTCATCCGATGCCCGACTTCCTCCACCGTGTCTACTGCTCATACTCAAGCGACTGGTGCTTCGGGGGGTCCGCATGATGCCGCTGAAAGGACGCTGAGGCGCATCCGCTGGCGATTCAGGCTGAGAGCCCGTCATGGCACTTTATACGATTGCAGGCCAGGAGGAGGGGGGGAGGAACGGGTTGGGCAGAGACAGATCGGCGAATGGTGGACAGAAATATGTTGATTGGTCATGAAACGGAGGCGGGAGTCATCAGTCACGAATCGGTGCGCCAAAAGTGCGAATGTTCACTCTCGGTGTCCTTTGATTAGGATTATTATTTATGTGGGCGGTTCCGTCGCGTGAGATGGCGGCCTGCGGCACTCTGCGACGTCAAGCGGTCTCTAACCTGCAGGTACAATAAAAAGCGGGAAGGTTCCTATCGAAACAGTGAAAGCTGGTTAGAATGGGTGAACGGGAAAGGCGGGAGATGGACCGGAACAAGTGAATTAAGGTAAGGGGAAAGGGGACATAATTACAGGAGAGTGTCCCGACCAGAGTGCGAACAAAGGGAGGGAGCAAACAGTTCGGACACTTACAGAGAGGCCGACAGAGAAAGAGAAGAGAGAGAGAGAGAGAGAGCGCGAAGCTGCACCACCGGCGGTCACCGCAGAGGGGCTTAAGGGCAATGACAGAAGGGAGTGTGACAGGGAATGGACAGGAAGAGTTCCCCGGGTCTAGGCAGTACCAGCCAGGTAGAAAGGTATCTCTACGCACCCAGACTAGAAATCCGAGAAAAAACACCCAGGTGGGAGAAGCTGTCGCGGAGAGGAGGAGATGGAAGAACTCCTGAGCGGCGAGCAAAGTTAATTGGTGGCATCAAGGTTGAAGCGAACCGGGATGGGGCTGGGCTGGGGCGTTGGCCCAAGTCGGCCGCTTTACTATGTTGAGCTGGACTGAAGTGGAAACAAGTGGACGGTGCGAAGTGGCAAAGGAGGGCCGGCCAGCAACGGCGCTGCGGTGAATATTAGACTAATACTATTAATGAATGGAGAGAGAGAGAGAGAAAGAGAGAGAGGAGAGAGACGATAGGAGGGGTTCAATTGATGGCACGCGGAGTTACCTCCAATTCCTGTCGGCTCTCTCTCTTTCTCTCTCTCGGTCTCTTAATACCTGAAATCTACTTTCTAATCTGCTTGAAAGTTGAAACAGGTCATAAAAAGCAGCCAGGTAAAAATAGTACCGCAGCTGAGACCGTGGTTCCTGACCATCTTCCATTGACGATCCAGCAATCAAGGGCCAGACTGCATGACACCCACAGCCAAAGCTGAAGAAAACAACAGATTGTCAGTCAGGCACCGTCCATGCAATTGGGATTGACCCTCAGGAACCAAGTCCCGTACGCCTTCCGGTATGGCCGTTACGACGCCAGGGGCAGAAACCCACACCCAAAACCCACCCACCAGCCCAGCTGTCGGGGTCCAGAACGCACCTCATGATCCCTACTTGGTGGCTATCTATCGTCGCGCTTGGTCCCTGGATCGCAATTTGTGGCTTGTCCAGATCATACACTGAAGCGATCGGTGGTGACCTGATGGTCGACAAAAGAAAGCATACATATATTCCACATCATCCCCATCCGTTCGCCGGTAATAAAAAAGAAGCATTACGACTCACGAGCGGTTCCCGTATTGCCGACAGAAGTTGTTCCACGGTTCGCGGCGGATGGATTGCAATTCAGGAACCGAAACGGAGTCCGGAGTGCCACCTTTCCCAACCACATGGGGGTAAGGAACTCCATTCTTGTCATTTTTAGACGTTTCAGATTGGGAAGCTGCTGGGGATTCGCAGCTGAGGACACGACACCAGCACCAGCATCACTTTTTGCCATCCACCACTTGCTTTTTTACATTAGTTGGACAACAGCAACAAATCTGGTAACTAGTAGATTGTCATGCAGCCGGATCGTGAAAATTGTCATCCACAGGGCAGGGAAAAAGAAAGCAGGGGAAGCCAGACCAAATTAGCAGAAACCCCCGAGAAAAAGAAACGATAAGGAAAAGCACCCCAGAGAGCAAAGTGCGAACCCAGGCGACCAGGATGAAAACTTAACTTTAACCCACCATCTCCTTGACATCACATGCCTTTCAAGCGGATAGGACATTATAGGGTGAACAGGGGGGATGTCTCTCCCTCCCCCATTCCACGTCCACCGCTTGACACCAGTGTCAAGTGTTTTAGTTTAGTGATTAAACTACTGGAGACCGTCAAATGTGACCGGCAAACTCAGGAACCATCTGCATCGGGACGACGCATCGCATGCGCATTTCCCTCCCCAAGCCGGTAAGGTCAGTCAAGGCAAGCGAAATGACGACCTACCAGCCCAGCCTCCCAAGCCTGCACGGTCGGATAGGGACATGTGCGTCCAGTGCGTACCCTCTAGTCAGAGCCAGTCTGCTCGAAATGGAGAAGCTTGACCCACGGGTGTTACAGTCTGTTGCTTGAGTGCGGGTCAACATGGTGCCATGGAGGGCGTGTGCGACAATCCATACCCATTTGAAGAGTGGATTAATTGCTGTCCGAGTGGACACTAGACCGCGACTTAGCCAGTTAGCCTCCACCGGCAATGGATTAAAGGCTATGCTCCATCACTAACGGTCGTGCGATCGCAGTGGAAGAGGAAGAGATTGGCATCTGTCTTTAGTTAGCAGGCTACTGCTTTATGAGTGATAAAATGATAGCGCCTGGCATCCTTCATCTCGGTCGGGATACGTAAGTTCCCCCGACCGCCTATCAGCATCACTCTACGAAATTAATCCGGTTCCCCAATATTAGGCACTTTCAGTATCCCCGACCGGAACGTGGGAGCTGGCCCCAAGCATAGATCATGGATCATGGACGACATATGCAGATGAAAAAGACACTAAGTATTATAAATAAAGGAACATTAGAAATCAACCTGCGAGATTATTCCATTGTCGCAGACCAGCTAGCCCATGGCAATTGTCTCTTTTGTCAACTACTCGGTAGGGTATAGTTCATTCTACTTCGGGCCCGAGATGCATTGAGACTGTTTCAAAGATGAAGCTGAGATGGCTTGGGTGACCAAAGGCAATCTTGTACAACAATCTGCCAAGCTGGGTGCGCTAATCTAGATCAGGCACGAGAGGCTGTATACCTTGTCGGAAACCAATTCAGATGACTTCTTGCCTTTACTGTGTCCATGACTTGACCCTCTAGTTGTGATGCAATGAATGCATACAGTTCATTCAGAGTCGGACTTCTAATCCATGGAAGCGCCCAACCCTTAAGTGTGCAGATCTCTCATCTTCAAATAGCTCATCGGACGTTGACAAAGTCGGGGGTCGCAAGCTATGGCAGACTCAGGAAGAGCAATACTTGGGTAGCACATATTACATTCATTGCATGCGAATTCCGCACGAGTCCGACAATATATATCCTAGTATAGACGAGGTCCTACTCCCTATGACATACAAATCCCAGTGAGCCAACACCGCTCCTATTTCAAATCGTTCCAATTTCTGCATAGTGATATACGTAACCTCTATACTCGTTATTCACTTCTGCAACCAGCTATAAAACCTCACAATCCCTATTTCATCATAGCATCATAATCTACCCGCCTTGTCGTCAAGAACAGAGAAGTGGATGCTACTATATCTCGAGCCAAGCCGATTGACCGATCTATCAATCAATAACACCATAACCCACAAAATAGGATTCAACGGCTCATTGATTGCCAATGAGCCAGGGGAAAGGGATATCCGACCGAAAGTTATTCTTCTTTGAGGTAGATACCGCATAAATTTCTGGAGGTGCCTCATTTGTTTCTCACCTGCCGCGAGCTCGTTATTCTATAAAAATCGGACCCGATGGGAAGGAACTTGTTTACGACAATTCTCTTCTGAAAGTAACCCATGTTTATAATTAGTAGTAGGCTTGAGCACGGGCAACTACTCCTACCCAATATATATAAAATGGGGGTCAGTCCATAGTACTAGGGAAGTACTACTACTAATCGGTATCCCCACATAACCACCCACATTAACATTATACACTCAACATTATTCCACAGAACCGAACCCATCCATCATGATACAAAGTAATAACCTAATTAATAAATCAAATAAAACCCTCAATAGCGCTCCCAACCCGCCTATCCCAATGATACTCTTCTATTCCTCATCATCTGATTGGTTGGCCCCTGAACTTTCCAACGGCCGATCTTCACCCGGCAATCGGCACGTATATCTCCAGCAGAGTAACGATCGTCGAATACGACCATTTTGTCCACTCTTCACTCCTCCACCGACCCAAGTCTTTTCTATTGCTTTTGTATTGTTCATCCACGGCAACCATGCCAATATTCATTTACGCTATTATTCACCTATATTCTAATATCGAGACTCATTGGAAGAAAGGAAGGAAGGGATGATAAATGTTTTTCCAGGTTTAGATATCTCCTGCTCATCACAAAACGCCACAGTTGCCTATCCGTATCAAACCCCCAAACTCAAAACTGAACCTGCATAATCACCAATGCACGATTGTGAACTTGTCACACCCGCACCCCCATCCACATTCAACCATCTCCAATCCTATCTTGAGAGTAACTACTCCGTACTAACAGTGTAAGCAGCTTAGAACCAAAGACAATAAACTCAATTTCCACCGATCAACCTTGTCACTTCGCATTTAGAGTGGCAGCCTCGTATCGAGATACTCTTCCTATTGCGTATCATTGTATGGCCTTACGGGGGGCTCTACTATAAATCAAATCCTTTGCTTAATGGCATAGCAAGTAGCTTCCTTCCTTTCAGTATTATACTATTTTCGTAGACTGTACCTGCGTTTCAATCACAGGAGAGGAAAAAGTGATACATGGCCGATGGCCGAAGGAATGAAAGCAAGGATGCAGATGCATAAGAAGGTACCTTACTTAAGTAATAAGGTTTATGCAAGTAAGGGGTCGCGTTAAGTTAAAGTTAGTCAACGCTCAGGCAGATGACAGGACATATTTGTGGATAGATAGATGGATGGAATGATAGGATATATCAAGTAGCGTACCGGTTGCAAGGTAGATAGATCTACCTTGGAGGCAACTAACTTTGTACTTATATGCACAACTTCGGAGGGATGAGGAGATAAAGCATGATTCTAAAATAGATAGATCTATCGGAGAATACGACTGACGCAAACGCAACAACTTTGTAAGCCACATGGGTCACTGGGAAGGCAACTAACTAGTCGGGTGACTAACTAGAAGCCTGTGCAATAATCGATCCCTGGCGAATGATAATCCACAATGGGATAGAGATAGATCGCATCTTATCTAGATCAGTCTCATCGTTTCATAAGTGGCGTTGCCCTATGCAAGGGGACCGCTAGATCGAGATCGAGATCGAACGGTGGATGACAACCCAGGTGGATACCGAGATAAGACATTGTAAGTACGCTTTGGCATTTGCAACTAGAACTCGCACTATTCAATAATCCTGATAAAAGGTATGCGCTATGACATTTTCATTTGAGGTTTTCAATAACACCCTCCAACAATGTTCATGTGTTTCCTTTCCTGTTAACCTTCCATTATGGCGTCCCGGACTTGATCTTTCACTGGGGCCTCGGGTGCGTTAGCAAGCACCCATGGTAGCTCAATATCCGTAGGCGATATGCAGACAGGGTAGCCTTTGACTTGATCTTGTGTATACAGAAGACCGTTCACACACAGACATCCAATGAACTGCCAGAGTCTATGACACATGTTGTACGTAGAACCCCGCGGTATTCTCAGCTGCATATCGTTGAGTACCAGGCGTATATGTTGATAATAACCCAGCGAGTTCATGTTGCGCCCATTTAGACCGGTAATGTTATCCACGGTATCTGTGAATTGCCGGAGTAGGAAGTTCGGTATCCGCCGCGGCTTCTGCGTTGCTAGAGTTCGAATAAAAGTGTGAAGAGCGACATCCGCTTTCTCAATAAGCTGACGCTGAGTTCCAACGTGACGAATCAATGAAGCGTATGCACTGGGAGTGAGTATGTGCTCAGCGTTGTGGAACTCGTTCCGCCCCCAGTATTGCGCCATTCCGACCAAATGGATGAGACATTCGCGGTAGAGCTGGGCACACTGAATGTCTTGCGCCATTTTAGTATAGGCGAGAATATCGTCAGTAAGGCCAAGGAGGGGCTTAGAGGTAAGAGTCCAGGGAAGTATAATCTTCTCAATATATTCACGCACTCGGGGTACTGCCTGGAAGCGTATTCCGAGCAACACCATCCTTCGCCATCCTTTGATGCCAACATATGGTACAGGCTTGAGATATAACGCTTGCAGGAAGCAGTGGAAGGACTCAATGGCGCTCGGGATACGCTCGTCTGGTATTTCGGGATAATCGCGGTAATATCTCTGCAGAGTTATGCCACCTTGTCAGCGAACATTGGACTCGAGTATAAAGAGCGACTCAGCATACCGCTCCCTTTCGGTAGATCCCCCAGCCACCATCTTTCTCAGTTCTCGCCTCGAAATAGTGTACGCGACGCTCGGCATACTCGCCGCGCTGCCGTTCCTTCCAGATTCCAGTGTACTCCTTGATTAGACTTGAATGCGTTCGAAACTCCTGTCCAAAGATATCGATGTGAGTGTCAGTGGGGCCTTGCTCATGCGGGCCGCAGAGAACAGGGACGCTGATTTTCTGTTCTCTCAGTGACTTGAATGGGTTATCATTGAATATCTGGGCTAGATCTGGGACAATATCGTCTGCAACTGCAGGGCTCAGGCAAGGGATCTCCATAAGCGACTCTGTGAGGTAAAGAACGGAAGGTGTAGTCTATAGGGACTGTAAAGATAGTAATCATGTATGACAGAATGAGGTGTGCTTAATCTGGTAGATGTCAGCAATTTCAAGGATAGGCAGCCAGGCATTCTGGGACTTTGCAGAACCATGGAAGCATAGACTGGACAGGGCTGATGTTTATTGCCTATTCAAGCAGGCGGCGCCCTTAAGCTTTCCTCTCGCATCTGTCATGATATCAAATCTGGAAATATGCTTGTCTCGCATACGTCAGTGCGGTTAGTACCAAACATTGTCCTTCTAATAGTGACTTCGATGCAGGTAATTTCTGCTACTTGTGGAAACGATTCTCGCCTGTTTTGTACTGGGAGTTTCTTCCCCGAATGTTAATGATATACCTGGCCATCGGATGAGCTAAAGATACCGTATAGGTGGCCGAACCAACGGCTCTGATGCGCAGATCCTTCTGTATGTGATAAATTGACCTTGGCATCCCGGCCGATGGATCAGCCATGGGACTTTATCTGCTGTTGAATTACATCACGTTTTGGCTGATAGTCAAACTGCTTCATTTCATGATTCGTGTTGATACTATTTCCGGCGATAACCTTCGGGTCAATTCTTGTTTATTTTGATTGCTGGTATCGCCCAATATCTCGTCCGGTCCGGAGTATGATGCTGAAACCCTTCAAATGAACGCGGTCAGTTACGCACAAGCACGTGTTTTGGCCTAGACAATTCACACGTGATTATGTCTGGCCTATTGGCTTTATACATATATCTTATTTTCATTGCAGGGATAATTAGGTCAAGTATTTAGCGATCATGCCATACATGGATAAAAATATGTGGCAATATCATTATACAGTCTTCCAGGAGGTATCACCTTTACGGATAGTTGTTATTATTTCACTCAAATTCTACGTCTGGACATTCAAACTCCTCTGACAACACCTCTACCTCCGTGTGAAAAGCTGTAACGCAATGCCTTCAAGCGCCAGATTCTGAAGTCATGGATAAAATAACCGCAGAAGCCCGTGACCAGTCAATTTCCCAATGCAGCGTCCATCAACTACAGCTCATCAGAGCGGCCAACAGACAGCGGACCTTTCTTGACCATGATGGTAAGAACCTCATAGAGAACATCTGCAGCGGCCCTGTTATCATGAAGCATCAGTAAACAAGTCATAGGGTGCTTGATGCAAGTTTGCCATACATAGTAGAAAGCTCAGCATTTGTATCATAAGCAGGTGCAACTTCAACGATGTCCGCACCGATGAAGTTCAATCCATCCAGTCCACGAATGATAGTGCGGAGCTCACGCGTCGACCAACCTCCCGTTTCGGGTGTCCCGGTTGCCGGTGCATCTACATACGCTTGTCAGGAAAGCCATGGGAATGCATTGCTGGAGATGACCTACAAGCAGGATCAAGGGTATCGATATCAATGGAGAGGTAAACAGGGTTCTCGGTACCAACCCTCTCCCTTATCTTCTTGATGATGCCATCCGTTCCTGTCAAAGTGTATGTTAGTGGTGTACATAGAAGGTGACTGCACAGATGTACCAATAGTATCAATCTCTCTAGCTTCAACGATTTCGAACCCACAGTATCCGTCGTTCTCGTAATCGGATGGACCGGAAAGCGTAGTGCGAATACCGGCGTGGATGTTGGTGTCGTTCTTCAGCAGGCCTTCCATCGCGGCGTGGTAGAAGTAGGTGCCGTGGTTAATTGCGGCGACCTGACTAGGTGAGCCGCCGAATACCTTTGGCTTCCAGGAATCCCTAGGCATAGTGAGCATTGGTTTCTCCGAATCCAGGAGTCAAACATACAGGTGGCTGTCAAAGTGGATAACAGTAACAGGTCCGTAGGCCCTATTTATACTGCGCAGCAACGGCAAGGTAATGGTATGGTCACCTCCCAGGGTGATGATGCGTGGAAGGGTCTTTCCAGCCTTGGAGAGTCCGTACTTCTCAGCATCGGTGAATGGTTTGCGCATTAGAACACTATTGTGACCCTCTTCAATCTGTTGGATAGCCCAGGCGTTGTCATAACTGTTTGCGTCAGAATTTTGCTATCCCTCCCGTGGTGTGGGAACCATACGATGTTACAGGGATATCTCCGCAATCCAGGACTCTCAGATCGCTGACAAAAGGGTTCGCTTGCAGAGGCACATTATACCCGCCACTGAGAAGAAGTATAGATGAGCATCAACGCCGTCAGGGATATTCATGGCAAGGTATAGCGTACTAGAGGTTGAGGCGGCGAGATCCTTGTCGGATTCCGCTGGGTCCGAATCTTGCTCCGGGTCTATACGATGTACCAGTGTCAAAGGGAGCACCTGTTCAGTTAGTATGTATGATTATTGTCTTGTTGTAATACTGGATGAAGAGGGGGGGGCAGCATACCGATGAATGCAATGTCATATCTCTCGGCTTCGCTGGAGAGACAAGGAAAGTAAGGCAGCCGGCCAAAGGTAGAGATGCCAGAGAAGACAGAGTCGGCCTGGCTTGTCAGCCAATAGATAAGTACGAGCTCAATATGAAATCACTGACCTGAGTGCCACCATCTCCGGGGAGTGTATTGTACCACAACCTTTGGTGCGGTCCAGCCAGAGGAGTCTGGTCATGACTGCTGTGGGCAGTTACGATACCCGAGAGAGCAAGTAGGCTCACAACTGAAAGATACATTTTGGAAAGATACCTTGGAGGAAAACTTAGTATCAATTTGATTGAAGAAAATGATGATCCAGGCAGGCTTGCAGGGAGGGGATAATTATATGCTTCCATCTGCGTCTCCGCTAGTTGGCTTCCCCAACCATCTCTCCTTCCAGTCCCCGCATGCCCTTTGGTTTCAACGACCCTTGGTTACACCGACCTTTACAGTACGCACGTTGAAGCAGAGTATGGATGGACAGAATGGCAAACCCCACGGTATGATCCCTATTGATGACCTGTCTGTCCGAAGTTTATACTCGAGTATTGGATATCTGACTATGTCCACTCACAGTACTGAAGATTACAGTCTACCAATTCCTTCTCCCAGGACCTTCCAGAATGAGTGAATAACTCGAGAACCTGGGAAAACCGAGTGGGGTACGACATCATCAGATGTGCATCATCTCTTGAGGTGTTGTAGTTGTGGGGTTGTGGGTATCATGCGAAGTCGAGATCTGTTCCATGGGCTAACGTCAGATGCTTGGCCAGTAGTATAAATTCGAAACGCATGAACGATCAAAACAGGAAGGCCGGAGGAGAAGATAGTGGATGCTTCAGTGCATCAAGATCTTACACTGAAGCCTGGAACTAGTCTCATAGTATAATTCTAATCTACCGGGGCTTATCGTGCTGGTGTTCCACGGAGATAGCGGCCGGCATTTCTTATCAGCAACGCTGATCTTCATTCTGTGACGTGGGGACGGCCGAATTCCAGAACACTACTCCGTAAATTGACAACCAAGATAATTCGTACGATAAGCGTCCGATATCGTTCTCGCTTAAGAATTGAACAAAGAGCTGACAACGCTAAGGCTACCCATTCAAACTCTCTCGACCTTCCTTTTGGAGATACTAGATAGAGACCCTGCGTGGACTTTGCATGCTTCATACTTGATCTAGTTTATACCTATCTGCATTGCATATTACACAACAGTCGTGGCACCATTGGTGGTGTGTCCAACCTCCAATCGGTCATGGATATCCATTCGCTGAAACGCCTTATCGACCTCGCCTTCCCAGTTACTGAAGGCCACGATTGTCCACTCCAGTGCCCCCACGAGATACAATGCGATGCACTGTCCCACCCAAAGACCTTTCAGTCCCCATCCATTGAAGGCTAGCCAAATACCTAGAGGTAGTGCACCACAATAATAACTGGCCAGGTTGACTAGCGCGCCGACATGCTGTCTTCCCATACCCCTAAGGCTTCCTCCACAGCTACCGTTCAATCCATCGGCGATCTGGAACAACGCCACCCATGGTAGAACCTCCGCAGTGAGCTGTACGACCCCTTCATCGGAGTTGAATATCTTTGCAAAGACGTGTCGAGTCCCCATCAGCACAGCCAGCACGGCCCCTCCCAGCGCCATACTTAGCCAGGCCGCGGTGTTGGCCGCTCTCGATGCACCAGCTGCATCCCGGGAGCCTAGCAGGCTCCCCACCCGTGAAGATGTAGCGACTCCCACGCCAAATGGGATTGTGTTGAGCACTTGGTCTGCGGTCATGATGACGCTCTGAGCCGCCAGTGGGATTGTTCCCAGCCTTCCGGCTGCAAGAGCTACTATCTCAAAGGCCCACCACTCGGTGCCTACATGCACCACGCCCAGAAAGGCCAATCTGGCGAAAGTCCCAAGATTCTCGAATGCTTTGCGCGACCAGCCGCCCCAGCATTCGGAGCCGGCAATGAATCGGGCATACAACACGAGCAGTGCAAAGGACAGCCAGTAGGAAATGCCGGTGGCAAATGGCGCACCAAGCAACCCCATGCGAAAGGTGTAGCAGAACAGGTAATTGAGCAATGCATTAAATGGCACCGTAATCAGCAAGACATACGTCCCAGGGCGCATAATACCTGCATCTTCTCATCAACAAAACTTCCCGGAGATATGATGTCTGAGAAGCACGTTGGAAAAAGACTTACCCTGTGCTTGCAGATATTTTTTCATGGCCTCGAAGTAGATATAACCCAGACCGCCAGGGATCAAGCAAGTTAGGAAACGCGCACTATCCCGTGAAAGCTGGGGGTCCTGGCCAAGCAGAAGAAACACAGGCTCCGAGCATGTCCAAAGAATTGCGACGGGGACATAGAACAGGCCGAGGACAAAGAATGCCCGCTGCAACAGAATTCCGAGATCATGCTTATTCGAGCTGCCTGTGAACGTTGAGGAGGCTAGTGTGTCCAATGCGGTGGTCCCGCCTAAGGCGATCATCCATGCCGTGACCATGGCAAACATCAGTGAGAAAGCTGTGGTGGCCAGGTTCTCCGGAGAGGTCCGTCCCACAATCAACACCGAGGTGGTTTGTAGGCTGTTTTGCAGCGTGTATGCCAGAATGACTGGGATGGAGTCCTTCAACAGCCGGAAAAATTCGACCAGAAAGGAAACCGATGATTTTGTGCTTTTGGAGTCGGGGTCGGTGTCGACCTGCTTGGGAAGTAGTGGCGTATGTTCCTCTCCATGAGTGTGCGCGGAAGAAGTCTCCCGATAGCTAGGAAGAGAGTCGTACATTTTGCAATGACAGTAGACACACAGGGCCCAGTCTTTGGAAGAAAGGAGTGTTGTTTACCTGGGGGACAACATGGACTACGATGGTATTAAAGCCTTCAAGTTTGGAGAACAACATAGCTGAACGCATTCAAAAGCACAAAACAGCCCCTTACCTCGTAGAAGCAGTCTGTTACTCAAATGGCAACCGCGCAGACCAGCAAATGATCCACCACGAGCTTATCCAGATCGGGATCACTGACCCACCAGGAGAACTTAGTCGAGCTGCATGTCAGCGCAGAATGATCCAGAGGCGGGGCTGCCTCTTTCTCAAGATATTCACCTCTTTGGGACGAGCGTGGGGGACTGGACAGGAAATGCCATCCACCCTTGCATGATCCGATATCGACCCGAGATGTCGAGACTGACATCATGGTGTCAATTCAAAGACTGTCTAGCCTTTTGATGCCCAATATTACAGATTAAGATGTCTACTTCTTACGCAATGTTAGTCCCTTATCTGGGATGCAAATCAGAGGCTATCAAGTATGTGCAGCATCTGATACTGAGTTGTACTCCGATCTATTTGAGTCCCGCCGATGGATGGTTCCCCAGACGGGGTCTGACTGGCTTAGCTTCTTGCTCGTATCTGTTGCAAGAAAGATATTATTGATTCCCTATGCGGGAAGAAGAAATGGAAGAGTGCGTGGTACTGGGAAGAGAAATATGACTTCAATCGCCTGGATTATCTGGATTTACAGAGATATTCCACCATAGATTTGCGATGGTCATAATTGGCAACATATATGATGTGAGCATCAAGATATTCACGGAGTTGCTAACGTAGGGATCCTAGCCAGCAAAAGTAGCAAGAAATGTCCGGAGAATGCATATACAATTTGTAAATAGAATGCACATACTTCGTTACCGCAACGGGTTAACGTGAGTCGCTTCCAATTTAGCCAGAACCAGGCCGAGAAGGCTATAATGCAGTCTTTAAGACCAGGGTCCGATTCGATTCGCTCGTCCATCCTAGTACATCCCGTTGATGATAAGCAGCGGAGATATCCTTCAGGCTGGTGATTCGATGTTCGCTTGAGGCTGTTACTGATAAGCCTTGTTTCATACTGCAATGGCATCATTCAACTTCACCTGTCGACTGCCCTCCCCTCATGGACTCTTATATATGCACCTCATTCAAAAGGACCATGCATTGGCAAAATTGCCTCATGGCTATACTAACGTACTCATAATCAATATAATTACACACAATGAATCTCAAGCTTACCCAGATAGACCTTGTCCCTGTTCCCGAGAAGCAATCCGCCAGCGACATCGACAGCCTCCCCGTTGAGCAACATGGCACGCACACCCACCCCGCGCCTACTTCTGACCCTCTGGATCCGCTTAACTGGCCCCGTTGGCAAAAGCATGTGATTCTGGGTATTGTCATGCTCAAGTGCGTACTACCTGATCAGTCCAGAAGAACTCACAGATTGACAATGAACAGGTACTTCCTTTTCACCTACATCACAACCACCACTGTCCCCTCCTTCGCAGAAATACAATCACAGTATGACATCAACTACTCACAAGTCAACTGGACCGTTGCCATCCCAGCTCTGGGCTTATCGCTTGGACCACTCTTCTGGTCCTCAGTTGGTGACATCTACGGCCGCCGCATTGTCTTCATCGTGGGAACTGTCATCGCTTTAGTTGCTACAATTGGCGCTGCTGTGGCAGACACATATGGTGGGTATATGGCTGCTCGGTTCTTCCAAGGGTTTGGAGTCAGCCCTTCATCAACAGTGGGGATGGCAGTTGGTAGGTCACCTCTCTTCAGCATGCATTGCACTGATCCAAACAGCTAACGGCACAGTCACTGATATGTTCTATGAATACGAACGTGGCCAGAAACTCGGCTTATGGGTACTTGCTCTTGATTCGGGTCTGCTTCTAGGCCCAACCTGTACGTGATACCATTCACTGAATCATTATGACCTCCACCTATTGACGTTAATCAAGTCGGCGGGTTTCTTAATCTCGTCAGCGCACAATGGATCAACTGGTTCAACGCCATTCTCTTCGCTGCACTTCTACTTCTCGAACTCACACTCATGCCTGAAACCCTCTACCCGCGCGCTTTGATGCTCCAACGCATGGCAGTCACCGAGAAGCCAGCAGAGTCGAATGCAGGTATAGAAGAAGCAGAGATAAAACGCACCAAGTCGCTTCCGTTCTTCAACCTCCGTCCCATCCCAGGTCTCTCTCATCCACCTATCTATGCCTCTCTTACCCGGTTCCTCCTTACATTTCGCTTCCCAGTCATCCCCGTAGCTGTCCTCGGGTACTCATTCACATGGTACTGGTGGATCCTGTCCGTGATCACCATGGTCCCGTCTGCATATGCAACGGACTCGCCTCTCATACAGGGATTACTATTCCTGGGCCTACTGATCGGGACCCTAGTAGCAGAGGTAAGCTGCTCAGGACGACTGAGCGATGCCATCGTGGGGCGATTAGCAAAGCGGAACGGGGGGGTTCGGGTCCCAGAAATGCGATTATGGCTAGCATATCCAGCCATTGTCTTGACTGCTGGTGTGTACATCCCCATAGCTCATGTGCGTACAATTTCTAACATAGCTATACAACCGGCAGTTGGTTTGATCCTTTGGGGCATAAGTATAGACAAAGCCTACCACTGGATGGTAGGACAGGTTGCATTCTTCTTATGTGAGTAGATCCCTCCACCTATCCACTCCTCCTCCCTTTTTTTTCCCCCTTGCAATTACCATCTACTAACCTCATTTACTCATTCAATGAGCAGTCTCCGCCGGAATCCAAATCGGCAACACCGTAACAAGCAGCTACATCATCGACGCCTACCCGCTCCAGTCCACCAGCGTGGTAATTTTCTACGCTGTATTCCTGAACCTCAGTGCGTTCGCTAATCCAGTATGCTCCTCTCCCCTCAGCTGTTTCCCCTATGTATATCCCCTTCACCACCACGAGTAATTTAATAACATATGAACAGTTCTTCATCGCCCAATGGCAAGCCGCAATAGGCTGGACCTGGACCTTCACCACCCAAGCCCTGATTGTCGTGGCTGGCGGATCTGGTGTTTTCATTTCGCTGCATGTGTTTGGGGCGGCGTGGAGAGCGAAGGGGGTGCCGGGGTGGGTGAACCCGGAGTTTGATTCTTAGTTTGATTCAATTTCTTTTTATTCAAAGAATTCTGGAAACAGGTAATGTTTCTTTACGTGGTACTGTTGAGCAGCAAGTTACGCATCGCATCGCAGGCTTGGTTTGTAGAGGGTGCCAATGGCGTCAATGTCCAAAGTCTCTAATGAACATTACAACGTGGCGTAGGTAGTATCAGTAGAGAAAAGCGAATTATTATCTACCTCTCCTGCTTTAAGGAGATTCATGCAGCATGCGCAGAGGTATGCATAGATTCAATAATCGCTAATTACGATGAATCGCATGCAAGTACCAAGCAAAGTCACGAGTCGTCCAAAACGTCTGCTCCACGAATTAAATAACAAAACAGACCGTATCACGATTTCCATTTGCCTGGTATCTTCCCATTCCCACCAAACGCCACCCAAATAAAAGAAGAACAACATTTTGAACACGATACGCCGCCGCCAACGTGATGAGATCAACTACGCAGAAGAGAAAATGCTATACATGACCGAATAGCTTCAGTCGATAGATACACGTGTGATTGCCGCCCCAGTTCGACGTGGCCCGAAATACAACCCTGTCCACCCGAAGTTCTGGGGAGTCGATCACCGCGTCTAGTTCGAACCGCTGCACGTGGTGCGAGCCGTGGATATCGTATGTGAATTTCCCGACTCGGTAATATGTCGGTCCTAGGAGTGGATCATCAGAGTACGCAGTCGGATCCTCGGTGGGCCACGCGGACCGGAGGGCGTCCATAATCGGCTTGTGGATTGATAATCGCTCCGCTTGCGTTCTTGCAGGTCGGCTGGTCCCCTTCTGGACGAGTACGTACTGGGCCCAGAGCTCCATCTCCCGGGGGGCATTTTCGGGCTTCAATGTAGCCGTCTTCGGCATATGTTCGACGGCCACTTCCTCCGGCACGATCTTTTGGCCTAGGTCAATGCCAATCTGCGACATGCCATCCCGGGGTGTGCTGCACCAGCAATCTCCATAATCTTCCCAGGGAACCATAGCCGCGAGCGGTGGTGATGGGGGACGATAATGACTACCTCTCCATAGATTAACATATGCCCACTGCCAAGCACTGAGCTTGTGTCCGACTGTTGGACTTGTGAGACCCGGAATAACAATAACCCCTAGTCCAATGCTCAGAAAGTTTGTTTTTTGCTCCGTTGGAGGACCAAGATCGGTGCTTCCTCTGCTTGGCGGCATGATCGGAGTGGGTGATGATCGCACCTCCGATTGCACCTCGTTCACATCCCATTTGACGGTGCGCATTTCCTTCGCCAGTGACGATACCTGCGCTCCAATTCGAGACATCTGGTCCGTAAGGCTGCTGACTGCTAGCATGTTGTTTTCATCCATCGGAATATACTGTGGCGGTCGAGAAAGGGAGGGAATGCCGCCAAAGGCAACCAGGTAGACTGTCGCTGCTGTCAAAGCTATTCCTGCGAGTATGCGAGCGACTGTAGATACGCTGGGCAACTGTGCTGATAGACTTCCTACCCAGGACCAAGACTGGCCTGTTTGACTAATATTTTGTTGGCCACCATCCACTGATGGTTCTTGTGATGGAGTCCTCCGTGCATATGCATTAGGGATAAGTGTCTTTGTGGGCGCGGTAAACTGGGCCGCAGGGGACTTCTCTCTGATAACCTCCGGCTCCGGCGTAGGCTCTGGCATAGGCACCAGCTCTGGAATAGGCTCTGGCTCCGGCTCCGGCGTAGGCTCTAGTTCCGGCTCGTGCACAGACTCGGGTTCCGACTGTGGCTCCGGCTCTGGTGAAGGCTCTATCTGGAAGTCCTCGTAGCTAGGTTGTAGGGAGGGCGATCTCGATTTTGTTTTCAGAATCTTTGAGTCCGGCTCTTCTTCTTCGTGAATAGGCTCGTTGGCAAAAGCCAGTCCGGAAAATCGACGAGGGGGTGCCTTGATATTCTTTCCATCGGAAAGCGTCCGTGTCAATTCATCGGAGTTGATGGCTCGCTCAACGGTGAACGAATATAAAGACGAGTCGTCCGGTAGCGGGGAGCTTCCTAACGGTGGCCCATCATGCAATTGTGGGCCAAAGCGCCCCATAGGAGACGGATACAGATTCTCGGCTGGTACGTGGGGATATCTGGGTACAGGTAGAGACTGCGCAGGACTTGAGGCGGTAGAAAGAGTGTGCGGGATAGGAGGCGTGGGGGTGGCGGTGGATTGGTCGTTGTTGCTGTAGTTGCCCCGTACAGGAGTAGGAGACTTGGTTGCCTCGCGCAGGTTGTCGAGAAGCTGCAACTCATCCGGGGTCGGCTCCCGTCGACTCCGCCGAACCGGGGAACGGGTAATAGAAGGGGACTTCTGTCGACGAGATTTGTCCTGGGTGGTTTCTTTCTCTTTCATCTGTCGATCTTTAGCATCCTCGATTCCCTTGTCGATCGCGTCGGCCATCTCGGTCAGATCCATATGAGGCTGAATCTTGAGCTCCCGCGGGAGGATTGGCGTCTCAGCAGATCCATAAGCGAACGACTGCTTGGTTGGAAGGTTTGGCAGAGCCTGTGTCCTTGCTTCCGGACCCAGTTTGGACTGAAAATACGTCGACGCACTCCCTATGTCGGAGCGAGGAGTAGACCCCGCGCGCCTGGTGGCGCCGCGTCTAGCAGGCATTGGAAGTTCAATGCGAAGAATCGGCTTGATGTTTCTGTTAGCTAGAGCGCATAGAGTACAGCTTTGCATACTGGGGGTTGAGGGAAGAGAAAGTCCTATAGCAGGCGGACTCGAAGCTCTCTACTCACTGTGAGAAGATGGAACTGAATAAGTCGCTTGCAGCCTCAGGCATAAATTGAGGGCCAGAGATGCCAAAGCACTGCGATGAAATAGGAGAGATCCAGCTCCGAGAGAGCGATCAGAAATAATTTTGAACGGGCAGTCTGCAATCGAGCTTGTGCTACACTATGGCTGCGACCAGGATGACCAATTCAGATGTATCCTACACGAGGTACGTTAGATGAAATGAAGAACCAGTGAAAGAAAGCTACCTCCTCAAGTCTTTGTTCGCGAAAGACCATTGAGAAAAGTCAAAGACTTCGAGGTGCCCGGATGATCTAAGGTGAGAACAGGCTATAGACTCACGATAGCAATCCGGGGTAATTGTCGACCTTCAAGCGCGAAAGCGACACGGCGCGAAAAGACGCGGGTGGAATGCCGATCCACAGCGTCGCAGGGGTGGTTGAGGGATTCAAGCACGTGATATTCAGGATAAACCAGGTTGCGCATGTATGATGCGCGTCGTACAAAGATTCCTGAGTGGGAGATGATGAAGAGAGAGAATGCTGAAGCTGCAAAACAATGCTAGACGACGGGAGATGTGAGGCTTGCTTGCTTGCTTGCTGGACTGAATGATGGATGGCCCGAACCTCCACTCGCTGCGGGTAATATTCGTATCTCCCGTTACCCGCCTTCAATACAGGATTGCCCGATTCGGCGAGGCGGCTCGTCGGCCTCCTTTATAGATCACCCTTTGGTTATTATAAAAGTCATCCTCTCTCACGCAGTGTGTATAGACCTTGATTATTGCATTATTGCACTATTGATTCTTTGTCTCAGTCTACCGTTTGATTGCTATGCTCATCAGTCCAGCCAGGCCTTTATTTCTTCGCTATTTTTATGCATGTTTCATCGTGACAAAGAAAAGTACAGGTCCTCGAAATGCTTCATTTACACGGCTGCCCTCCCAGGACGCCCATCCTTCTATATTGCCAAAGTAAGAATAATATACAGTCGCTGAGGAAGTCAAGCAGTCACAAATACAGAAACATGATGATGATAGTTAGCATGTCCATGGCAAGTCTTGCAGGTCGTATAGGCTTCGTTTAACAAGTCCACGCCGCGACAATACCGTCCTTGCGGCCCTCAACAAGGAATCCATCCTTGAGCCGAACCCGCTCAACCGTGGCCGGCTGCGGTCCACTGTCATCGACGCCAACCCCGGCGCCACAGTCCCAGTGGTGGCCATCCGCCTTGTCGTATACCTTGACAACGTTCTCTCCGGCTGCCGCAACAATGCGCTTGGTGTCGAACATCATGCTGGTGATGGGCTTGTCGTACGCGTAGGCATCGAAGATAGATCCAGTTCGGAGATCCCAGATCTGGCCAATGTTAGCGGTGCCGTTACTTCTGCATATAAACAAAACACTTACTCTGATGCTGCGGTCCTGACTTCCGGTCACCAAGTGTACATCGTCGAACTGTAGGCATGTAATAGGGCCGGTATGGCCAACCAGGCTCCGGTGGACTTGGCCGCTGCGAAGATCCCACAGACGCACCATACCGTCCGCCGTACCGCAGGCCAGCGCCGCATCGAAACACTGAACCGCGCCGACAAAGTCCGCAGAAGCATCTGGCAAGCGTCCCGATGGGCGCCATGTCGTCTCGCTTCCTAGAGTCGACGCCTGGGCCGCTGCCCACAAGACATCCAGCGTCTGCACGCAGCGCCCTTTGACCAGATCCCACTGTCGCAACGTCTTGTCGGCAGATCCAGAAATCAGAGTGTCTCCCTTGAAGTGAAGAGCGGTTACTTCATCGACGTGCGCATCAAGCGAGTATACGTAGCAGTCTTCCAGGGTGGTCGAGTGAGATGCCATGGAGGCGTCATCAGCTTGCGCAGATTCCTCATCGTCCTCGCGCCGGGTGACGCGGTTGTCGCGAGTTGTGGTCCGGGCCCGGCTCAGATCCCAGAGCTTCACGGATGCGTCCATAGATCCAGTGGCGACAATGTTGTCCTCAATCTGTAGGCAGCGGACAGATGCGTTGTGTCCCTCCAGGAAGCCCACGCAGCGGCCGACGTTGAGATCCCACACCCGCACTGTATCGTCTAGGGCAGCACTGATCATGGTGCCAAACGGGTAGTCGAAGTCAATAGCGGTAACCATGTCTGAGTGCGCCGGCATCTCTTTGATTTCAGAACCGGGAGCAAAGTGTTCGTGCAAAACTGGCATCGATCGTTTCCCTTGGACCATTAGTACTGGACACTGAACGGGGAATGCTTTGGCATACTTATAGATCGCTGCTTCACGCTCTTCGGCGAAGGGATCTTCTGGTAGATGGATTCGGACATAAAGGAAGCACCCATGGCTGGGTCTTCCGAAACAATCGAGTCATCGTTGGCCTCGGAAGACTTGGGAGTTGCGGGAGGCGGCACCTCGGCCTCTTGTTGCTCTTCTTGAATATCCTCCAGTTTGTTCTCAATCTCGTTCACTGGTTCCATGTTAGGACGTTTCTGCCGAGTATCCAAGATTTCAGGTCACCCACGCTCATGTTCCAGATCCGCCTCCTCCATCTCAAGGCCTGCCAATCGGTCTAGCACAATCTTCCGCATGTTGTGTAGGTTCGCGATCTTGTTATCTATGTCGTGTATCTCCGAGCTGCACATATTCTTGCGAACGCCCATCAGTTCCATCCGGCGGCTCAACAAGTCCCGTTCCTTCTTCAGATCCGACGGAGCGGACGGCAGGGCGCCGCGCGTCTCCCCATCCTTCAGCAGCTTCTTGCTCTTGGAAGAGCGCCGGCGGTGGGCCCGGCGATACTCAATGTCATCCTGCGACGCCTGGAAGCCCTGGAAGAGAGAATATGAGCTGGAGTCATCGGGAATATTGGCGAGGAGTTCGTCAGGAAGGGAGGAGATGGCCCGCGACTGGATTTCGGTGGTGGAGAGCTTGGAGCGGACCAGATCGGTAGGGGTGGTCTGGGTGAGAGAGAAGACTTTGCGCTGAGTGTTGGGATGGCGTAATTCGCGCTGAATGTCGGCCATAGCAGTGTGGTAGTGGCCGCCGGCGGAGGAGTCGGGGGCCGGTCCCATCAAATGGCCAGCAGTCGATGTGACTTTGCGCCCGAAGGCCTCGATATGACGCGACTGGAGAGGAAGAAGGTCAGCGGAAAGGATTTTAAGCAGGAAAGACCGCCCAAGGGCAGGTGTCAAGGCCGCAAGAGCATACCGTGATGCCGGTCCCTAAGAGACCGTCCGGCTCGACAATATCTGATAGACCGGAGGGAGACTCATCACGGCGGCGGTGTTTGTCCATGACACCGGCGAAGGAGCGAAGAGTGAGCTAAGCACAAGCTCCCATCCGGGAATTAACAGATCAAGGACAAGGATGGCGGAGAAAGGGAGCTGTTGTGCCCAGTCGGCAGTTGGTCGGCTTCAGGCTGGGATTGGAAAAAGAAAGGCGGATGGAGTTGCACGCGATGAATTACCGTGTTTCGGCTGTATTTTACAGCTTGCCTTTGCTGCGCCCGGCTACCACGGGCACACTTCTCTCAGCTCTGGCTTGTCTGGCTTCAACGTCCAAAAAAGGATATTCATTCCCCTGGAAAGAGGGTGTTCCATTGGATATGGGTGGCTTAAGTATCCAAATGTCCCTGTTCTTTTGCCCCCCAGCCCCTCCAGCTTTCCACCTGATGAGGCTCTCCTTCTCTGCACATGACAGCATCACCAGCCACGGATCCCGCTGCGGGTTCTGTACTGAGCCGTAATGTTACCTGCGGACAACCAGAATCATGAATCACCATCCAAATCATGGGTTGCAGATGATGGCTGAGCCCAGCATTCCATGACAATCCATCTGTCGTGAGACTTCCTTGCTTTTTTTCAGACTCAACAAATAGTCGCCCTTGAAGCATCATCCAGTTTAGGCCGATCAGCCAAACATTAGCGCTGACTCCCCAGACTACTTAAGTTCCTCTATGATCTCCCCGAAAGCGGAGCGTTTTCATCTCGCTTTCCCAGTCCCTCAATCTACTTCTACGGTTGCTGCACTTCTGCCCGCTACGCACTCTACAACGCTGTCTCGATTTCCAACCAGCCTCGCCATGGATACAGCCATTGATCTGTCCGATGCCTCCAAGGCCTTGGACCTCGCCAACATCCGCTTCCAGCTAATGTAAGTGTCTCCCGAGGGATTTCAGTAGTTAGTTAGCCTACTCCAGATCGACCGAAGATCGGGGAACCAACTCGCATACAATAATTCACATCCCTGCGCGCAAAGTTCAACCCCGCATCCCCCTCCATTTAACATCAATGTCTACCAACACAAACACCTAAAATCAAGCAGAAAAACAACATGTCAGTAACTAATTATGTATCGATACAATTAGCCGTCTCGAAGACACCATCACCTTCCATCTCATTGAACGGGCGCAATTCCCCCTCAACAAGCCCATCTACCTATCCGGCGGGGTAAAAATCCCTGGCACCGACCTCAGTCTCCTCGACTACTTCCTCCGCGAACAAGAACGTCTGGAGTCGCGTGTTCGTCGGTACCAGTCTCCTGATGAATACCCCTTCTTCCCGGACTCGCTGGAAGAGCCCATCCTTGCCCCGATCAAGTACCCCAAGATCCTGCATGACAACGACGTCAACGTCAATAGCACCTTGAAACAGCGCTACATCGAGGATATCCTCCCCGCTGTGTGCGCGCAGTTCGGGCGCGAAGATCGCGGCGAGGCGCAGGAGAACTATGGATCCGCAGCCACATGCGATGTGCACTGCTTGCAGGCCCTGTCGAGGAGAATCCACTTCGGAAAGTTTGTCGCGGAGGCAAAGTTCCAGCAGGAGACCGAGCGCTTTGTTAAGCTGATCAAGGCGAATGATCGGAAGGGCATTGATGAGGCTATTACCAAGCCTGAGGTGGAGCTGAAGGTGTTGGAGCGGTTGGCGCTCAAGGCGAAGACGTATGGTACCGATCCGGGTTTCCAACCTGAAAATGGACCTAAGATTAATGTTGATGCTGTTGTGGCCATGTACAAGGTGAGTTTACATCCTCCCCGCAGTTGATAGAATCAGGATCGTGCTGACGTGTGTAGGAATATGTCATCCCGCTCACCAAGGTCGTCGAGGTTGACTACCTCATGCAGCGACTCAAGGGCACCCAATGGGAGTAGTGTAAACACCTAGCAACTCCCATTTTGCAAACTATATACACGGAACATGACACGAGACGTCGTGACGAAACTTCTATAGAATTAACCCAAGATGGCATAATAGAAACGGACAAAGATCAAAGAGGCAAAAAAAACAAAGAACAAACCAACTTTTTCGGGTGTCTATAACATATAATCATCGTAATCAAAGGCAAATTATATCTATGGCTTAAAGTACTCCGCCATATCTTTAACCGCCCCATCCAACTTGCTCGCCTCCAACAAAATCAAGCTCCCCTTCGTCACAATACCCAAATCCTGGAATGCGCGCTTCGCATCCGACAGTCCCTCCTCCGCCTTATGCGTATACTCCACAGGTCCAACACACACGGCATGCCTTTCCAGAACCTCATCCTCAGGATGGAAGAGGAACCGCTCGGCCTTCTCCCCACCCGCAGCCTTCTTCTTCTTCTTTTGCGGCCGCGATTCCTCCGCATCTAGCTTCGACTCCACCTCTTCGTACGTCTTCGACACGATCAAATAGTGCGAGAAATTGTAAGGCTCCTTGTCCTTGATCGCCCATTCGATTTCCTCTTGCAGCATCGTGTACATAGGCGGTACGACCTCTGCGGGCATGTTGATGAGACGTTCAGTCAGGATCAGGCCGATGGGAGGGATGGGAGTTTGGGAGAGGAGTTGTGCCAGGGGTGCGAGTGTTGGTACGGCATTGGCTTTGCGCTGGAGGTAGGCTGTGAGGTCTTTGATTACGGGTTTGTCCTGGTCTTTGTTAGATTCTCTTCCTTCTATCCTTATGCCAAGGAGAACGGAGACGCACCTTGTGCTCCTGAAGGTTCAACACAGTCAAGAACGCATACGGATCCGACTCATTCCCATCTACTTTAACAGTCGATCCAAGCAGAGGTTGCGAGAGGATCAAATCGGCCAAAGCGGACATGTCGAAGATCTGGGCGTCGGTGTCGAAGAGCTGGCGGAGGAGGTTCTTCAGACCGTGGAAGTCGACAGCCGGTTGAGGGTCGAACCATTCGAAATCGACGTTGACCATGTCCATGTCCTGACTCAATGCGTTAATTCTATTTTGCGTATTTCAGGTTGTTGCTTGGCTGGGCTTGTATATTGCTTGGAGGGGTATTGGTATGTATGTACCTCGTCGGAGTCGTCGCCGTCGACGCGGGGATCCGTCCCCGACATCTCGACATCATTGTCTTTGAGTTCCTTGCGCTTGACCATTGTGTATGTTGGGTATGTGTGGTGTGGTGTGAGGGGTTGTGCTGGAGTAAATTGGGATTCCGTTCGCGGAGGTTCGTCGGGCGGCCGGCCGACAAAAGTTGATCTTCCGCTAACCGCTTTTGATTATCGATAGCTTATCGATACCGTTATACTAGACCTGATACATATTGAAATCAATTCATATTCTTACTTTGAAGCAAGCTATGTAGGCACTTCACTGTTTGAAAGAATATCCTCTGGAATGCCCTATTTACCCCCACATCCCGCATACAGGTCACATCAGAGGAATACATAGTACTGATGAACCATTTAATGATGTAGACAGACATTTCACTGACCCTGGCCTACTACTAATATAAACTTGTCCTGCGGCCTTGCTCCAATGATGTTCCTAATCTTTCCAACTCCAACCATCTACATCATATAATGGGGAAACCATCGTAGCACTTATCTAATTTTGATGAGATATTTCAATGCTCTAAATTTTCGATTATATATTGGAGTCGCAGTGAAAGACCAATTACCCATGAATAATACCAATAAATTGACAATAGACTTTATAGCAGGAAAGGAGATTGTCAGAGCGATGGAGCTTAGGCCACACAATCTAGTCAAAGTATATTGCGCCCCCGAATAGACCATTTAGAGTTGGTTTATCATGCCTTTTGCTCAATATGGGGATGCAGAAACCAAGGGTACATCAAGTGGAGGCCATGTTACGCCTTCGAATAAAACACATGAAGCAATACTTCGCAGCGGACTACCAGGTTGAAGAAGGCATCAAGTATCTTAAGAGAGATAAAGACGACGCAACATCCGTCTGTTATGAAGGCCCCATCCGTTTGAAGCTATGCATGAACAGGAAGCTCTAATGCAAGCGCTCAGCCCGAACGGAAATGTATCTGCAGGATGTCTTTCTTTCTGCGCAAGGGTGCCAAAAAGCACTGGTACAAGCCAAAATAGCAGCAAAACTCCTTCGTTTGGATCCTGTCTTTTGGAAAGCATCCTTGGTATCTGAAACAGAACAACAAAAGCAATTCATACAGTCAGAACTCGAGAGTACCAGAGCCTGGAAGAGTATCTGTCCTACCGAGTGTCGGATGCATATGTTGAGTAAGCACGCAATTGATTCTGCCCGCTTCCACTGCTAAACTTCTCAGGGTGGGCATTAGGTCTGTTTAGCTGGGCGCAGGACATTCATCTGAATGATGATGAAGAGCATATACATAATAGGCCGTGTCGACCAATCTCAGCTTCAACGATATTCTTGGCTGCCTCCTCCGAGCAAGACTGACATTGCATCACGATGTCAATAGCATTGACAGGATCCACTGTCAGGGGTTGTCCCTCGCCTGTGCTTGGTTACGTGCAGGGTTCAGACTGCTGCTGACGGCCATGTTGTTCTATAATAATATGAGAGACTTCCTGAAATATAAGAACCTCCTCCTCCGGCCCAACGTCCAAGTGAATACTACAATGAATGCTGCGCGGATGAACCAGATAATAGGTACTATGCCTGGCAGTGATAATAAGAAAATTCTTTGCAGCTGACATTTTCTGAGTAACTATATACTTAATAAAGAGAATGATACCAATATAGTCTTATATCAATTTTGAAAAATCCTGATACTATGGTTGATGATCAGAAAAATACAAGAATCAGTACTGCTAATCAGCTAAGTATAAAGAATTAAAGAAGATATATCTCCGGCCTTTAAGAAGATTGTAATATCAAGCACAAAGGTTTTAAGACATATAAGATTTATGAGACTGTTCACTGACATAATATATGTATTATAAATGAAGAGAATATTAAGCAAAGCGGACCCGCATTATCAAAAAGTTCACCCGTGACCCTGACCATTGCATGGTGCTAGTAATGAGTTATTTAATAAGTTCGGCCGGACTCAATCTGCAGGCGCTTTGCCGCAACCTTCATCTCTTTTTCCCGGCTAAACATGGATTTAGGCTCGATGACATTCAGGATGGTGGTGCACTCCGTCGGGGCAAAACCCCCACTCAACAAGACATTCGGTGTTAATCAAACAATGAGTTGCGCAACCTTTCTCATAAACTAGGCCTTGTGCTTAGTCCGGATGTTACGCCATCCCCACATCGGAGAAAGCCATGGGCTTCATGGGAGGTATCATGTCACCGTTCCCTCCCTCCAAGGGAATCATGTCCTTGTGATAGACAAAAGGTAATGAAGTACTATGTATGAAGTACTGCAACATAAGAGAGATCCCTCCCAGTTGTAAATCAGCACTCCGCTTCTTTTCATATACGTAGTATGACCTCGCTACAATCCCGGTCTCTATACAATCTACCACAGTAGTAGTATATCACCATCTCTAAAGTCTATCCAACATACATACTATATACAACAACCCCAATCACCTCAAACATCCCCCTCCACCTCCTCCACAGTCGGCACCTTATCCAACACCCTCCCATAAAACCCAGCAACATGCTTTACCCCCTCACACAAAACCCTCACATCCTCCAAACTCACGCCCAACCGTCTCGTCCCCCGAATATGCCAATGCGTCTCAATCTTCAGATTCTGACTCATAATCGCCGGCAACACCACCAACTGCGTATCCAAATCATCCAACACTCCCCGATCACTCAAAAACAACCCATAAGTAATCTCCTTCGACAACCACGCGAAATCCTTATGCGCCGCAAACAAATCCAGCGTCCCGGACGTATTCCGCGCATACAGCTTCTCCAACCACGCCACGCCACGCTCGTGATTCGCCTCGTCGCATTGCCAGTTCTCCCGTGTAAATGTGTAGTCTTTGTCTTCGGGAGCCTCGAGCTTGCTGATGGCGAGAATGGCTTCGATGGGTTTGCATACCCCGACTATGATCACGGATTTGATGAGGGCTTCGCGGATGCGGCGGATGAGGTCTTGCCGGGATGAGGGGGTCGAGTATTCGGGTTTGGAGGTTAGGTAGAGATAGAGTTGATCGGCGCGTTCGGGGTCGGGGTTCGCGACGAGGGTGGAGATGGCTAGGATGTACCATTTGTCGTGCGGGAGGGTGGTGGTTTGGAATTGGGATTCCAAGGATTGGAAGAGTTGGGCGTATTTGGGGTCGAGGGTTGTGGTCATTTTGGTGGGGGTGCTGTTGCTGCTGGTGGTGATGGTTCGGAGGGGAGTAGCGAAGGTGGGAATGCGATGCGCGAGAGGGGAGGATGATGGTGTTGATGATATTAATGATGATCGGAGCGGCCTGTATCGGGGCGGGGAGAGGAGGGGTAGGATGGAGGCACCGGTGCCGAATTGCCGTTTACTAGTAGTCAATTGCAGAGTACGAGACGGAGACAGCAGATGCGAAGGGTTGCGGGCCATTGTGCACCCTTGAAGATGCATTATCCTTAGTCGTGGAGGTGAGTCGTGTGTATCTGTTTATTCTCCATGTTAGCCGGAAATGGACTTATCAGCCGATATCGGTTATGTAAGAGTGCATGGCATGGCTGAGTTCAATAATGCTCCTTGACACCACCCCATTCAGGAACACCAATGTCTCATCTGGTTGCACCCCAAGACTTCACCGAAAATGCAACACCAGACGATCCAACTACATCATCGAAGAAGAATATGATGAGGCTGTTCCAGCCAAGGGACAAGCATGCCCACCTTTGGCTTTGACCCACACAGCCATGGGTATGATCTCAGCGACTGCCATATGACATCACAACTATCAAACCCAGATCCCAACTCTACTCTATATAAACGCTGTTCGTCCTCAAAGCAATGTAACTCTACTACAACAAACAACGAACACTCATCGAATCTCTCTCTCTCCTTTTCAAAGAAAACAACTCACTCCAATCCTACTTCACAAATACACACAATGTCTTCCTCCGGAGCAGGCCAATCCAGCGTCGGCAGCCGTGCCATCTACGAAGCCGGTGACCAGCGCAACGTTCCCCAGTCCGAGATCAACGAGCAGAACCGCTACGCAGAGGGCCAGAAGAACAGCCACAAGAACCTTGATTCGAGTATGCCTCCGTCTTCCCTCCTACCTTCCAATCACTCGGGAGACATAGTACTGACGAAAACCAATCAGAGGACCAGCGCTCCATCGGCAACAAGCTTGCCTCGCAAGAACGCAAGCCCGAGAGCGACCACCACCACAACTTTGATCAGAACCCTGAGGCTGAGCTCAGCAAGCAGGATCCTACTAAGCCGGTATGTCCCATCTCATATCTATATCTTCCTTGATCGAATTGGTTGGGGAGCATGACTGACTGTCTCTGCAGGCCAAGGTGCACGGTAACCAGCCCTCCAAGGGTGCTCAGATCGATGCCGAATTGCAGGCTGAGGATGAGCAGCGCTTGCGTGAGAAGGGCATTAAGAAATAAATGATGTAAGGATGGGCTGGGATGGAAGGAAGGATGGAAAAGCGATATATATCCTGTTCGAATGACTGCATGAACGATTGACGCCTGGGGCGATAGCATATCACTATTATTCAATCTACGATGAATTTATTACTATTCTCTTCAAGTGCTTTTTAGGGGATGTAGTATATTAGCTCATGTGTGTTGAATGTCGTTACTGGGAAATGGACGTAATTCGTTGCGGAGCGCCAGGGTATCCAACAAGACAAACGGTAAGATGCTAAATGCCGCATCCACCAATATTATACATCTAATGATATGAATATGTAACCAGAAAAAGAACAGAAGGATATATACAATATTGCTGATAAGCAACCGTGTCGATCATAAACAGCATGGCGTAAATGGTTACCCAGTGATGTCTCAAGGCTCAGCATCGCAGTGCGATACGGCCAATTTCAGCTTTCGTCAGTGAACTTGGGGTCGTCATCATGCGGCTCGGCGAAAACGTTCGCCCAGTAGCTCTCCACTCTGTCACAAACTTCATCCTTCCTTTCCCATGTCCGGAAGCTAATGGCAGGGTCGCAACTGATGTTTTTGATCTCCTCCCAGTATGCTTTCTCAACGTCGTATCCAAATCGCTGGACGGTAGATTCTGCCACGAGCCATGCCCGTCCGTCCGTGCCATCAGGGCGGAGCGTGGGGGTGGTCTCCCAATTCATGCCAAATACTTTTTCACCAGGATTGAACTTGGGGTAGTTGGCGTGGATGAAAAAGGCACGTGGGGCCTTGGCCACAGACTCATCTTGCACGCGCCATTTGCCCGCACTGGTCAACGCATAATCCTCCGCTGGGTCGGTCTGCACCATCGCAGAGCCCGCAATGCCACCCGGCTTCGTGTGACCGACCGCCTGAACCCGCTCGCTCACAGCGTAGAAAGGTTCTCCGACAGCAGATGCAGCGTGAAGGAAGGTCTCCTTATCGCCTTCGCCGGGTGCGCCTTGCGACAATAGCCGGAAATAGTGCGACGGGCCGTAATAGTTGTAATAAGCAGCGAGAAGCAAAGTCATTTGATGTGTCTTTTTCGATACCAAGAAGACGCCCGCTTCCGATGACGCGCGCTCCGACAGCGCTGGCATTTCCTGCCGCGAGATTTTGAAGTAGAGCGGGGACGCCGAGGAAATCCAAAAGTCCGGCCATGTGACCAACCCCTTGGAGGTGAATGGTTCCGACTCAAGCAAAACTTCAGGCTTGTGGAGCGGAAAGCAGTCCGCGTCCATCCAGATGACCTCCTCGAAGGAGGAAAATAAGACCGCAAAAATCTTGAGCTGATAATGCTCAATGGCACCCTTGCCAACAATGTCCGAGAGGACAAGACAGCGCGCTCCCAAATCCGGGAGGATGTCATCGCAGATCTGTTTTTCATATTCACTTTTATCCTTCATATACACCTCCACCGGCAATGTGGACCCCAGTCGTCGAAGCATTCGCAAAGAGGACAAGAACACGGGGAAATAGGAAGCCCCCGCCGTGGACACTATGCCACGCGTACCCGGTGTATGTACTGGTCGCAACCGTTCAGCCTTGCGACATTCTTCAATATATCCCGCATGAGACTCTTCCATTGCCTGCAAATCCCCATCCTCTATGATTGTCAGATCAGGTCGCGAATCGGTCGTCGTAGCGTTGAAGTGGACTGCGCTCACGTCTGCCAGGCGCTTCGGAGTAGGAGTATTTGGGGCATGTTCTTGCAATATCGGGTTCAAGACCTTCCAAAAAGCATTTTGACGTTCTGCGAGAGGGACTTCGAAGGCGGTGCTAGGAACTACTGAAGCCGGAGGCGGGGCCCAATAGATATACACGGTGCAAATGAGTAACAGCGCACCCGTGGCTGATATTATCGATTTCAGTTTACCGGGTCGAAGAATCGGCATGACTATGTTCGCTGCCCGGGGGCAGAGCTAGGGGGTATGGAAATATGGCTTTAAGTTGGAGGCAAATCTACCAGCTCGTTGTGTATGAAGGGAGTGCGCTTCGGCGGTCAGACCGGCAGGGTGAGTTGTTCAAGCAAAGCGCAGAGAAGGTCGCTTTAGCAATCCATCAACATGGCTGGCAAGCTCGGGGTCTAGTCCAGGTACAGCGGGAGGGCGGGTTCTGGTTCAACGGGTGACACGAAAGGCGGTGGAAGAGCCGCGGTAGTCAAAGATAAGGCACAGTCAAGCGCTGTTGTGTTGGTAAGACCTGGAAATGCTAGAATATCGCCAAGTTTTGGCCAGGAAACTTTCCAGCGGCCACAAAGGCTTGTCCAACGTGGCTCAGCAGGCAGCGATGGGGGAGGCGATGGAGGCGCCGTGGATGCTTTTTCCAGCAGGCGGTGGCAGAACGAGCACTTACGTTGCCCGCCGCTATTAATAACGCGGTGCATAATTGAGTATGCCGTGGCTCCGGTTGGCTTCCCACGATCTTCACCCGGTGGCAATCCCAATATACCAAGTGCGAGGGATTTTCCTATTCCATGCTTGTGGTCGGAATCTTCCCGACCGATCCATTAGGGGTTCCAAGGCACCGCACCAAGCCTCGAACCGTAGCAGAGGAAAAGGGGAGGTGAAGACTGAAGACTGTACTGAGGAGTATGTGGCCCTTCCTCCGCGGAAGGGCCAGTTCCACCGAACCGACAGAGTGGAAAGTGGAAGGGAAAGTTCACCAGTGGATCCCATTAGCTTGGTCTACCGAAACCTTAAGAAGTTAAGGGGAATCTGGAATCTTGGATCGACTGGGAAGGGAAGACTGGAAGAAGGAGGGAGAGGGAGAGGAATGAGGAATGAGATCCTCGGCTCGAGGAGAGTTGATCGTTAAGTGCGTACTAAGTCGTAGTAGTAGTAGTTGGTTGAGTTGCTGGCTGGTTTTTGTGGCTTGTTACATTTCAAGAAGGACAATGCAACTCCCGCTAGTCCTGTTCCGGCCGTAGATTGGGGGCAGCAACTCCTTCCACTTCAATCTTTCTCAACTACTTGAACTACTTGAACTGCTTGTAGGATATCTCATCTGTGCACCGAGTCGAGTTCGTCACGCCAACTCTGCAGTCTGCAGTCTGCACTCTGCACCGGCTATGAACTGTTCCTTCTCCTCTGGGTCCATCTGAAACGGTGGCTCAATTTCGCCGACACTCGGCCGCCATCAAGTAAGATCGCTCCAAAATGCGGGCTCGAACACACTCGCCACGCACCGGTTGGCTGCTGAGCCTCGACTACTCGGCGCTAACGAGTTTATACTGGCTTAATCTCCGGCGCTGCTCTCCTAACGGCGGGTGATGCCGCAACGATCGTCGCTTATCATCATCTCCAAATCCGCTTCTTTCCTCCAGCGCGAACTAGATCCATCCCCGATGTGTTTCGATTATAAACGACCGTAAGCGTGGTCCTCCGCCCCCCCCTCTCCGATGTTAGCTCTTCTTTCTTGCTTTTTCCTGACCTGTTCATCCCGACTACTAGATACATTGCCTTCCACACCCTCCCCCCCAACAACGTGTTTGCGTGCTTTCGTCTGGCCCATCCATAACGCACTAGCTAGCCTGCTACTGCCGCCGTGTCAACTCGTCGTACCACTTATGGGACCCCGCACTCCGGGTTATCTCCACATTGTTTGCCTGGACCAGTTAGTATCTGCACCCTAGCAGTTGGCCAACCTCTGCGTCGGATCCGGCTATGGAACCAACCTCGAAGGCTCGAATCCGCAAAACTCCGCCGGTCTCCGCCTCAGCTCCCCGGAAAAGGCGTAGGAGGACGGTCGTAAGCCAAGCGGCTGATGATTGCTTTACTTGCGCCCGACAGGGTACTCCCTGCGACCGTCGTCGCCCATTTTGCTCCCAGTGCTTGGACAGCGCCCGCAATTGCGCGGGGTACAAGACAGCGTTGACATGGGGCGTAGGAGTTGCCAGTCGGGGAAAGCTTCGAGGATTGTCCCTCCCCGTGACCGGGGCACAGCCTGCGGTCGCACCCCCGAAGCTTCCCCGTGCGACAGGTCCACGAGCAGTGTCCAAACCGCAACCGGCTCTTGACACAGCCGCAGAAAAACGACGACTTCATGATAAGCAGCGTTCATCAGCCGCCGGGCTTACAGAGCATGGGTCTGTCTCGATTCCACCTACTTCACAACGCCGCTTGTGCTCACCGGAGTACTACACTGTGGATTCCCATGTTAAGCCGAATCACCATAATCCTTATTCTTCACGTGCGACAAAGACCGATTCTTTGAAACAGTACCATGCCCCATTGGTCTCAAATACCGATCCATCAAGAGCCTGGATGGGGTTAGAACAAACACCGGTACCGATACAGTGTCCGTGGCCAGCCCTGACTCCGGAACACAAAGATAATACTTCAGATGAGCAACGTGAAGAAACCTGTTATAACGATTTTTCACCACGTATGAGTGCTTGCCAGCCGCCATCATTATCTCAGCAGCTGCTGGCGCGTTCCGTGGGACGTACACCTCGACTTCGATACCTAATTAGTTATTATGCCGAAGTCATTGCTCCGATGATTGTGGCATTTGATAGTCCAACCAATCCTTTTCGAACATATATCCTTCGACTGGCGCAGGAGAGCACATCTCTTCAAGAAGCCATCGCGACATTGGCAAGCTGCAATCTGCGACAGCGACGCGAACGAGGCACGAGGTCGACGGAGCGAACTTTGCCGGGGCGCCTGTCGTCCATGGCCCATCAAGCCTTGACCGACGGAGCATTACAGGACCGGACCGGTATCTTTATGCCTGAAGATTATGCCCAGGAAGAGCAGTATCATCGAGGCATGGCGGTCTCCGCCTTGAATCGGGAATTGGCCGACTCACATCAGAGGCTTTCAGACTCCGTCCTGGCGACCTTACTCATCCTCTGTCTATTCCACGGATGTGATACTGGGGTCGCTCAATTCAAGACGCAGTTTGCGGGGGTGACAAAATTGTTGGCTATCCGACTGTGCAACTCACCTTGCATGTCGGATGAACTGAAGTGGTTTGTTCGCATGTTCACATGGATTGACACGATGACCGCCACGACCAATGACCGCGAGGTACAGCTTCGCGGTGCTTGCTTGGATATCACCGCCGCCTCAGACGGCGAATGGGGACTGGAAAATCTGGCGGGATGTGATGCCGGACTTTTCAGAATTGTAGCGCAGCTAGGTCGTTTGAACCTTCTGAGTCAAAATCAAGAAGTCCGCACATCTACGCCACCAGACATCCATATGCCATCCACTACTCTCCCGCCCTCGATGGCGTTCTTCCCATCGAACATTCCAGCCACCTCGTCCGGTCCTTTTGCATTTACCTTGCCGCCGCTGCCGCCTCCTGGTGATCGCGACAGAGGACAGCTGCCGCCGGCGTTCTGGGCTGAATGGTATTCTCTCCGACAGAAGCTTGAGTCCTGGCGATTTGTTCCCCACCAATCGCAGTCACGGTCACCTCTCTTTACATCCAGCCACGCCTACATCTCGCCACCTTCATCCCCGACAGACCAGCCGGTGGTCGCAGCTCACAATCTCAAGGACGTCATACACATCTCTGAGTCATTCCGTCATGCGGCGATCTTGTACAGCGAGCGACTCGCCTATCCAGACCTACCGTCCGATCACCCTCGTATTCAAAACATTGTGCAACACATAATGAGTCACATTATGACCGTTCAATCTGACGCGTATCTCCTGTGGCCACTATTCATCACCGGGTCGGAGTGCGTGCGTGCCGATCATCGCGCCATTATCCGCCAACGGTGCAAAGATCTATCCAGGGATTCTGGGTTCTTCAACAACCTCTCATGCTTGCAGCTCCTGGAGAAGATCTGGGCAGAGAACCCTGCCGTGGACGTGATCCCTGTTGTCTCATCCCTTGATTTCGGCTTGCAGGCAGCCGCCAGCGGGTGCGTGAGCGAGGTTACATTTCTCCCGCCTGGAAGCTGGGCCTCGTCCCAGCATGAGGCTTTCATGTCTCCGACACTGCCCTCTGTCTCTCGGAAGCAGGGATTCCGCTGGCACGAGGCGATGCAAACCAAACGCGCGGAGGACGAATATATGACTGTATGACGTGACCTGACGGATACGTGCATCAAAACGACGAGTCCAGCATGAATTGCGAGGACCAATTATAATATAGAGGTATCATATTAGCGAAATATAATGAACATAATGCAACATTCCCCCACTACGTACATTGTGCTGTGTGCCCTCAGTATCTGTCTATGGCAACCTGAACCTTCGGGCCACAACAGCCCCCACTATCGGACCCATCGCACTAGATCCGTTCCCACTTCCCACACAATCCGCTCGATACGTACCATCACGACAGTACCCTACTGCGTAAAATTCTCCGTAAACCTACTGTCATCTGTCAGAACTCCATCGATGATGCATCTACTCCATCTGGTCCCTCTAGCAACCTGCCTCACCAACCCACCCAAACAAACCACAAAAGTAGCGGCACCGGGCATCTCCCGAGCGCCAGTACGTCGGAAAATTTGTGTTGGAGGTGAGTTGAGTTTCGGGCCTGCGTGTCAGATGCTCATTTGTGGGTGTTGGACTCTGAGAGGGTGTCCACACATCACTTAGATAGTACTGTGCCGCTGTGGTGATAGAATGAGTGGGTAAGTAAGTGCCTAACTCTTGGAGAGAAGGGGTCTTGCTCACTTTGTTTCTGAATTACTGGTTTGGTATGTCGAGGGGGGTTATACTGTACTGCGCCAGTATGCTATCTATGGCTACATAGGGACTAATCACTACATACAGTACTTAGCATGTAGTTGAGGCACAGTAGTATACTACTACTAATCGTAGTGGCAGTGGCAGTGACGGCATCGCCACTGGTGGACTAAATACTACTATCTATAGTTAGTATTAGATCCCACTAATAGTGAACGCTCATGCACATAGCCATGCTCTCTCTCTACATTATTAACTAACTACATAGTACTATACTACATCTTAGATAATAACCCAGTCAGATTTCGTCATCCCCATCACCGGATAGATGGAAGGAAGATAGAAACCCACAAGCGTATCGCTAAGCGTGACTCTGACTCGACCCCACAAGGCAAGAGAACAGATTTGCAACGTGACCCAAACTTACTTTTACTTTTGCGGATAGAAGGTGAGGGGTTCACTTTACATCATCAACTAGTACACATACAGTAATCAACCCATAATACTAGCAGGTCATCTGCCTCTGAAGAAAGAGGCGGGGGGCGTGGGTTGGGATGGATAATGCCAATGTGATAGTGATGAGATTCATCACCTTCGGCGGCTATTCGGGGGTCTTATCCCCCCCTGGTTGGTATCTTCCCGTGCGGCGGGGGTGAGGGTTAACTACGCCGTGCGCAGTTGAACAAGGGTGTTGTTGGGGTTGGGTTAGGTTGGCGGTTAAGGTAAGTGAGTAAGTACATTAGTAGTAAGGTTGAAGTGATGTTCGGTGGACTGTTGTAGAGGAGATTAAAAAGAGGGGTAGTCTAGAGAGAGGGGGTGATGACATGGGGTAGAGATACTACTTACTTACTATCTAGACTAGAACTTTGATACACTGTGGTGGTGGTGGAGGTATGGTATGTACATGATTTTCTTAGTGGTATTTATGGGAGGGGGAGGGTTGGGTGGATACATCGTGTTTAATACTTGTTGTCTATTTGGTTACTTTGTGGTATGTTGGCGGTGGGGAGGATATAGAGGGAGTTGGATGTGGATTGAATGGTAGGGGATTAGAGATGATTTTAATATAATCTTCTGCATGCTGTTGGGTTTTGTAATGTTGTGTGGTGTGGGAAGGACTGGTGCGGATTGTTGGTTCTGTGTATAGGTGGTACGCTGCGACTTTGAGAGCGTAGCAGAGAGGTAAGTAGTATATGTAGTATGGATATGTGATTGTTCCCTGGTCGCTTCTGGATAGTAAATAGTCAAGGTAACCTATATTATGGTGGTAAATATTCTAACAATGACATAATTCTGTTATTTCACGAGGTTCCAAATTTCAGATGGTATAATATGTGAATGAGCACCTGTCCTGCGCACACTGCAAAACCATGAAACTTCTATTGGAAATTATCCAATACCCTACAAGAGTAGAGTATATTCCACGTGCATCCCTGGCATATTGACGTAACCTGCCTACCAAGCACAATACATCCATGTACCTAGTTCATGAACTGTAGGTGTCTAGAGCCAAACGCAAAACATCATTGCAGCGGTTACACTCATCCCAAGTAGTACAACCACAGTGCGTATTCCTTACATAGTAACGTAGTACTCCCTAACTACCTAAACCAAACCTAACCTAACCAACACGATCACGATCCTCCACACCTGCGGAAGCGGAAACCTGCAGACGTGTCGGGCTTGTTGACTTTAGGCTCCCAAGCGCATCGTGTTATGTTATCCGCTATACAAACATTGGTTGAATGCAATGATAGGCTAGTTAACACGCGCTCGGAATTTAATAATCAAACCATGTGGGAACGAGGAATGTTCAGACAGGACTAAAGTAGTGTACTTTGGTATGATCCTTCGGAGCGCATGCATATGGAGACAGATGGCGGGAGGGAGGGATGGATACCAGATAAGGCATCAATCCGACATTGGAGTACGGAGTCAATCGATTAGTTCGCCAATCACTCTAGGGCTCAGGGCAAGGGCTGAGTCAGGCGCACATTCGCGCAGAGTAAGCCAGGTATCAAATTCTAATGGGTATTGTGTGAAAGGATGCGGAAATGAGACTCAAATTCCGGCCGCGCGATCGGCATGCGGCTGGGAGGTCTAGGATATGCAGGGGCTTAGTTGCTTGTGCTGAGGTTGCTTATTTTTCGAGGCAGGGAGGGAGGGAGGGAGGGAGGGAGAGAGGGTGTGTAGGGAAGGGTCGTGTGCCAGTTAGGGAATTAGTTGATGGAAAATGAGATAGATAAATTGGTTTGTGGTTTGAAGATAGGTTGCTATCAACTGTGGTGTTGTGTTGCTGTTGTGGATTTGTGTATCAATTTGGAGTACATTCGGCTGGGGACATTCTGGCATTCTATGGGTCTGGCCCGAAATGTGATCAAGGGCCAAATATTTGCATTAATTTCGGGACAAAGGTACACGGGGCCCTTGTATGTACCATACCATACAGGCTGCAGCGTAATCGAAGGGCATATTCCAGAAGGAAAGCAACACCAGGTGAAAAAGGAAGAAATTAAAAATAAGAGCGAGACCATCAAGGCACGGCACAGTCTAGTCTAGATCATCGGCTCCCCGAGCAAGGGACGGTGAAAACTCTGCTGGTGGGACTGGCCCTGTGGGGGTGCTTGTTTGACTTTGATTTACGTTGCTGACCATCCTTTCTGGAGGCCTTCCAGATTCGGCGGTGCGGGCGATGAGGTGAGAGTGCAAGTGTAGGCACAGTCAGGAAAAAGTCCCTATCACCGCCATGTCGTGTAGCATACATTGAAGTAAGTATCTGCCAGTGCGATAGGTCATTTCTAGTAGTAGGATTCTCGCATCTCACTATACAATGAGAGAAGTAGATTGGCGGACCGCATCTCCCCCTCCCAATCAGGACACTATCACCGCAACCCATCTATGCATTCGAACCGTTGACGCCGAGCGGAGCTCTCTCAGCGGCACCCGGACTTGCTCCCGCGCCCGGCAGAGTTTATCCAATGGTGGTTAACGCAATGCAAGTAGTCGCTCAAGTTCAGCCAAGTCCAGCGAGGATTGAGGACTCCCATCTCTCTTAAAGTTTCTGATATGGCTCAGGATGCTCTTGAATATTGTGACTCCTCCCGTCCCGACAGGCTGACGCCACCACGTAACCATGATCACATACTTTTCTGACCTGCTTTAACCCAGAGCGCCATGTGTGACCTTGCAAAAGCCCTTCGGCCAGCCAGCGTTCAGAAAAGGGTTGCCTATCTGCCAGGGGCCACAGAAATCGCTACTTTCCCGGTCGCTGATTGCGTGGGAGTCTTGACACCGGGGAAGGCCGAATTCTTATTGGGAGACAGCCTGGGGACTGGCCCTACGGATTTGAATTGAACTACTACTAGTACAGCCTGCTAGTAGCAGGACTAGTAAGTCTTGTGGTCGCTTGGAAGCTTGAGGGTGCTACTAAGTACTCTGCTAATTCCCTCGGTCTGCCTACCTGCCTGCCCGTATTGGGCAATGGCGTCTATCACATTCAAGAGACGCCAGCACTATGCAGTCTTCAATAGTCTAGAGCTCAGACAGCATGAGCATCTCTGGAAGTTTCACAAGGCTGTTCGCCAGACAAATGCCCGGATTCTGACCCTACGAATTTTTAAACTACCGCGGTCGACTCGCAAATTGCGGTCTGTCCAACAGGCGTCGTCCGATATGAAAAAGGGTGTGGTTGCTGCCCAGTTGGTCGGCAGCGGTAACGCCCATCCCGTAACGCCCATCCACTTCCAACTGTTGCCCAACAACCATGCGATGGCTCGTGGCTTTAGGGGAGTCAGATATTCCATGCCTTATGGTTCCACTGGTTCGAACAGTTGAGCTTGTTCGCGACCCCGGATCGCAACCATGGATTACCGACGGGCTCATCCGCACGCTGTCCATGGAACCGACCGTCGATAATCGTGCCCGCCAGATCAGCATATCTATTGATGTACTCTGTACGGTACTTTGGACAATGGATCGGTCCCATGCTGGAGACGCAGTCACTCTGTAGATTCGGCTCCTTCGGTAGCATGCCCAGCATGGCTCTTTCCATAAAGAGGCGCTGTAAGAGACACTGTAGGCTTCTACTCAACCTCGCCACAGTGCTAGGCACCCAGGGTAGGACAAGCTCTGTATAAGAGAGTGAGCGTCCATCTCACGATGACTGCCTTGAAAGATATTAATATCGCTTACTCGCGACTGAGCCACCTGTGGCAACGTGACCATGACTCACATTCTTTCGCCCCGAAAACGTGATGTGCTCCTTGCTATGCGGCAGGCTCCCACTGTAGGTACGCACGCCTGCTGAGGAACGCAGAGGCGGCGGAGTCATGGGTTCACCAATAGCGAGACGCCGCGGTAGTTCTTATCGAGCATGATAGACAGACATGTTGAAGAAGATGACTGGGCTTGGGAATCTGAGGATCCCCCTCTGCGCATTATTTTCCGTAGCGAGCCTGCCGTTGCCTGTTTCATCGTGTCGCCCAGTCAGGGAGCGAACGCGGGATGCCCAACAGAGCGGTTCAGATGACTCTTGCAATGGCGCCCATCAATCGGATGATTCATCGCCATGCCGCAAAGGGGGGGAACTAGATAATGGGTATATTAAAGCACGAGTCGCTGTTGGCCCTAGGATGATGCCCTGCGGCGATTTCTTTGAGGGAGAATGTGTCCAGCCTTGTCTGGTCTTGTCCTGACTGACTTTGCAACAGTCTGGATGGGATGAGACGTTTCCAATATCCTGCAGTGTTAAACTCTCCTACTACTGATACTTTTTACTTCTATTGATACTCGTACTTGCTTGGGTTTCACCCTCCCTGGCCATCCCTCGCCCATCCATCCTTTTTGGCTTCTGCTGGTGGTGGTTGGGCCTGAAACCACAACCCTCAGCGGGTACTTTACCGTATGGTCAGCAAACATACCAGACGTGACATAACGGTAACTTTCAGCAGCGAGTCACTAAGAGACGAACTAAATCCACCGCACTAAGCCCACTAAACCACTAGCGTGGCTCCGCCGCAGCGCAAGAGCAAGTCTGGAAAGATTAATTACCGACGGGATTATACCTGGGAGCCCCACTCCATACCAAGTTTACCGCAGCGCCCGTGCCCTTTTTTCTGTCTTTGCCGTCCGTACAAAACCGGTTGGCTCCTCTGTGACTCCCCTTCCACACACACACAACACCCTTCTTGGGTTCTTCCCTATCTATATACTACTCTTACCTTCACACCTACTCTCCCCTGTCGCATCCCTTTCCTGGGTCGCCTCCTGGAAGTTCCCAGCTTATCGCTGTTCCTAGTTGTATATACTATATACCTCTCAAGAGGTCACAGCGTCCCCCACGCACACTTCCCATCGTTTGATCTCTGTTTGTCCCCCGGAGATCCCTAAGGCATTCCTTCCACAGCCAGCCGCCTTTGCCCGCACACCGTTCGGTTAGCGACAACGTTCAAATGCACTCTCAGCACATACAAATCGCCTCCTCCTCTCCCCTAGAAACCGTGCCTCGGTGACGGTCCTCTTCCTCAGTTATCATCATTATCGATATCACGATTCCGTTGTCCTTTTAAACCGGCGTCGATCGGCTTGTTGAACGATATCCTGTATAATATACCTGGGTTGTGCTTTTTGTTGTTTGCTGTTTGCTTTTCTATACCTCTAGCGATTGTCGTGCTTCTGGGAGGCTAGCCACCCATTAAAAAGTTCTCGTTCCGTGTCTCGTCTCGCCGTTTGCAGCCTCGATTTTTATGCGCATTTCTCGATAATGTACCATTATCCCAGTCCACACCCCGGGTGGTCTTCCTACGACTACATGACCTCCCCTCCCACCTCGCCTCACTACGCCTATTACGCCACCCAATTTGCCAGTCCCTACGCCTCGCCTCGTGGCCCCTCGAAGCGCCATAACCGCAAAGCCAGCTACGCCGGTCCCAGGGAAACGGCAGGATGGTATTCCGGGTATGGCCATGGTATTTATGAAGCGATGCCGGAGCAGGGCACGCCACCGCGCAAGCACGATCCTGTAAGTGCTTCTTTTGGTGGCTATCACCGTCGTCGCAGTACCATGTCTGGTGCGCCCGCCGGTCAGTGGGAGTCCGCTGGCGCTCCGCCGTCGCACAAGCGACCCATCTTTGTAGATGTGGTCGACGATGGATACGACGACGCCCCCCGATACGTCTTTCGCGAGGAACCCAGTCCTCCCCGTCGCAAACCGTCGACGCCTCAGCGCAAGCCAAAGCCACCCACTGATCAATACTTTTACTATAACCAGGTACCTACCCAAGATGACGTCGATTCCGCCAAACGCGCCCGGGCGCGTCGCCAATCTACCTCCACTCGGACGCCGTCAAAGCCCAAGCCTGCACCCGCGGCCAAGCCGCCGCCGAAGGCCACCGAAGAGGACGCTGCGCGTGCTGGTATCCCCGAAGGATACTCGATCAAGAACTGGGACCCGACAGAAATGCCCATCATCCTTTTGGGCAGTGTGTTTGACGCCAACTCGCTGGGCAAGTGGATTTACGACTGGACTGTATTCCACCACGGCGCGTCGACCCCTATGGCAGATGTCGCGGGCGATCTGTGGTTGTTATTGATCAAGTTGGCTGGTAAGGTGAAACGGGCAGACGAATGCATTGATCGCATCAAGCGCCGCGATGCGCGTGAGACGGTTGCGGATTTTCTGGAGAGTGGCGAACGCCTGTGGGTGCGATTTAAGAAGCTGCTGAAGACATGTGAACAGTTCATGTGGAAGGCCGCCAAGCGCGAGGGTGGCAAGACGGTCTCGATGGGCCGCAACGCGGGCTGCGAATTTGTTGAGACGATCTTCGGCCGGGACCGCGAGCTAGAAAGCACGGAGAAGCTGATGAACAGCTTTCGGTTATGGAACATGCGCTTTGACGCCAACTGCGAGGAGATTCTTCGCCGACCGTCCTCAGCTTAGAACGGCATACAACTTCGACTATACAACCTATACCGACATAGGAGACCCCCAAAAGTAATACTCTGATTTGATTTCGACATAAGCGACGGGATGCATTTTTCGCACCGCAACGGAATACAGGCGCGTGAGCGTTGTCCTTGATTCTTTATCTTGATTCTCATTATTATCGGATTGCATTTGAGCGCGTTTGGTTTGGGCTTGGCTCACTGGATTGCTGCTGCGTGTGATTGGTACCTACTGCTCGGATACCCCGCTATCAGCGCGGGAAGCTTTTTCTATTCTTACTTTTCCTTTGTGATACATTTCCTTATATCTTTCTACTGTTATGTTTCCTGGGACGGGGATCTGCTTTCTTGACTGGCGTGCTTGCTCATACGGGGACGTGGACTTGATATACCCCCAGCTCAGCAGCAGCAACAGCATGCAAGTGGCTTCGCTTCGTTCTGTTCTTTATGATACCATTCTGCGACACACCAGTTCATCATTCGGTTATCAGCGTCGGGCACTGTTGGGATGATTCTTTCCTTATTTCCTTTGTTTGTACTGGCAGAGCGTACATACTAGATACTACTATTATTTACCCACTACAACCACGGACCGATAGACCAATATATTATACCATTTAACACTTGCACTTCTTTCATTGTATTCACCATGATAATCTTTTACCCCACCACTTATGACAAACCAACCAACCAGAACAATTCCGTATCTGCATCTGCACGTCACATGCCCAACAGAGTAATACCAGACCTGACAATGTAAGTAGTTGATGTCACTGCACCGTCGGCCCCATAACTCTGCATCCTCCACTAATAACCACCTGCAAGTTACTTATAGTAGTTAGTAAGTAGGATCTATGCACGTCGCCCAACCCGCACTCACATATGTACTTGATTGTCTAGGATGGTCAATGGCCTACTTCCGTTTTAGTGCTCACCCTTCGCCGCTTTTTACTCACTGAGTACTTAGTCTTAAGCACGCCCTGAGCAGCCTGAGGCAATCACTGAGCATTGCACCAGTAATCTCCCTCAGCAGTTCCTGACAGCAGCGCCAGGCTACGCAAAGACGTCCGTATGTCGGTCTTTCGCAACATCCGCAGCCAAGGCTAGCCCAGAAACGCTTAACACACCCCAGTCAGTTGCCCTGTTAGCGCAGGAGACATGGAAGAAGCCCCTGAGCTTGGTGCTGCGGTCTGTGGACGATGAGATTGATGTATCTCTGCCGCTTGCGCAACTCAGCCTGGACTCGATGGTGGCTGTAGAAATGCACGCCTGGTGGAAGCAGTTGTTTGGGCTAGATACCAGTGTGCTAGAAATGCTGAGCATAGGAACGCTCAAAAAGCTAGGCAAGCAGGCTGCTGATGGTTTGCTGGGGCTGTAGGAGCACTAGAACGACTTCAGGCAAAGGCGTGGCGGCGTTTATCTGAAGTCACACTACCGCTGGAAAGCAAAACAAATACAGCAAGGATGGTATCATTTCCACGAAGAGGATAACTATCATCTCTCTTCTTTATCCATCTCATCTAACCGTTGAGCAAGCACTTGATAAGGCCATTCGTGTTCCCTGTTCAAATCCTCCGATTTTTGAAACCCTTGGAACTCATAGTATCGGACCAACTTGCCGTCGCCACCTGCATAGCAATTTACTCGCAGCAATGAGACTCCAGCCTTGCGGGCAAGATCACGGGCATGGTCCAAGAGGCGTTTGCCAATCTGATTGCCAGCGTATGGTCGATCCGTAACTAGTAATCGCACGTAAAGCTCCGGCTCAGATACGGGGGATACATAGGGTGACCTATCTCTAAATGCAAGTGTCCCTATGATGTCTATTAGAGCTTCTCCGGGTATGGTATCCGTACTCTTAACAGCAAGCCAAAGACCATTGGCCAGTAGTTGCAAATTCCCGGAACTGCTCGACGCGATCTGAATTCTCGGAGAACGGCGCTGCTTCCCACTGTCCCGCTCTGTTGTGGGAGACTAGCCATTGCACTGCGGTATCTAGAAGGTCGGAGACTGCGGGCACGGCATCCAATGTCCCCCGGATGATAGTGATGTCTTCAACTTCACTGTTAATCTTAGTATCTGTGAATGGTAATGTGTTCTGTTTCTTCAGCAAAGCATGACTTACTTTGATTCCATTTTCTGAGTGATGAAATGGTCTCTATAAGTTCATCTACCTAACTCGTCTTGCTGGTTGCTACTAGGATAGTAGCAAGGTCTGGTATTGTAAATAACAGCTTGACAATGCCGGTACAAGTCCGAGATGCAGTCCGATACATAGCTTAGTACCGGTCTTGTATCGGAATAAGAGTCAGCTGATGAGCCTCTGATAGCAAGACTGTACTCTCACCTGCAGCTGGGTAAGTGTTTCTCATGACACAATCTCTCCAAGAAATCAGGCAAAATGACATGAACCGGGATATTGAGTCTGCATAATACCGAATCCTACCCAGTGGATCTGGAGAGCGAACGAAGGGGTACTGGGTCTATTCCAGACAGGTCATTGAGCATGTCCGCACCCATAACCAGGCGCAATCGAGCCCTCGCCTCATGTGAACCTTGCCGAGAGAGGAAAACTCGATGCGATCACGGTAAACCAGTCTGTGCCTCCTGCCGGCGTCGTGGCTTCGACTCTCGGTGCTACTACCATCCTGCCCCTCTGACTAAACATCGAAGTGCAAGTGCACAAAGACTGGCCGTGCCTACGCCATCCCAACCAACCATTGCTGCACCATCATGGAGCAGGTCCAGTGCAAAATATCCCGGACGCTCTGCGGCTGGACCGCCCAAATTCCACACATGGCCTTTTATGTCGACCGTCTCTGACAGTGGGACCTTGCCAGACACTCCCTTGCTGGGCTCGCATGACAGCAAGGCCTATGAGGCCCACCTAGCCACCATGAAGGAGATTGTGTCTCAGTTGAGATACCTTCCTGTCATTGAAAAGTGTCTCCATCAGTACTACTCTGCTAAGCATAACTCACTTGTACCCAAACCAGTCGTTCTGCACCTTCTCAAAGCGCTCCGTACAGATCTAGTATCGTCGGGCTATATCCTTGGAGAAACGGGAGATCGAGTTGAGTTGGGCGATATTTCGCGGTTATCAGAATCTATACTGCTCTCTTCCTCTACAGAGGTTATCATCACCGCATCCTTGGACCTGCATGGTTTCTTGGCCTTGTTCTGTGGCCCGAATCTTCGAGTCGAGACTCTCGGTCTTTTGTATACTATGGCTGCCCGTGCTTCGGCGTTTTTCGTTGACCGCGACGAGGGTAAGGATGCCGCATTTGTCCCAGACATGGTTTGGTATAGCACGGTGATCTTACGACTAGCTCGGGACCTTGCACCCCAGTCAAACGACGTCATTATATGGTTGGCGAATGAAAATGCACAGCTCAGGTCATTCCTTGAAGGAGATACGAGTGAGCCCCTTTATACGTATCGTGAATGGGTGGATACTGATTGATTTCAGGCCTCGGTGTGTGGCGTCTGGTGGGCGATCTCTCGACCGATTTATTGGCTTTGGGCTTGAACAGGGAAGCGACATATTCTCCTGAGAGAATCCCGTTTTTTCTTGCAGAGTGCCGGAGGAGGTGCTTTGTGACTGAATATTACCTGGAGAAGATGTTTGGCCTGATATTCAATCTACCTCCTCGCATTACCTCTCGATATGTGGACGTCAAGCTCCCCCTTGATTTGTCAGATGACGAACTTTTTGCCCAAACTCCCCAGGAACTCGAGGATGCAAAATTTCGACTCACAAAAGATGGCTGGAACACAGATGGGAACCTTAGAGCAGCAACCTGGGCTCGATTGCGCTATATTCTGAGTCAGTTTCGGGAAGGAATTGTGGAATATCGTTTTCAAGCATCACAGGCAGCTGACCCTGCCCAGCTCAGGTGTGTACAATCATTCGGAAAAAGGTTGAACAGCACTAAAGTTGTTTCAGAGAATTGTCTTCTCGATGTCGTCAGACGTGGGATAACCTGCTTCCCCACCTAAGGTATACTCAGGACTGTTGGGAATCCGACATGCCCCTGAGCACTTGTTATATGCACGCGAAGGTTCATCTAGCCTATCTCCAAATCCATTTCCAGATATACCACCTTCTTGGGGAGAATAGCTCAACTCCGCTTCCCGAGCTGCTGGACGTGTCTGCAAACATTCTGGAGACAGTGGTTCAGATGGGAAATACCCGCAGAATGGGCGCCTTTACCTCGCATGATCTACCTGAAATCGTACGTGCTGCTCTACCCCTTTACCGATCATCTTTGTCATAGCTGACAGGGTGAAGCTTCTGGCCTGCGGCTTGCCGTCTGCGGCAGTCCTCCTAACTACACTAGAGAACAATACGCAAGATCCTTCAAGTACCCATCCGCCTGGCATAAAAACATCGGCCGTAATTCGCAATGTTTCAGTCTTTACGTCGCAACTCGAAAGGGTGGCTAGTTCGCGGGAAAGAAATCAAGCCTTCTGCTTGCAGGCGGCAAAGGCCATCACGAAGAAATTGGACAAGATTCTGGACAGGCTTGCGACGTCAAAGTTTCAGGCTCGGACAAGTCCTGATGTTGCGACAAGAGTTGACGTAATGGACTCGATGCCGACTCCAATCACTGATCTTGACGCTTCCCTCACTGGTGGAGAGAGTGCTGGAGATGGGGATAGAGAGATTGGTGCTTTCAATCTGGATGACTACGAGAATCTCGATCTAATGTCTTGGGCGATCGATTTTGACCTTGGAAACACGGCCAGCGACTGGACAATGATGTAAAACTCGAAATCATTGCCGAGTTCTACAACACCCAGGTATTCATACCCGTCGTTCGGAATGACTAGCAATGGGTGGAATATTTCTACTCGAGGCAGTGCTCTTTGGCGACACAGAGACATGACAGTTTCACTAGGAGATGGGGACACAACACGCTTGGCTTTTAGTTCTGACCCGAACGGACCTCGTGCTGCCCGCGTGCAATGAAATCTTCCACGATACGGACACATCCCTTTTCTCGAGTGGAGCAAGAACCGAGAATATGCGAACCCAATCATATCCTTGTATCTGGTTTGCAGATAATGATATCCTATGGTAGAGATGGCCACTTACGTGCCCGGAACGATGAATCAGCTCATCGATATCCACGCAGCCAAGATGCCTTTCACCACGTCCTTATTTCTGCTGTGCTGACCATTCCTTGTTCCTCTCTCCATGGTCAAGATCTCACCGAACAACAAGCTTGCTTGCAAAGCTCGCGCCGGCAAAAACCTATCGCGGCCCACGGCCTCCTCGTTCGAAGTAGCTGGTGGTGGAGACCCTATCTTATTCCAACACTCTGATTCTGGCTTTCGGGTTACTATTTACAGCGCTGGATACCTTGGCCTAGGGATTAGAGTCAATGACGGGAAAAGCTTACGAGTGAAGTATCTCATGTTGGGGCAATGAGAGGGTTGGCGGAAGTCTCCAGTCTCCAGTCTCTATGACGAGCTCTCCAACAGGGTAGAATTTAGAAGCTACTATTAAGGAGTCTTACAGATAGACGAATGCTACTTATTAGACTACCCACTGCAAAGGTAGTGACTCGACATCATGTTCTTTTCATTAGGGTAGAGCAGACGGTCTGAACTGAGAAATATTTACTCTCGCCGAACATATGACCCATATACCCTTCGCATATAACTTCTAACCGTGGAAACAAAACGGCCCTGTCTACCATGATGGCTATCTGTCTTTAATTCTTAGAAAGAAATACATTATATACAGATATCCAGTGAAGCCTAGAAGAACACTTTGAAGATGACTTGAAGAATAACAAGAGAGGATGTCTGGCCTTGCAGAGAGATAAGTTCCTGGTGGTACCTGGTAAGGTATTATTACTGTAAGCCAATACCACCGAATACCATAATACCACCCTTCATCGCCACACAAACAACACCCACACTCCTGCTTCATCCTTTATTCTTTTATCTAGCACAGATCCGCGCCTCCGCTCCAGCAACTCGCAGGCAATCGTGGCATCGTACTCCGGATGTGGCCTGTAGAGTCATGACCCAGTTCGTGCCAGTTGATCCCCTGCACCTCGCACCGGTCGGAATGGCCTAGCTTCTCGACGGACGCCGGATACCGCGGGACGACGTCGCGATGACCTGCCAGGCATTTGATCCTCATTAACACGATCCAACATGTCAGTCACAGAGTGAACAAAAATTCATTAAAGCGGCCTCATCCAAATAGGGAAAGTCCCGTTGATTCTAGAACGTCAAGTCTGTATAGGTACATACATACATCTACACATACATTATGTATGTATGCCACATGGCCATGTGGACAACGGGGCACTGCCAGACACCAGACAGCAATCATTACCTTCTTATTGGATCAACGACCCTTCGGAACCACCAGGAATTCTAATTTGCGTGGACGAATTAAATTATATTCACTGGGGTTAACTCGGATGAGGTGGGCTTGTCATTACTTTGTTTTCTTTACCTGCTGATAGTAGTAGTACTAGATGTACTAGTAGATGATTTATCGATTAGGTTGGTGAGGTGCTTGCTTGGCATGCGCGGATAGAGTTATATGTAAATAGAGACTGAAGTTGGTACTTGGGTAAAGTGATGAAGTAACTTATATTATTACAGAGGGGTACTCAGTTGAGTACATATGTTGCTATTAGGTAGTTGTTACCTGGGTTTAAAAGATTTACTTCTGTGGTATATGTATGTACGAGTATTTGTATGGAATGAAGGTGTGATAGACACACTTCTACACGCTCCGCTACTTATTAAGTATTAATATTTATCCATCGATCAATCTTTCCAGACGTCTAACGACCCGAAAGAGGGTGAAACCAGTGGCTGAGATGGTATAGTGGTAGTTTTTCTGGCTGATACTGAAGAGATATTCCAGAATTAGGAGGCCATATTCATATCTATAATGAAGTGTAGTAGGTTTTGAATCCCGCAGCTATTGCAACTGACTGACTGTATTGAATAGAAAGAAGTAACTGGATATATGTCCAGTCTTAGAAAAGAGACTAGAGATGTTACTACAGTATATAATTCTCCTCTTCACTGCTGCCCACTTAGTACTGTTGAATGTGATAGGTAATTCCTGCAAATTCTTAGAAAGTTTCTATAGACTTTATTTTATTTATATATGCATGGTGGCGCTAGAGACAGAATTATGATTTAGTATTCGGGTCATTGAAAGTCCGTATGATCACCTAATAATAGTAGCGGAGGCTCGACCAGACTGTAATAAAACAATCGACGCCTATTTTGGGACAATTACTGTAGTGTTAGTTAGTATAAACCAGTATCGCCACTTGCTTGTAGTATGGCGTAGAATGCTGGTATACCAGAGTAGTATAGTACTATAGAGCCTGACTAGATGGGGAATAAATAACTGAAGTATCCTACGGCGGATCTAGAGAATCCGAAGCTCAAGGTATAGGATGTAAGCCCGGAATTGATATCAGTATCTAGTCAGTTATAGAATATGGCGATCGACAATTGAAAGAACGATGAAGCTGAAACTCATAAAAGAAAGACAAAAGGAAAAGAAAAACGAAATGATACAATCAGAAGAGAAAGACCAAATCGGAAATATACTATCAGCAAGATTCTTGCTTCGGCACAAGCACCCATTCTCTCCAATACCCTTATCGCTCATGCATCATCTACGGAGCTGTCAACGTCATTGTTATCATTTTCATCAACATCATCATCATTGTTGTTGTTGTTATCGTCGTCTTCTCCTGGTTTTTCTCCTTCTTCTTTCCGTCCGTCTTTGCCTTCATCTTCTCCTTCTACACCTTCGTTGTCGACATCCTCTTTATCGATTCTCTCATCCTGGGTAGGATCATGATCGCCAGCAGCGGCTGCCCATCGAGCCTGCTCCTCTGGCCCCGCCGGCCCCGTCACGACTTCCGCCTGAATGAGTTGGACCGGAGGTACAGGTATCCAACTCATACCCATAATGGTATCATGGTAGCTGTAGCGTGGACGTATCACGAGAAGAACCGGAGCACCGTCTTGGGGTTCGAAGCCAGCATGATACCAATGGTCTACCATAGTGTCCGAATGGCGATCAAACTTTGCAAGCTCAGGCAGTCGCTCAACCACGAGATTGCCAAAGAGGCCAGCTTGGCCAGCAATAAACTCCTGAGCCGCAAGCTCTAGAATCAAGTGGAGTCTATCATCGCGGAAAGTCTGCAGCGACTGGCTCAGTGAGTCTTTAAGGAGGAGTCGGAAAAGTCGGCATTCCCACAGCTCTTCCTCATAGGACTTCACGAGTGCTTTGCGCCGTTCATGCATGGGTTGACCGAGGGCTGAGTAGCGGGGACCACCCACAAACTGGACTTCTGCCGTGCAGATGCTCACGAGGGTTGATTTCCACCAAGCTGCGTTCGTGGGCAATACTATGATAAGGCAAAGTGTTAGCGATTCCAAAACATGCAGGAGCGAGGGAAGAGAGGAGAATGCAGACTTGAGATGCACATACTTTCTCTGAACCTCTGGTATATATAGTCAAGTCTCCTAATGAAGTTGGCATCCCCGGGCTGATCCGTAGCATCCATCTTGGCATCCATAAACCAGAAGGGGGAGGTGGCAAACTTCTTGTAGATGAACTGATTGAGCATGGCCTCTAGCAAAACTTTTCCAAACACAGAGCGAGCAGCAGGAGGAAGGGAGGAATGAATCTTGTCCCAGTCCTCTTGGACACAGAATCCATCTAAACTGGCGATAATGGCCTGTTTGTCACCACTGGAGAGATGGGACATAGGTTTGTCTTCACCAAAGCGCCAAGCCCAACTGTGGACCTCTAGATTAATTTTAGAGAATCCCTTTTTGAAATCCGCCGGTATAGATCTCATGTGCGGTAATGCCATAAAGGACATGGACCAAAAATGTTGAACGATTTCATTATACTCCTGTCTCTGACAGAGGTACTGTGTAGTGGGGTACAGAGCTGGTCCCCCTTCGGTCCATATGTCCGGTATAGATTCCTTCTCCATGTCCGGTATAGATTCTTCCTCCATGTCCGGCATAGCTTTCTCCTCCATCTCCGACGTAGGTCCTTCTTCCATATCCGACAAAGTCCGCTTGAGCCGCTTCTGTTGGGTCTGGGGGCTAGTCATAATGGCAATGAACAGTGTGACGCAAAGTCAAAGGTATAATAGGTATTTTTGGTTCGGAGTCTGTTCGGAAGATGGTAGGGGGCTCGCAGAGTTGAGAGAGAGAGAGAGAGAGAGTGTGTGTGTGTGTGTGTGTGTGTGCGGATGAAGAGGAGAGTGATGGGAATTGAGAGACAGTAGAGGGAGGGAAATCGTGCAAGGTTAAAGGGGGGAAAGGTGACCAAAAGTCTATTTCTTCATTCATTCATTCATCCGTTCATCCATTCAGTCAGTTCCTTGGCTGCTCATTGGCCCTTAGGGCTACCCGGCTCTTTGTGTGATGTGAGGCATCAACCCATCCGCAAATCTAGCCTTCGTGAGGGTTTCAGCCGCAACAAACCTTGTCGGATGCCATGCAATTGACTGGTAGATCATTCAAGACAGGGGGAGGAACAGGCGTGTGTGTGAGCGTGACAGAGAGAGACATGGCCAAGTCATGAGATGAACGTGCGAACTGGACGCCATTCTGGTGCTGTTCAAATATAGCACCATGAATTGTAACCTATCTGTAATAGGAGTAGTAGTAACTCTGAAGTAGAATATCGACAAACATAAATAGAGCCAGCTGGTCATACTTCTATCTTCATTCTCGCAAGTTCATACTAGTATTCTCATCAGTCTCCACTGCACATGTATTCAGCTGGTCTTGGATACATCCCTTATTCTTCCAATAGCATCATCTCATCAATACTCAAATTCATTGGCCCCCGCCTTTGTCCATCATGGAACAGACCCAGCTTTTCATTGCCGTGGACTTTGGGGCATATAAAACACGCAAGTTCCTTGTTTCCTCTGGTTTCTTGTTGATTTTATTTTTCACTTCTTTCTTTCGTTCTTTTGTTCTGTCGTTCTGTCGTTCTGTCGTTCTGTCGTTCTGTCGTTCTGTCGTTCTGTCGTTCTGTCGTTCTCTCTCTCATTCTTTCTCTCTCTCTCTTTCTAACATAAACATGCTTTACAGTCATCTCCATCCTCACCACTCTAGGCCTTTTGACCACCTGGGCTACCCATGGCGCTGAGAACGGCATAATCCCTTCAGTATTCAAGTACAACAGCAATCGCCAGCTCGTCTGGGGGAGGAGAGCGGAGGCTTCCCGCGGCAGAGAACCATATGTCTGGGTAAAGCTCGTGCTGGATGGGTCCCCAGATGTGACCACACAGCGCCAGAATCTGAGAGATATCCTGGGCGGTACAATGGAACTAGATAACCTTGGCGCCAGACAGATTATCGGTGACTTTCTTCGAAATTTGCGGGAGAGGCTGTGCAGGGAGTTCGGAGCGCTCGAACCCCAAATCCACTGGTGTTTCACCGAACCAGATTGCTGGTCAGACCGCGGCCGTTTGGACTTTCGGTCTGCAGTTGAGAGCTTCGGATGGTTCGGAAATAACCATCGCATTTCCTATGCATCAGAAGCTGTCGCTGCGGCCGAAGGGGCTGCCTACGAGCACAGGAACGGAAATGGCTTAGAGGTGAGCAGCTACACCCAGCAAGAATCCTTTAAGTGGGCGTGGAACTAACATGTCGGATAACTAGGCTGACGACATACTTCTTGTGTGCGATTGCGGCGGTTCGACTACCGTAAGGCTTATCCGGGTCAAGGCCACTACGTTTCCATTCAGCTGACAATCGATTAGGACCTCGCCATTTTACGAGTAAACGGAACCAATGGCAACCGCCCTTTCACCTTCCAACGCCTGGGAGATCCTACCAGTACGTGCCCCCGAACTTCGGAGGACTGAGGTCTGTACATAAGGAGCTAATCTGTCTCAGGCATTCGATGCGGTGGGTTTGACATCGACTTGGAAGTGGTGCAGCAGCTCCGAACTGCCCACCCGGACCTACCTCAGGACTCCAGACAGTGGGTAAGCGCTGCTCAGGCTCGCCAGGATATCGGCTCTATGAAGGAACAATTCTTAGGCGTGACCGGGAATGAGGTGCATACACTTCGGATTCGGCTGCAGGGAAACCGCACAATAAGCCATGATTTCTACCACGATGCCCTGGTCCGTGCCTTCACTCCAGCTGCGCAACGTATACTTCGGGCAATACATGCACGAATCACCGCCCCAATGGATGCCAGAATTACAAAGGTGATTATGGCGGGTGGGCTGGGCAAGTCGGCCTACCTGCGCCGTCTGGTCGAACGGGATCTTGCACGCGCTTACCCGAATGCCGGACCCAAGTTACTGGGGGAACTGCAGCACAGGTAGGCTGTCTTCAACTTGCAACGTCTGGTAATCGATGAACTGTGTGATTCTGACTTCTCTGGCAGTGTGCAGGCAGTCTCACGCGGCGCAGCACTGTGTGCAGCCAGGTTGCAAGGAGTACAAGGCTTGCAAAGCAACTCCTTCATCCAACTGGTGGTCCCTTTTGTTGCACGGGTTGGAAATGAGCTACGAGAATATTCTGTAGCTCGTATAGTTATCCGACCAGTAAGTTGTCTAGACTTTCCCAATCAACAACTGCTTTGTTAAAAAAAACTTCCGCTAATCCGCTTGCTCTTCGAAGGGGCTTATCCCGTCACAGGGCCACTTCTCGGTCCGCATGCGGTTCTTGGTCACTGCACCAGAGCAATATGTGAGTGTTTGTAGCATACGGCAAGCACAGAGTCAGTTTTCCTTTGCCTTGATCCCCTTTGTTGAGTGTCTCTCTGTGTGACTAACACCTCATTCTAGCACACCGCCTTGCCTTGCACCCGATCACCGATCCTGCTCGTGAGTCTGAGATGAGATTGGAGCATGGTCAACAGGCCGCTCACGAATATCTGATTCGGGTGTACTGGAGAATCCAGCTCGGGACATCCTTGTTCATGCAGTGGAAACTCTGTCTTGAAAATCCACGCAATCCTGATGGGCCTAACGCTCCGGTGGTAGTGGTACACATGCTGCACCGGATACCTCCAGAAGACCTGCAGCCCTTCCCAGCGATTTGAGATTGCCAAATGAGGGGAATGGATGTATATCTTCTTCCTTCCTGATGTCTCCCTCCTCCTCTTTTTTTCCCGATTGCTCACTCTTTCACACTCTCTTACTCTCTTACTCTCTTACTCTCTTACTCTCTTACTCTCTTACTCTCTTACTCTCTTACTCTCTTACTCTCTTACTCTCTTACTCTCTTACTCTCTTACTCTCTTACTCTCTCAACACACTTTCGTTATTTATCTCTAACATTTCAGATTGCATGCACCATAGACCATCATTGTTTCTGTCCCGGCATCAATAAATTGACTACCGCCGCACTTACTAATTATGGAGGAATCTCTCAGATTGTGATAGTATATAGTTGCTAGATAGACTAGAATGACATTGCTGTTTGAACTTGCTCACACTGAAAGGGGAAAGAAGGAATAGGTAAAAACGGACAAAAGAAAGGTTAACTAATGCTAACTCATCTTGTATCCATCAAACTTCTCCTTCAGAGCAAGAGTTCATACCATCTCCTCAATTAGGCACCCTGAGCCCGAATCTGACTTCTCACCGACGCACACAATCTCCTCTTCTTCTCCAGTGATTCGAGCGCACCACTTCCCGTCGCTTGCCGCTTGCCCTGCGATGCGCCAACAGGCCCAAACGTGCACTTCAGCTGGCGGTTCAAGATGTTCGGAATGGACTTGCCGGCTTCTTTACCGAATCCCCGGTTCCGATTAGAAACGGTGGATTGACCATCCCGCAGAGAAAGTCTGATGGGATCTCTGGCCAGCGACGCCTCTCGGACCACGGCCACCTGGCCCTTCTGAGATGGCTGGGATGACGACGGCGAGCTAGCTATCGGTGAGGAGCTCGTGGCCTGCTGGGGCGTCGAAGAGTCGTCGCCTTGCAACGCGTTGTAGAGTGCATCACCGTAGAAACCATTTGAAATCTGACCGGCGATTTCACCTTCCACGGCCCCTTTGATACTTTCCTTAAGAGTTGTCTTGAATCCCGTCTTTGTAACCTCATTGACCGTGTATGAGCCAGCTCGTCCGATGAAGCTCTTGAAGTTGGTCGCGAATTTGAGTCCAGAAGCTATAGCCCGGCCACCAGCCTCCCCGAGCACACCACCGACCAATCCGCTAAGGGCGTCGATTCCAACGGACTTCCAGGTGGGCAGTCGCCCTTCGACTAAATCTCCTACCGCTCCGGCTGCGACGCTGGTCGCCACTCCGGCTGCGATTCCCACGCCGATCTCGATGGCCACACTTGCCCCGGCTGTGAGAACGCCGACTGCAACGCTCACAACAACGCTGGCTACGGTAGTAATCACATCTTTCCAGCTGAAGCTGAAGAGTCCGAAGAAGCTCCACTGGCCGCTAGGGTCGACGCGGTTGATTGGGTCTCCCAGACAGTAAGCATAAGCGTTGACTTCACCCGTGCCGAACGGGCTGCCGGGGTCGGGGACATGGTAGCGCATCAAGACGGGGTTGTAGACTCGGTATCCGTTACCCAAGTGGTACCATCCTGTGACTGGATCACGCCACTGGCATTAAACCCTATGGAGGAGGCTGAATCAGGGGCACCGAAGCCGTAAGGTGTGTACTGCTGTTGGTGGATCTGGTCTGGTTGTGCTGTGTTGAACCAGTTGAGCACAGAGCCATTGGCGTCAGATCCCCAGAGCTGAATCTCGGTAGAATCACCGCTCTGGGTACTCTGCCCTAAGTATTCATTGCCAGCAGAGATATAGCTCACTTGGCGGTCTCCGGACTTGACGCTGATAAGCTTGTCTTGTCGGTAGAACAGCTGGGTATCTGGCTGGTCGGGGATTGACTGGGAAATTAATCTGCCAGCTGCATCGTAGCTGTATTGACTGAGAAGGTTGCCACTGCTATCTTTGACTGACTCCAGACGGCCGCCGCTGTCGTATTCCAAGGTACGACCTTGCTCGTCTTGGGTGAGACATCCATTGGAATCATATTCCAGGGTGATTTGAGATGTAAAATTAGGATGGCTGTTTGCAATTTGACTGAGCTGGGTCGGATCATTCTTGCTGTATGAGTAAGTCGCCGTGTTTTGGGTACCATCTTGGAAACCAGTTGTGACAGATGTTATGTTATCGAGGTTATCGAAGGTGAATTCCTGCGTTTGTATCTCATGTCCCTTTTCATCCTTAGGAGGTTGGCTTCCCTCACATTTGTACGTGACCAAACGGTTGTGCTCGTCATAGGTAAACGATTCGTTTCGTACAGTCTTCCCATCAACTTCCAATTGCCGCGTGGTGATAAGACTTGTTTTGCCGTAGGATTGGGTCAGTTTAGACACCTGCTTGTCCCCTTGCAAAACGGTGCGCTCGATTTCTCGACCGAAATCATCGTAGATAAGGCTGGTGGTCAGGTTGGAGTCATGCTCTTTGTCTTGAACAGTAGTGCCACACAGACGGTTGGCGCTGTCGTAGGAATAAGAGACCGTGAGGGATCCTATAGTCAAGGAACTCAGACGGCCAGCACTATCATATGTGTTTTGGTATTCCTTGCCATGGACGTCGGTATATCCTTGCAGCTTCCCGGCCATCGAGTATGTCGACTGTGTAGCAAAGGACGCGGTACCTTCGCTGAGATCGAGCGCTTCACTTTTTAGTAGGCCTGACGGGAAGTACTGACGATCCGCAGTGCTGGATGAGCCTTTGAGCTGTAATGCAACGCCCGTCTTGGAGTCATACTTGTACGTCTCATTTCTGTCCTGGCCACTGACTGTGGACAGCGACTGGCGCAAACCCGGCTCGTATGTAAGTTTGAAGTCGCCCTTGTCCGTGGCAATCTGAATTGGCTCTGGGGTGCTACCCTGATAGGATTGCTTCAAACTGCGTCCACCGACTGTTCGCCGCGTCAATCGGTCCAATCCGTCGAAAGACTGCCCACCAAGGCTTGTGTCGTTGACTTGGAGTGAGGTCGGGAGGGCTGCCGCGCTTTGGGTGGCATACTGGACGTTGACTTCCCGGCCGCTCGCCCATGTGGTCTTGGTGACTCGGTCAAACGAATCAGGTTGGTATTTTGTCTTGCGACCCAAGGCATCCTCTTCTTCAACCAGTCGTCCAAGGCCATCATAGTTGTATGTAAGCTTGCTGTACTCAGTTCCATCTTTACCCAGAAGGCGGATTTGAGTAGGCACGCCGGACAGATTGAGCTGCGTCACGGTTTGACCTTCGCCTTCGATTCCTTCTGTTTGGCTCAGGCTGATAGGATCCGTCTCTGAAATCGTCGTGACGCCGGTGCTGTTGTCTATCGTCTTCAGGACCTGACCCCAGTTATCATACTCTAGTTTCTTAATCGTTCGTAGTTCCGTTGGATCGCCTTCTTTGGTACGCAGCCAGTCAATGTCAATTTGTTCAACATTCTGGCCCACAGCATTGTAAGTACGCTCCTGCAGTGAGCGAAAAGTGCCGGAATATGTGTTGGTAGATGCGTCCCACGAGCCATCATCGTCCTGCCTCTTCACTTGGCAAATTCTCTCCAGGCCGTCGGAAATGTATTGTGTTTGAACACCTTTGGCATCGGTCACTGACAGCACCATGCCACTATTGCCGTCGTCAGGAATGGCGTAACTGTTGTAGCGGACCGCTTCCTGTTCGGTATCAATCGCTGTTGCGGCTTTCACCAATCGACCCAATGCATCATATTGGAAGACATCCTGGATACCCGCATCATCTGTCTGCCCAGTAACCTGCCCAGACGACAAGGAATGGACAGTCTCAAACTTGGCCGAAACGCCATCAAAGCCGACCGTAGTGAGTGTCTTTTTCAGTTCATCGCTATTGAGATACTCATAAGCATATGTCTGTGTCGTGGCGCTATCTTTCGACGATAACCATGTTTTCTGTTGTTGGACGCGTCCATGATCGCGTGAGTCTGGCTGGTTGACATACGCATATTCGGCAGTGGTCAGCGACGTGTCCCCATCGAGGGTGACGCGTGATGATGGCACGACAACTGTCTGTACAGTCGCATTGCTCGAAGTAGGGAGCTCCAAATAACTAAACTTCTCTGTTCTGGTCGGTGCAGTAAAGGAAGACTCTGCCGGGGTCACTGTTTCTGTTTTCAGATAACGTTGGAAACCATGAGGGTCAGCCGGGCAGTCTGCCTCTCCGTCTGGGGCATAATATGTGCGAGTGGTAATCAGGCCATCCGGCTTGATCTCTGTGGTTGGGTTGCCCCATTCGTCAAATTCAGTTGTTGTTGTTGTTTCTGTCCGACTGGAGGCTTTTGTGTCCGCATAGGTGATTGCGACCGTTTTTGGTAACAGGTATTGCGCAGGCTGATCATCAAACGCTGTACTTGGAGTAGCATGATACGTGATATCCTGCGTGGTCTTTTTCGTGTTCAGCTGTTCCTCGATCTTGGTGGTCACGTGGAACTTGTTGTACGTATAGGTTGTGGTGGTTCCACCCTCAAGCTGCGCCGTGGATGTGTACTGGTATTCCGCAGGCACCTGATACAGATTATCACCGGTACTGCTCCACTGCCGTGCCCCTCCATAGCCCAGGAAGTTATATGAGGAGTAGCTGTAAGTTGTTTTTATGGCGGGCTGCTGACGTTCTGGACGCGCCACGTGAGACACTACGTATGGAATCCTCGCATAAGGCGCTCCAGAGGACAGCTGGTGACCATCTTGTTTGTAATTGACCTCTTCAACTAAACCAGTAGGGCTTGTCACTTGCGACACGCACACGAATCCGTTGCTGAGAGAGTTGTAGGAAAACTGCCATGGGGGCGTGTCGTCATCCAGTGGCAGTTTAACCTGGGTTAGCTGCGCATTACGCCGTATAAGGGTGAAGGTGCTGGCAGCGGTTGTTCCTGGGGCCTTGGTGATGGTCACCTGCGTATCGGAATACTGAATATCCAGCAGAACGTCATCACCGTCCTGGATCTTGCTCAGTCGTGGCTGTTCACCGTTGCGAGTCCATTCCAGACTGAGTGGACGACCGTTTGCGCCGTAAATGGTGATCGGAACGGATTGGTTGTAGGTATTGTTAAAACCAGAGAGAATCTCTACCTGGCCTGATTTGTACGCCACTTCATAAGTAGATCCCGCTGATGATCCTGTTCGTTTTGCCTGGAAGCTCTTGAGCTTCTGGTCCTGGATGAAAAAAGCACTGGTCGTCTCAGTTGCTTGGAAGTTTTCTCCCGTCGAGAGCAACAAAGTCTTGCCTTGGCGATGGTTTCGTAGGAGGGTAGATTAAAGGACCAGCCAGTGCCTAGACCGATATCTTTGGTGTTGAGCGGATTGTAACTCAGCGATAGATTGATTGACGGGCAGTTGCGAGTCTCAGATGGTGCATCAAAGAGTTTAATGCTGACGGTGTATTGTCCAGTACGAGGATCAACTCCCTTCTGCAGAAAACTTTGGAAATTGAAGCTTTGGGAGTAAAGATCACTTGGGTTGGAAGACATGATGGGCTGTTTTCTGATATCCAACAAAACTGTGATTCATGCAACGGAAGGATTGTGAACAAGGGCAGTTGAAGCTGGATCTTTGAGCCATATCCAGCTCCCTATATATACTAAATGCACACTTGTAAATGACTACATGCTTTTAATCTATCTGCAAAGAGGGGCAGGAGCACGATGACTGAATTGTTGGTGTAGCAATCTATGTTGACTTCGTCACCTCCAACCCGTAAACGCAGGTCTCGACACTACACATGCATGTCTTACTGGTGGAACATGATGATGAGCATTCGTCCGTCTGCGAAATACTGTTGCCGCTTCAAGTTGGCCCAGCACGTCAAGTAGGCCTCACTCGGATCGTGCATGACACCATGATGGTGGCAGTATAGCATGCATTGATTACGACCCCGTACATACTGAAGTCCCAGACTCCCAATTGCAATGCAGTATCATTACAAGTCTGTCGGACTCTCCGAGATGCTGCAGTACTAGTGGAGTGCTGCAACTGCTAAGAAGACCAGCCGATGGCCACTAGTTGCTCACATTGTTCGATTTTGCCAGCTGAAATCTCAGCTCGGGAATATATCCCGAGATGATGGATCCGAAGCGGATTAGTATTGGATACTAGTATGAGGGGTTATGAAGCGAGTCTAGGCAATACTAGGAATGTAGTTATTATATTAATGTTACATTGAATGAATCAGCTCTTCTATCGCTTATGGAAGGTGGAAGACGCGTCAAGGCGCACCCGATTTTCGTATGGAGTAGCCATAGGGCCTCATCGATCGCTTGGCCCCGTGTCGCATGGCACGAGCCACTGCATCTTTCCTAAAGTTACCGCAGATTGCTGCAACCTTAAGAACAATCAAATCCCGAGTACGGTGATATCTTAATAAAAAATTTTATTGATTCATTTAGTCTATATTCAGTGGAAAGCGTGACTCGGGGGAGGGGGGTGTGTAGTCCTGAAGGAATGCCTGCTGGGTCATGACAAGTTCACCCCACCCTGCTGGTGGTGCTGTGGTGGCCAGAGATCTTCGAGCAGTCCGACTAATCACTAGGTAGAATCAGCTTGGCGCCACTCGGAGATGAATCGTAGCATTTTGCCGCGGCGTTAGTCTAGTAGATGGGTGGTGTTACAGACCCCTGCTAGCGGAAGCACTAGTGAAGAGGACTCTCTGCGCCGTCCATCACTAATGCCAACAGAGAAGGTATGCAGTGGCTCTGGTGGTGGTTCAGTACTAGCTCAGTACTTTGTTACTCTTCATGGACAGGATTGGAATCGATCCTGAAGGTGACTTCATTTAGAGATCGTCGTTGAAATAAGGGCCCAGACTCTGACTGATAGGTTCCGCTCGCCGTTGACAATAGATTAAGCGCTCCTCGATCAAGCAGGCTGCAGGAGTGTGGCAAAGCCCAGCAATCAACATGCATATGCATCCAGGGCGCAGCTGAACCCGCTGAGGGGAAGTACCATGTCAGTACTATCTATGCACTATCCTAGACAAATGCTCGAACCCGTTTTGACTTGACTGACCCACTATGGAGTGAGCTGAAAGCTCATTCTATATAGCACTACACATGCATTGTAACCTTCATGTGGCCAACGATCGATGAGGCAGGATTTCCATTGGTCAAAAGCCCCCGGAGGATCTCGTAAGATGGGGTAGATTCAAAGAAGAGGGTTCGGTCTCATCAATTAACCAAATCCCGAAGGACCTGTGTGATCCAGATCTGATATCGGAGTAATGGTGTGCTCTCAATTCGTACAACTGACATGATGGGCATCTGCTATTGCTGTCTACGTTTTAGAAATCTATAATAACCCCTTAAATCACTGTATGCTCAGAGGTCTTTGCTACCCACATCAATCAGATCAGTTATCATTCATCCATTATCTCATCATGGGTTCAACTTCCGTCTCCTGGGAGGTTACCTCGCTCGAAGTTCAGACCACCACGCCCAGCGCTACAAGTGATGGGCTTTACGCCAATGGCAACATGCAAGTTCCTGTGGTTGTTGTTATCAAGACTATTGATCCAGATACAAACACTTCCTATCAATTGAGTGAATCGGACCTCGAGACAATCAAACTCATCGACTATGACGACCCTCCCACGGAACTTTCGGGATCGTGGAGCTATTCTACCACAGAAAACGAGTTCGACCACTCGCTGCCATGAACCAAGAAGGCCCTCCAGCCTGACCTATCTCTAACAGATGGGGGTTCCCAAAAGAAGCGCTACTGGGTTACGACAACAAAGGTGGAGAACAAGAGAGTCGCCGCGAGCATCAAACAGCCCAATGGGACTGTTGTCCATACCGCGGGTGACCCCTATGATTCCAAAGCTACACTTACGGGCACAAACGTAGTGACGTACAAATTGGATGATATCAATCTTCGAAAAGGCGATACTACATCCGGCACTGGCGAAACCGTGGCTTCGCAGAAATGGTCTCGTACAAACTATTATCTTACCACCAATAAATACCCACTCCGAAAAGCAGATGTCAATGGCTATACTTTGCGCACGGATCAGGGCGTGGAAAATTATTACCTGGAAAACGCCATGGCTTGCTTCCCCTCCGGCAGCAATGAACTCGATATCTTCTACTATTGGCCGATGGGCCCAGAAGAAACGCGAAGGTTGGGGGGCGCTTCTGGGGCTCCTATTGAGATCACCGTGAATGAGGAAAGCAACGCCCTATGCTTTACCCATATGCATCTTCAGAATTATGACTTTGGGTGGATTCCCAATTTCCTATTCGATTACCGATTTACTTTCTATGACCAATTCGGAAACCCTGGCACTTTTTGGGTGGGCTATAATGATAGCCACACTACTCTGGAAATCTTGGACCACAAGTATACCGCCGACAATTATGGACATGATGCATGATCTAAGCTTCATGTAGAAAACAAAGTTTGCTGGTCCTTGCAATCTACGCATACCTTTACTATGGCTACCTCTACTATCAATTCACTCATTTGAGGGTCATATGCTGTTGGCGTAAAAGTAGCCCTGGGAGAAACGACGCCGACGGCCAGAAGTACCTGGCAAGCCACCGAACCGTATTACTACTCCCCACGTTGGTCCCTCATACGAGGATATTAGAGGTATGGGAAACGTCTTCAGGCTTCAGATATCGTTATGGTGTATACCATGGTGTATATGCTAGAGCGGTATCGTCTTACTACAATTCTCAGCAGATACTTAACTTAATACCGTTAATATGGGATATGGAACGTCCAACAAAAACTGATCTCCACTATATATTACCAGATGGTTAGTTAGTTAGTAGAGAGGCGTTTAGTCATAATTGGGGAAAACCTAAATATTTAAACCAAGCCGTAGGTCATAAAGGCTGTCGGATACTCTGCATATATACGGCGCAGCTCTTCGCTTGCTGTCATTGCGTCCATAAACAAGTATTGTCCGGAAAAGCTTCTAATGACCTATTGTGGAATTTCCCTAACAACAGTATGTTAAACCGACACTATTACTTGTACCCTTGGTTGACGACTTGAAGGGACAAGAAAAGCAACGGAGCATCTCTAGCGTGTCATTCGCTTCTCATTCTACACGCTCAGAGTCCCACCCTCACTACTATATACCTATTTCCATCCCATACAGAGAGAATCTTAATAAGTACCCACATTTATAATTGAACATCAACTCCAGAATATGGGTCCAACTTGCTGCACTAGCATATACTACAATAACTGTCAATAATCACGTGATTATATATTTTCGTCCAGTGGAATTTCCTTTTTGAGTAGCTCCGCCTCTTCCAACCGCTCACTCGTCTTGAAGTAACCACAATGCTTCGGAAAGTATGGTCTTCGTCATATCAATCTTCTGTATCATTCCAGATCCTCTCTGATCTTCATCTGGAGGTTAGCCAACAATACTCATCTTATGAGTTTCCCGCTTGCGCAGAGTATCTTATCCTCGCGGGTGATATCGGACGCTTAACGGACTATAATGATTACCGCAACTTTCTGCAGAAACAGACTGACCGGTTTAGATCAGTGTTTCTCTTACTTGGGAACCATGAGTTCTATAATGAGACGTTTGATACGGGAATAGAGATGGCAAAACAACTTGAAGAGGATCCTTCATTTGATGGACGGTTGATTGTCCTCCATCAGAAACGATACGATGTTCCAGGTTCTAATGTTAGTATACTTGGGTGCACGCTTTGGTCAAAAGTACCCCAGGAATCGGCCGAAGTTGTCCAGTCAAAAGTGAAAGATTTTCAAAGAATTTCAGACTGGTCGGTTGATGACCATAATGCACGCCATGATTTTGATTATTCCTGGTTGATGAAGGAGGTACATTCGATACATGCGGAGAATAGAACAGTGGCTAAAGACAGTAAACGACGGTCAATTCTCGTTGTAACACACCATGCGCCTTCGCTTCAGGGGACATCGAACCCCAAACACGCTCAGAGTCCTTGGAGTGTTGCCTTTGGAACTAATATCCTGTCAGAGGTTCCGGACGGGGTGAAAGTCTGGGTGTTTGGGCACACTCATTATAATACAGATTTCAAGGAGAAGGGGGTACGAGTTGTGAGCAATCAACGGGGGTATGTGCTGCCTGGGAGTGATCCGAAAGCAGACAGCGGGTTTGATGTGAGGAAGGTCATACAGCTATCATAGAATTTCAAGCTCTGTCTCTAGCCTGTAGGCATACAGATACAGCCCAATCTCAACTAACCTGTTATTCCCCAATTACAACTCCTCCCACTCCTACTAGGAAGAAGGCCCAGCCCCATTAGTAGTGGTTGAGAGAGCATATTAAGGAGTTAGTACGCAGGTATAAATTAGTAATTCAAGGGTGGAGTGCGATGGCTGATGAGAAGACGGGCTTCCGCCCAAGTCATGACATATCGGCACAATATGCTTAGCCATTATGGGAGAATTGGCCTTGGCGATGGTTGATTAATACCAATTGCTCGGATGTCGTCAAATTAAGAGACATTATTTGCGCTAGTATTACCAGCATGCCAGCCACCATCGGAATGGATGTGGGAGCAACTTGGAGTGTGCAACTGTTGTGTCGTGGCTTACCCCAGGCTGTGGGGTCGAATCCAACCCCGCGCGGGTGCGTTGGAGAGATCGGCTATACAAACATTCCATCGAGTCACCAGGGATTGGAATGCATCTTAATGAGAGCAATTAATGTACCATGGACCCCATAGAACAACAATCGAACACAACGCAACCATAATGCATCCGACCATGGGTCCTACCTTGCTTTTACGAAGGCTCAACCAATGATGCGAACCGCTTAAACTTCATAATGACTTCACCCAGCCAAAACCAAGCAATCATAACGCTTCGAGACCAGAGAAGCGCGGCTGGGAGCAACAGCCGCCTGTGAGTATAGTCCATCATGCGGAGAGTCCCATCGTCATCATCCCATCATCAACGCCACATTTGGACCATATATCATGCCGGGCCCGTGCCCCAGTTCGCTTCAGCCGTTAGTTTCGTCGTATGCCATTGTGAATGTAACCATCTGAACTGAACACCATTTAGGCAATTGTACTACCATCTGGTACGCTTGCTGTTTTGTCCTTGGTTGGGAGTGCAGATGTGCTTGATTGCCATGGAGATGGGCAGCAGTTTCAGCCAGATTATCAACTAATGGTTTTCTACAGAAAACATACAACCACCATGACCTCAAGAGGTTCGAATCCCGTCTCGCGCCTTGCGGAAGCCGCCAAGGAGAAGGTTGCGCCAAGTACCTCCTCCAAGGCTAAGGATCCCACCGAAAACTGGACCCCGGAGGAGATGTTCGAGACCACGTTGGATAAGAACGGCAACCCAGTACCCGATGCCATCTCGTATATCGATGGGCCTAAAATGACCCAAAAACGACAAGGTCCAGACGAGGGAGATGTTTTTGACGCCGCCAATCAAGACTTTGACTAAGTCAAGCCCGATGGGAAGGATGACGCTGGAGGCGTCCATAGAGGGGGCAACGCGGCTATATGATATGAGACCATGCGGAATGTTCGATGCTGTCAGTCACTCTTTGCAGGACAAGAGCGGTGGATGCTGAGACATGAGTGCATGCAATGTGTAAATGTGGATAGTGCTAGTAATTTCCCGGTGGTACACTCCTTGACCACCTGGCCAACAGAAACAATCAGATTGTATGCAATCGAGACATATCCTTGCATCCTGCATCCTCGGCGGTCTGTGTCTCTCCGGACACAGCAGTAAGTCTTCCTTATCGTGAGTTCGTGTCCCTGGCTGTCCGTAGAATTGCCATGGCAACGACCCGCTGCCAGAAGGTCTATGCGCTGCCTCAGGCTCCCTACTATTCCCGATCGGGAAATCCCCAAACGAGATCATGGCGATGCGATTCATTCATCTGAACTCCCATGACTTAACCCCCCAGTACTCTGTTGTCGCTTCTGGTCCCTCCTCGATCGCTGCATCTCCTCGTGGGCCTTCTTTGAGAGGGGGGTGTGTGTGTACTGTCTTCTATCCCCTTGCGTACCACTGCATGTTTCTCTCTTTCACCTTCCATCGCAGGAGCTTTCCCGAAACCCCCGACTGCCCGGCTGTTTACCCCATGTCGAGAGTGGAATCGCTCTGTTGTCTAGTGCCGGATGTCAATTGAACTTGCAGACGGACGCACCGCGCAAGCATATACATTCTGGATATCCTCCTTGTCTAGTTCCCCCCCTTCGAGGGCGAGCACTACGCCCATTCTTGGGTCCACTAACCCAGCAGCCACCACCACCACCCCCCATACCCTTAATATCAATCCCTCCTCGATAAGAAAAACCCGCCTCTCGGTCCCTACCATTCGGTGGTACAGTTGCCTGTATGTACCATTGCCTACTTCAACGCCATCGTGAACACCTCACTCAGTTTGTACAGTTCTTGAGGGATCACGGTCACGAAATGGCCCTGGACCCCCGTTTCTACCACCATATCGGCCACGGCTCCGGGCCTGGCTCCCAGTCCTCCGCCTCGTCATCCGGGGTCTCCGCGATAACCGGCATCACCAGTCCTTCGGCTCATTCGATGACTGCCTCCGCCGCTACCTTACGATCAACCGCGTCCAGTCCATCGCTGCGCGCACGCGAGGGCGTAGCCGTGTCTGCGCACCACCGAGTCGACAGCATGTCTAGTCCTTCCGCCGGCGGCAACGTGCGCGTTGTCGTCCGAGTGAGAAAGTTCCTTCCCAGAGGTACGTCTGGCTGAACGGTAAAGAGTATACGGAAGGGAAGCTGACAGTCCTCCCATTCTTGGGAACTTAGAAATTAACCGCAATGCCGAATGTCTGATCAGCATGGATCCGCATACGCAGACGACCAAGCTACGAGCACCCCAGATCAGCCCGGAAGACGAAGGAAAGCCTAAATCGCAGGCGCGCGGAAAGGTGTTGGAGGATAAATCGTTTGTCTTTGACAACTCTTTCTGGTCGCATAACGAAAGAGACCCTCATTACGCTCACCAAGAAGACGTCTATAACTGCTTGGGAGAAGAGTTCCTGGACCACAATTTTGAAGGGTACCACACCTGCATATTCGCCTATGGCCAGACGGGCTCTGGCAAGAGTTACACCATGATGGGCACGCCGGAAGCGCCTGGACTGATCCCTCGGACCTGCGAAGATTTGTTTCAACGGATTGAGAGCGCCGAATCTCCGGATATCAGTTTCAACGTGCGCGTCTCCTACTTTGAAGTCTACAATGAACATGTGCGCGATCTGCTCGTCCCTCGGAGCGACCCGCCGCACTACCTTCGTATTCGGGAGTCCCCGTTGGAAGGCCCGTACGTCAAGGACCTGACGGAGGTGACAGTCAAGAGCTTCGACGAACTCATGAAATTCATGCGCAAGGGCGACGTATCGCGCACTGTGGCCAGCACGAAGATGAATGATACGTCGTCCCGATCACACGCAGTGTTTACTATTACTCTGAAACAGATCCACCACGACCTGTCGACCGATGAAACCACTGAACGCACGGCACGAATACGTCTCGTCGATCTGGCAGGTTCAGAACGAGCCAAGTCCACGGAAGCAACCGGTCAACGACTGCGCGAGGGGTCCAATATCAACAAGTCCTTGACAACACTAGGCCGAGTCATTGCCGCACTGGCAGATCCCAAACCGGGTCGAGGAGGCAAACGCAAGGGCAAGGATGTGGTCCCGTATCGCGATTCAATTTTGACCTGGCTGTTGAAGGATAGTCTCGGGGGCAACTCGAAGACGGCAATGATAGCATGTATCTCCCCCAGTGACTACGAGGAAACGCTCTCCACCCTACGATACGCAGACCAAGCCAAGCGCATTCGCACACGCGCCCGCGTTAATCAGGACCACCTCTCCGCTGCCGAACGCGATAAGCAGATCGCCGAGATGGCGGAAACGATCCGCACACTCCAGCTGAGTGTCAGCCTGGCAGCGGCCAACCGACGAGAGAATGAGATGCAGAACGAGCGCCTCGAAGATTATCAGCAGAAGGTAGAGAAGCTTCAGCGACTAATGGAGGAGACGAAAATGGTGAGTGAGTGTAAGATCCGGCAGCTGCAGACAGAGAATGAGGCCCTGCGCAATCACCTCAAGCTGGCCTTGGACAGTATCCGGAACCCGATCCCTCCGGTGGTGGTGCATAAGCGCCGGAGTGGTCTATACAGTGTGAATGAGAACGATGGCTCTCCGTCCAATCGCAAGCGGCTCAGCCGTGCCCGATCGCCTCCGTCTGACGTCGAGCCCGAACCCGAGCCGGACCTCATCTGGGAAGACGAAGACACGATGCAGAGCGAAGCCAATCATGTCGAAGCGCAGGAAATGCAGACGCACATGGAGAATCTCCTGGACGACCTGAGCATGTTCAAGCGCAAGTTAGCCACAGACCACGAGCGATTCCGACCCAGCTGGAAGCCTGAAGGGCGGAAGAAGCGACGAGCGCTGGGCGATGTTTGGGCCAACAATCGATAAATGGCCAATTTCGAGAATAGAATGGGATGGGACTGGACTGGGTAGCGTGGGTGGCTTTGTGATTATGGCGTTGGATGGATTGATGAATTGACTTGGATGCACATAATTGGAGACGCTGGTTTGATTTGAACTGGGTCTCGCTGCGATGATATCTTTGCTGCTTTCTTCTTTTTCTCTGGCCTTTAGCTTTTACTTTTCTGGCACGATGACATGATTGTATGGTAGGATGACAAGGATGCTTGATGCCCGAATACCATGAAACCTTGTGATTAGTGGATGCACATCGGCTGTGGCTTGATCATTTGTCTGCCCAGCTCTGACTCAGGTACATGCTATAGTTAGTATACATTGATACATGATGGTGCCAGTTATAGATAAATAGAATATCGTCTGGTACAGCAATTCCTAGTTAACGACGGTGAGATCCGGTCTCAGCAACTCCCATTGACGCCCCTCCCAACCACCACAAAGCTCTTTACTAGTGAAGTAAAGTAACACAGTGGAATGCTACTCCTAGAGAAGCTCCTTACACTGGGAAGCACCGTGGTGCAATACTTGGGTGTTCTAGTGGTGGTGACAGCAGCTTATGTGAAGCAGCAGCAGCAAAGCGTGAGTCAACGACGGGAACGGGTTTCATCGCCGGCTCCCCCCACAACATCCACTTCTTCTTCCACTTCCTCCGCCGAAAAAGTCTCCAATGCCCCTCCCGATCGCCTCGATTCTCCCCCTCCGTCCTCCTACTACACATTTCCTCTCATAATGGCGACCCCCGTTGACTCCTCACAACCCCCGGCTGAAATGCAATCCCAGCAATCATCATCATCTCCAGGCGCTGCCGCTGCTGCCGCCGGCGCCAACGCCTCCGCTAAGCCCGCTAAACCGCAGCAATCACAGCCCGCCAAGCAACAATCACAACAGCAACAATCACAATCCAAAGGAAAGGATACTGCCGCCGCTGGTGGAGATGGTGCCGCGCTCTCCCCCGCCGAATTGAAGAAGAAAGCCAAAGCTGAAAAGGCCGCCCGTCGCGCTCGCGAACGCGCCGAACGTGAACAGTCCGGTGGTGCTGCTGCTGCGCCCGGTGGGGGTCAGTCAGCTGCTGGTGGTAAGAAGGGCGCATCGGGTCCTGGTGGTGCTGGGGCTGGCGGAAAGGATGCTTCTGGTGCTGCGACGCCTCAGAAGGGTGGTCATCAGAAACAGTTGCCTCGCCGGGGTTCGGCGCAGGCGACCGGCCAGCTGGGGGCGGCGGAGTTGAAGAAGAAGCAGGAAGAGAAGAATGTTTCGGTCTTTGGACATCTGTATGGTCAGCAGCGCAGGACTACGATTGCTGGCGCTGGAAAGGAAGTTCATCCGGCGGTTTTGGCGCTGGGCATGCAGATGAGAGATTATGTGGTTTGTGGTAGTAGTGCCAGATGTGTTGCTACTTTGTTGGCTTTCAAGAGGGTATGTCTTTATTCTACTGATATGCTGTGGGGCTCAGGATGTGTTAACGTTTGTCAGGTTATCGAAGCTTATACTACCCCCTTGGGAACCTCTCTCGCCCGCCACTTGACTACCCACCTCTCGCACCAGATTACCTACCTCTCTACATGTCGTCCCTTGTCTATCAGTCAGGGTAACGCTATTCGCGCCCTTAAGCTCGCCATCTCCTCCATTGATCCGTCTGTCCCCGAAGCCACCGCCAAGGCCTCGCTGTGCGATTTCATCGACAGTTTCATCCGTGAGAAGATCACCGTCGCCGACCAGGTCATTGCCGGCAGCGCAGCACAGAAGATTCAGGATGGAGACGTTATCGTGACATTTGCGGGCAGCTCGATCGTGAAGCAGACGCTGTTGGCAGCACACAAGGAGGGCAAGCAATTCCGCGTTTCCATCATCGACTCGCGACCCCTGTTCGAGGGTAAGAACCTGGCGCGCACGCTCGCCAACGCCGGTCTGGACGTGCAATATTCCCTCATGAACGGTATCAGCCACGCCATCAAAGACGCCACTAAAGTGTTCCTGGGCGCCCACGCCATGACCAGCAACGGTCGCCTGTACTCGCGCGTCGGCACCGCGCTGGTCGCCATGTCAGCCAAGGAGCGCGCCGGCGGCGTCGAGGTTCCCGTCATCGTATGCTGCGAGACAGTCAAATTCACAGACCGCGTCGCGCTGGACAGTATCGTCGTCAACGAGATCGCGGACGCCGATGAGCTGGTTACGGTCGAGCCGGTGCAGCAGCTGACCGGGTTGCCGGATCCCGCAGCGCAGCCGGCCGTAGAGCCCAAGAAGGGCGGCAAGGCCAGCAGTGCGCCGGTGGAGACGAGCACGGCGGCACAGAGCAAGTCGTCGCCGCTGGAGGATTGGAAGGAGTCGGCGAATCTGCAGCTGTTGAATATCATGTACGATGTGACGCCGGCGGAGTATGTGGATATGGTGGTGACAGAGATGGGCAGTCTGCCGCCGAGTGCAGTACCTATAGTGCATCGGATGAGTACGAACATGTAGGTTTTTAGTTACGGTAGTTAGATAATGGGTTAGCAACATGATTTCTCTGGTGACTGGATGTACTCCGTAGTTGGTGAAAGCGGTGTTTTCACACCCGACTTCCATTCCGTAAACTCGTCGCAACAACTTCAACACCAACACTCGTCACAAACACAACAACCAACTACCAACTACCAACACATCACGTCTCAATTCAGTCCACAATAATAATACTCAACCATACACTAAACATACCACTACACACTACCTCACCTCCACTCCAACTCAAATCCGCGGTCTGCGTTCAAAATGGTACCTCCCCTCCATCCCCATTCCATCCCCATCTCATCCCCTCACCACCACCACCTCTTCATCCTCATCCCCTATACTAACATGAAATAAAAAAAAAATAGAGCAAAGACTCCACCCCCACACACATCCACATGCACCACCCGCGGCTAGCAGACTACTTCGAAGACTTCACGCGTCCACACCACACCACCACCTCCACCAGCAACAACCCCTACACATCCGCCACAAACAACCAAACAATGACCAACGGCGCAACTACCTCGCCCACCCTGACACCCTCCTTCCTCCCTATCGAAGACATCTACATCCCGCCGCAGTATCAGCCGCCTAACCCGGAAGACGAGGACGATGTTGTGCCGGACCAGCATGCCGCGTTTGGGATTGCCAGGGCCATGGCGCTTCAGGGACGTAGGGGGGAGGGTGCGTGGAGAGATTTGGGGCTGGAGGGGTTGGTTAGTGGGAGTGGTACTGGAGGAACAAGTGCTGGGGGGATTGGGGTTGGGGGAGGGGGAGGGGCGAAGGTGAGGGTTAGAGGGGAGGGGAGGTTGATGGGTGGGAGGAGGAGGGTGGTTTGTTTGAGGTGATTTCTCTATTTCATTTCTTTTTCTTTGTCTTTTTGTATTGGGGATGAAAGGGAAAAGATGGCGTTGTGGTGATTGTTGCGGCTTGGCTAGGCTAGTATACCCTGCGTTTATGCTTTATGCTTATGTGGATATGGATGGGTATGGAGTCCTTTCGTGGAATCATCATTATCATGTATACTACTGCTGCTGCGCTATATCCGTATTATGTCTACCCGGGCCCGTTCATACAATTTATGGCTGACCTGCTTCTGTTCCCTTTCTTCGTCTTCTATCCGCCGTGGCTGGATCGCCATCTGTGCGTATGTGCCTGCGCCGCGGCGCTTGGAGAGTGTGCCGGGGTTGATTACCGTTACGCTGTCTACTACCTGTGTAGTTGTTAGCATTCATCATACAGAATACAGATCACTGAGTGTGGTACTCACCTTGACAAACGGCGGCAGCATGCTCGGCGTTATCAACACGTCTGGCCGCACATTCCACCACTCGCCCAGCTTCGAATAGCTCACATCTACCATCCCCCCTGTTGCAAGACCGGTCCCCGCTCGTGGCAGCATATCTCTGCTTGATGTCGGGAACATTGGCTGGAAGTGTCGCTGCTCGATCATGTACTTTGGCAATCTTGTCAGGAGGTTTCCCTCCGTCGGCTTGCCGTGGAGTACCTCCTCGCGCCGCAGCTCGTACAGCACATCGTGCGAGCACATCCCAATCACCGTCTCGTTCAGCGACAGCGTCACCGGGTTCGACACCATGCGCACCTGCTTCGGCAGTCCCAGCTCCTTCTTGGGTAGCTGCTCCTGCGGCCATGAGACGTGTTTGCTGACTGCGTCGCGCACTGACGGGACCAGCACGATTGTGATGCTGGGCACGGCCGCCACGAGTCGCTGTAGCGGAGCTGAGATGCAATGCCGGAATACCGTCGTCAGCGTCACCGTGTCCGGGTCCACGCCGTTGATCTCCGGCAGGTCGAAATCCCCCGAGGCCAGCAGGGGATGCTCGATGTCCAGGAACGGTCCCAGCAGGACGAGACCGTCCGCGTAGCTGTCCGCTGCCTTGCGGCAAATTTCTTTCAGTGGCTCGTAGTCGAGATTATCATCTGCCGTGTACGGGCCGGCTGCGACGAGGATGTTCAAGGGCGCTGGTCCGGCGTCTTCGAGTCTCTGGTTGATGGTTTCGAGGTTGACGACTGATGAGGCGGCCGGGGGGAGAAGGGGGGTGGGGAGGACCTCTTTAACGGAAAAGTAGTTACCGGACGCATTAATGCCGCGCAGCGCCACGATCTGGCCCGGGAAGAAGTTGGCTGAGGGCACGGATTCGAGTTTCAATGGAACCCGGATGCCTGCTCCTGTGCGTCTTGATGTCTCGAGCACGAGTGATGCCGCGTTGAGCTTCCCTTCCATACTATCGGATGCGATGCGGCCGACGGCCACTATCTCGCTGGTGCTCTGAGTGGCGGCGCTGCCGAATGTGATCTCATCGCTGCCGTACTGTTTTTCAAACAATGCCATGAATTCGTCGATGCGGTCGTCCAGGATCTCCGATGCTTCGGCCAGTCGCATGGCCATGGGCTTGTATCCGAACTTCTTCAGGTCTGTGTTTGCCGTCGGTCGTATGCGGGCTTCGGAGTATGGTGCGATAGGGGCCTCTGCTTGTGGGAGATGAGAGTTGATGGTTTCGATCGTTTCGCCTGCATTCTGGCGCTGGGAGAATGGAATGGATCTGTTTGGTCAGTTGCAATCTTCCATGGTAATTCGCGCACGTACTGTAGTCCATCACCGTTTGTCTGCTTCATATTAGTACTCATCGGAGACCCATTGTGGTCGGTTCTCCCGATCTTTGAGATGGATGGCGAAGCAAAGTCGGATTTCCGCTTAGCTGAACCGGCATTGCTCCGACCAGAAGCACCTGGTGTTAATCCGTCAAGCCTGGATCATTAGTTTTCGCCCATCAATCCATTGATACTCAACGTACATGCCAAAAACATCCGACGTAGCAGCGCGCGGGGTCGCCGGCACTGCTGGTTTCCTCTCCATCTGTCTGCCTGCTTTGCCGCGGGCTTCTCGCTCCAGTGTATCCTGCACATCTTTCTTGAACAGTCGTACGGTTCCCAGGTCCATCTTCAGCTCATCCGGGCCCATTTTCAGACAGTAGGACTCCCATTTGTAGAAGAGCTCTTGCGCGGAGATGGAGTGGATGCGCAGGATTGACTGCAACTCCGTGAGGACATCCTTGGGTAGTCCATCCGGAGCAGCGGCAGCAAAGAGCTCATTGAGCTCTGTGACAGAGTCCTCCATGTTGGTTAACCCTGACTTAATGAGATGTTGGTTAGTAAACCAATATGGCTCTGCTATCGGAACTGCAATGACGCGCGACGCGTGAGACGCGCAAATTGGTTGCTGCGACCGCCTACCCAAACTAGACAGCAGCACGACCCGCGGAAACCACGCATTTTCGACTGCAATTGATTAATCCATCGGAGGTTTGCAGCTGACGATCGGTGGGCCTGCCGATCAACACTCCGCCCTGCTCAATCTTACGGCGTGAAAAAGGACACCCGGGAAGCTGCTTGCCGTTCTCCCCCTTTAATATATTCGCTGATGTCTCGCGGTTTATAAAGTTGGTGCTTCTCAGACAAGACATACACTTACACATATACACACGATCCATCTACACTAGATCCAACACAAGCTGCTTCATCATGAGCGCTCCCTCAGATTCTCCGGCCGCTGCGCCCGCCGACAATGCTCCTGCTGTCGACACCTCACAGACCACCCCTTCTGACCCATCACCTTCGAATCCTGCTGAGATCGCAGCTACCCCTGAGACTACCACTAAACCCGCAGAATCCACCGATCAAGCCAAGAAAATCGACGAGTTTGAGTCTCAATTGCCATTGTCCGCCGCCGACGGCCTTATCCAGAAGCCTTTCCCCCGCCCCCTTGAATCGGCCAAGCCGACACCCCCGGCAGAGCTCACCTCCGACCAACAAGCAAAATACAAGGATGTCCTGAAGGCTGTGTCGGAATGGACCACTGTTCCGACAACGTCCGCTAAGAATTCTCCCACCGAACCCATTACCGACAATGAGCGCATGTTCTTGACCCGCGAATGTCTGTTGCGGTACCTGCGCGCAACCAAATGGAATGTCTCCGAAGCAATTGCGCGCCTCCAGCGCACGCTCACTTGGCGCCGTGAGTACGGCGTTGAAAAGCTTACAGCCGACTACATTTCTGTTGAGAACGAGACGGGCAAGCAGGTCATTCTGGGGTATGACATCCACGGGCGTCCATGTCTGTACCTCTTGCCATCGAACCAGAACACGGAAACGAGCGACCGTCAGATCCAGCACTTGGTCTTCATGCTTGAGCGCGTCATCGACCTTATGGGCCCGGATCAGGAGACGCTGGCATTGATTGTCAACTACAAGGAGACGAAGTCGGGTCAGAATGCGAGTATCGGCCAGGCCAAGCAGACCCTCAACTTCCTGCAGAACCACTACCCAGAGAGAATGGGTCGCGCCCTTGTAATTAACAGTGAGTTGTCCCTATCTTATGCAAGCGATAACCCCTGACCACGTCAGTGCCGTTCATGATCCTCGGTTTCTTCAAGATCATCACTCCGTTCATCGATCCATTGACCCGCCAAAAACTCAAGTTCAACGAGGACCTGGGTCAGCATGTGCCTCCGGGCCAGTTGATGAAGTCCATGGGCGGTGAAGTCGAGTTCCGGTACGACCATTCGATCTACTGGCCGACGCTCAACAAGCTTGCCGACCAGCGCAGAGCAGCATACAAGGAGCGGTGGATTCAGGGCGGGAAACGTGTTGGTGAGATTGAGAACTATCTGAAGACGGGCACCAGCCCGAGTCTCTCCCAGACAGAGGGGGCGAATGGCACCGCGTAGCCTACGGCATGAAACTTCCCCTATTGTGCGACTTCCGGGTAAAAATTGTCTTTCAGTGTTCTTCGAGCGTCGGCGATTGCATGGCTGTGGCATAAAGCATAGATACGCCTTTATAATTCTTTGGCACCGTTCTCTTCGAGCTCTCGGTTAGTCTTGTGGTGTAGTTAGACACATGGCTCAAATATAATCAGCAACCTTGGCTTGTTATTCAACCTGTCGCGTTAATATTAAGGAGGCATTGATGTCGGCGTAGGTAGAGACCGGAGCTAGTCAAGCGACTCGAAGCTTTCTCCGCAGTGTCCTTGTCACGTGTGGGGATGGCGGGGCATTTATGCCTCAGGCATGTATCCCACAACCTCCCACCAGTTATTGAAGCTGCAGCAATACATATGCTGGCTAAGGAATGCTGCGGCATGTAGTGAATGCAGCCTGAGACTGACATACTGCACATATTTCAGCCTGTCAGAATGTCTGTCTGGAAAATGGACACCCTCTATGCCCGGCTCGGATGCCCCTCGTTCCTGGTGCACTCCCTCAGGTGCAATATCCGTTCGACTGGGGTCTTAATTAACTAAGATAGTAGGCAGCTTAATTAATCAGGAGATGTGATGCATCATCCCAAGCATTCTGCGCATGATTCGTCGCGCTCTGTCTTCTCAGATGATCCTAGACACCCTCCTTACTCGACATTCCATACTGATTCTCTTCCTCCCCGCCTATCCATATCAATAGGAATACTTAATTATCCCAGCGGCAGCGGCGGGATATTACCCCTGTCAACTGCATCAATCCTCGAGCTGCTATTGATCCTACAGGCCTAGGAGATCCTTTCCACCCACAGTTAACCCGACCTCTCCTCCATTCTGAATGTCTGGATGTGTTTTGCGGTCCCACGACAGTAGCGGCGCTGGGCAATCAAGATGGAGGAAGCTCCCCAGCGGGTGCCCGTAGTCCCCACGGGCAGAATGAGCAACACTTCCGGGCGGCCGCTTTCAACCACCGACGACACCTCCACCACCACAACTACTACTACCACTACGACCACCTCGACCACCTCCACCATCACTGCGCTGACTAGCACGGCTGCTGCTGCTGTTGCTCCTCCTTCTGCTGCTGCTGCTGCTGCTGCTTCTCCTCGGTCCACTCCACCTCAGCCTTACCCTCGCCCGCCCTCCTCCACCGGTTCCTATCCCTCGCCCATCCCCTCTCCTGTTCCAGACCGTCGTCCAGTCCGCGGTCACGAGGGAGGATTCGTGTATCCCGCCTCCTTTCTCCGGCCGCGAGGTCTATCACACCCAATGCCCCCCGCCCAGCCCGAAAGGGCAATCGATCGGGAAGAGCGTCAGGCCCTAGTGAGTTGCTTTGCTTTGCTTTTCCCTTCTTCTCCCCGTTGCTTGCTTTTTCCCCTCAAATCTTCCTGTTTGCCCCGCTGATGTCCAACGCGCCCTACCCCTCTTTGGTCCGCACTGCACTTCGTACATAAACCTGTTGTATCACTTTGTTTGCCATGGTTCTGGGTCTGTCATGCGTGCGCTCAATGCCAATGTGCCCTGACCTTGGCTGGCATCTGCTTGCTCGTAATTGTTTCCACAAGGAAATTAAACGGATTGACTAATAAGATTCTGGTCCATCTTAATCGCTGTAGCGTGCCATTCGCAACTTCCTCAAAGTCCGTACCAGCTATGATGTCCTTCCGCTCAGTTTTCGACTTATCATGTTCGATACGTCGCTGTCTGTCAAGGAGAGCTTGAACATCCTCATACAGAACGGCAAGTCTTCCTCCCACCCGCTTTCCGCGCCTCCGCGGGCTATGCGCACCGTGAGTGCAACCTCTCTGACTGGAAAGGGTACATAATACAGGTATCGTTTCGGCTCCGTTATGGGATTCTACTTCTTCGACCTTTGCCGGCCTCCTTACCACGTCCGACTACATCAATGTCATTCAGTACTACTACCAAAATCCCGAGGCTTTGAACCAGATCGATCAATTCCGCTTGGATAGTCTACGAGGTGCGCCTTGTGTTTTTGCAACTGGGTATACACAGGCTGACATTCCTTTCCAGAGGTCGAAAAGGCGCTCCATGTGGCGCCTCCCGAAACGATATCCATTGACCCAGAGCGGCCGCTCTACGAGGCCTGTCGGCGCATGCTCGAGTCTCGCGCCAGGAGGATTCCTTTGGTTACTTTCGACAGTCAGACCGATCGAGCCCTCGTTCTGAGTGTTCTCACCCAGTACCGCATCCTAAAGTTTGTCGCCGTCAACGTCAATGACACGCAGAAGTTACGGAAACCCCTTGGTGAGATCTTGCTGGGCTCGTATCACAATATCGCAGTCGCATCGATGGATACACCTGTCATTGACGTGATTCACATTCTCGTCTCACGGAGCATATCAAGTGTCCCCATCATCAATACTGAAGGTAGGCGATACTACGTTGAAACGCGCATGTATGTGTACTGATTTCTATATTTTCGCAGGTGTTGTGTACAACGTCTTCGAAGCTGTCGACGTGATAACGTTGATCAAAGGAGGTGTATATGACGATCTGAGTCTAACGGTGGGTGAGGCGTTGAAGAAGCGATCTCCGGTATGTTCTATTTTGAAGGTTTCTGGTACCCTTGGCTCACTGCTCCAGGACTTCCCCGGTATCTACACATGCTCCCTGAACGATGGTCTGGATACCATTTTCGACACGATTCGCAAATCCCGTGTACACCGCCTGGTTGTGGTGGACGACAACTTCCGGCTAAAGGGTGTCCTAACCTTGAGTGATATCCTCCAGTATATCCTCTTGGAGGGTGAGAATGACGAGTCATCATGAACAATGTATTTTGCGCTTGTCGCGCAGCTACGCATATTTACAACTTGCATGGAAAGGCGTTCTTGCGTGCCAGTGTCGGTTCCGGGACTTCCTTGGTTGGCAACGGTAGCCCACTTGCACGACATTGACTTTATTATACGGTTCTACCCTCTTATATTGCTTCTTGGTATTTGAGCACTTGGGCTTTTGTCCGTCTTCTTTGAAATGCAAAAGTAGACGGTACTTTATGGCGCAAAGGTCTATATCCCGGTTACAAAGGCACTCGTGTACACAATACATCTAGACATTGTCATTGAACTTCAGCTGTAGAAATTTGGGCAGCTCGCCGTGAGAAGTCGGTTGTTAACTGTGAGCATGGCTGTTGCAGATGTCATAGCAAGTAACTCCATGCGGCTTCTGCCGTTAACAGGCAAAGTGCTCACCATCAATCTTTAGCGTTGTATATTCCCTGTCCAAGTTACGTGATTTACATTCACATATGTGGACATCTATTGCGGCCTCCCCGGCCAGTCCGCATTGTCAATGAGTCTGGCTGGTGAATGAAGCCTTCCTCTCGGGTCCTACTATCACCGAACAACAGAGGAAAGAGCGATCCTCACACTGATATAGCAACCCCCCAGTTCACACCACACCGAGCACTCACCTCTATAACGATTATTGCATCTTCCTGCTCTACCATACCTAATCACTTGCGCAGCCTCCTGCAGCAATGGATACTTTGGAAACCCCCAGCGACAGCTTGAAACGATCCATGAACAAGAGGTTATCACTTTCCGCGCCATTTTCGTCGGTGAATGCGGGGCTAGCTGCCTCTCTCGGGGTAAGGGATATAGCAAAGCATCATGATAGTAGGAGGAATACGATTCTTTTGCCAAAGGATGTGGCAGCTCACCAGAGGCCCGCCCAGGACTTGATTTCAGCAGAGAAGAGTTCCAGATTGACAGGCCTCAAAACGCTGTTTCGCTCGCGCAAGTCGCAGCATCTTCGACTCGAGTCGGGCTCGTCTGGTTTGTCTGGTAAGCCTACTATTGTGGTGGAAGAGGGTTATAATGAGGATCATACGGCTACTGGCCATCTGGAGAATCAGCAGTCCGTCGGGCTTCAGGTCACACAGGCAAGCGACCTCCTGAATGGAGATGCCGATAGAAAGGTCAGTGATAAGACGGTGTACTCGCTCAGTTCGGATCTAACTAGTGTGACTGTCTGCCATGATCCGTCGAAGCGCACGTCTATGCCCATTGCCCTGGTCGATCAGGACTGTCTTTATCATAATCCTTACAGTGATATTCAGGAGGCGTCTCATTCCACAGCCCAGTCCAGTGTCAATCTTGAGGACCTTAAGGGGGCTACTTCGTACTCTAGCAGACAGCATAGTTCAGAGCGCAGTGGTGCGAGTGGTATGTCGACATGCCCCATTCGGACTACAGAGAAGCCAGAGAATCCCTTTACGCACACCCGATCCTACAGATCACGGGGCTCATCAAGGCAGAGTTCGGACTTTGCCGCCTCGCTTGACGACAGTTACGCATTGGCACAAGGGGATCGCCACGCGGCTATTATAGCGTTCAATGAGCTGGCCAGTAGATTGCGTCTTGAGCCGCTGGAGGTCGACGAGACTCTTGGTACTCATGGAGGTGCTGAATGGGGTCAGGTGTCAGGTTTGTGTGCCCCAGAGCAGAAGATCAACAGGTGTTCTACCAGTCTCTGACGACATAGCAGCTGAACGATCTCCTGATAGTCGTCAATCTCATACAGCCACCGGAGATGATCATCCCAGACGTCGGGATAAGTTCTACGGACGCATACGAACCATGCGGTCGACGCTCCAGCTCGGATCGTCAGACGCACCCCGCAAACGAACCTTGCGTCGGATGAGGACATTCGCCAGCCTTTCGCGCCGATCGGCCGATATGACTTCATTGAAGGGCAAACCCCTGGAAGACCTGGCTCGACTGGGAGGGTACAATCTGCTCAGTCTTCCGGCCGACTTTGCTCCTACGAAATTGAGGCTACCCGTATGCTTTGTGGCGATTATCACCTATCTGGGATGCTTTGGTAGGAATCCACAATGCTCCACCAGGATACTCTATCCGTCGCAGGCTATTGGTTTGTTGACGTCATTTATAGCTCCTACCGTACGAAACGTCTTTGTCGACGCCGGGGATCCGAAACTAGCGGCGCGGACGTACGACTACTACGCCAATCAGGTGCACTCGGCGGAAAAGCAGCAAGACAAGATCCAAATGACGGTTGCGAGTGGCACGATGCCGGCGAATGTGGTGGACCCTCTGAACCGGGATGGGGATAGTGGCGACGCCATTCGAGTGTTGAGCGTGGCATGGGCGTTCAAGGCTCTTCTGTCCGGGCTTCCAGGCGGGATTCTAGGGTCGGGCCGGCTTTATCGAGTGCTGGTCAAAATTTGCCAGGGCCACCTTACGAGTGAGCCAATGGAGCGGCGGAGGAGCTGCCTCGGGGGGCTGTCGCCCCGAGGTTACGTCAAGGTCAAGGCCATGAGTCTGGCGATTCTGGCGCTCAGCGACTCGATGCAGCTGAACCTGATCTGTGGAGTGTTTGGACTCAGCGCGCTCTTGCTGCATGAGACGCAGCGGCTGATTGAGCTGGAACGCCAGGGCTTTCGGGGCAGCGTCTGCCGGGCCAGTATTGGGTCGGGGCTGCTGAACCTAGACCGACTGAGTGGAGTGCTGGCGCCACTGCTGACGGAACGCGAGGGGGAGGAGACTCATGAGGATACGTTCCGGGCCATTCAGCGCGAGATTGAGGGCCAGCGGGTTGCAGCGATGTTGATCGGAAGTTGGCGGGGGGTGAGTCGACAACTGCGGATCTGGGAGCATCGGGGGGCCATAGCGCATCACCATGGATTCTCGCGAACGTTTAGCGGGTCGGCGGAGGTGTGATGAGACCAGGGTGATCCAGCATGATAGTGTGTCCTTGTGTAGGCGAGAGTACTTTGTGTAAAGTTTGAAGAGGAATAGCAAGGAAGAGAGAAGAAGACAGAAGGGGAGGGGGGGAGGGGAAAGCAGGAAAGGAGGTGGATGATAGATAGTACGACGGGGACATGGGGCACAGGCCCAGCGGAGCCGAGGCAGCATCCGGTTCTGGGAGCAGGGCAAGTGGAGAGAGCGGAGCCATGTAGGGTCGGCGATAGCAAAAAATGAGACCTCATTGCTGGGCCCGACGGGAGGTTTTGGAGCAATCATGAAGCAGTATGGCGACCGTTTGGACGGGGCGGCAGGAACCTGAAAGCATCCCTGTTAGCAGTGCATAATAAGCCTCCGAATGGGGGATGATTGGCGGGGACTGTGTCGTGGCAGGACTGGATTAAGGCCAGGACCTTTTACCGGATACATCGTGTGTCTACTACAATCGTACTCTGTATGGAGTAGCAAAACAAGATAGCAGTTTTGTGTTTATTGCAGTTATCAGAGTAGAGGAGGAGGAGTAGTAGTAGTAGTAGTAGTAGTAGTAGTAGTAGTAGTAGTAGTAGTAGGTAGTAGGTAACTAGGTATATCCAAGTAGTTTGTATTGATCTCTAGTATATCTCCCACCCAAAGAGGAAAGTGGGGCAAATCAGGATCCAGATATCAGCAGCAGCAAGCAGAATGACACACACACACACACACAAAAGCGAAAGGAAAAAGAAACAAATAATGAAACCAAAAATTGTGACTTTGATCCTGGAACAGGCAGGCAAGCTACAGGCAACGGTAGGCCTACTGTTGGTCCAGCCCAGGTAGGTAGCCTAGCATAGCCTAATCTACAAAGTATGTATCCCAAACCCGAATCCTTGGAAACATGGAAGCAAGCGGGCGAGCGGGTCTCCAAGCCGGAGTACTTGACTTTTCTTCTTTCTACTTTTACCCGTAGATAGTAGATAAATAACTAACAGATTGGGGGGAGGAAAGGGGGAACGGGATGGATGGATGAATTGGAAGGGGAACCGATGGTCGAGATCAATCCCGGGGGGCGCGGGAAGTCAACCTGTTCAGTAACTTAGCAAGATGTTGGATTGGAACACTGGAATGTATGATAGGATGGGGATGATCATCCTTCGGTACTGGACTGTAGGATAGGAAGTGCAAAGTGGAAAAGTACTGTGTGTTGCGGTTATCGATTACTATCCTTGGTTTAGTATTATTTGTTTATCCTTGTATGGTTTTGTTGTGTAGTAGTAGTGGGATAGTGGATTGTGGTTGGTGGTTGGTGATGTGGGAACGAATTAACTGTATAGAGTATCTTCTCTGTGGGTTGAGAGCTGAGCTACTGTCGATCGGTGGATCGTGGTTCGTTGGAGGAAAGAGCCGGGCCGTGGGGATGGATTATCGTGCATTGGTAGTAGATACTACGTACTTACTTAGCTGCTAAGTAGATAGACTGGAGTTGAAGTACTTTACTTGAGACTTGATTTGTGTGCCTTCTTTGGATCTAGATAGATAGTAGCGATGTATGAAGCGGCTCGGTTAATTGTGCGATGCATGTATGCATTGTCAAGGAATATATCATGATTCAGGATGATGGTTACGCGTCTTATGCTGATTCATTCGATTTTGTGCAGATTGGTTCGTTAGTGGTAGATAGGAGTTGCTTGGACGATGACGGTCCTCGAAAGGATAATATATTATTCATTGTCGAATTAGCAAACAGATTTGTTCGTCTCGTGGATAGTTGGTAAATTCTACAAAGTATCACTTGATTGATTTGATAATCTTCACTGTTGAGGGGCCTTTGAGTTGTGTGTTGTGTGGAAAAAACCAGTTCTAACCCTGAAAGCGAGATCCGTTGGCGAGAGGGGAAAACATAATTAGGATAATTTATCTGATGCAACTTGATGAAAAGAGTAAATTCGATATTTCTGACTTGGATCATGCCAACTGGCAGGGAAGTCAACCGAAGGAGGAGGGGGGGAGGGAATAGCTCATGTGGATCCCTTCCAACTTGAACTACTTTCCCCCCTTCCACTAGCATGGAAATATAATATATTCTACTATATATAAATAAATAAAAATAAAATATGTGGGAAAGTCGCATAACTCCGATCAAGGAACCGGGAGAGAAATCAGAAATCGAGACCACTCTTTTCTTATCTTCAAATACTACAGGACTTGCTGCATTGGGGGAGAAACAGAGTTTGATGGGGGAAACTGACTGGAACTGACTGACCTGCCAACTTCAGCTGCCCGCCCGTCGGGAACTTCAAACCGCCAATCAGCATCGTCCAAAGCACGACTTGGCTTTCCCTGAAACCGGACATCCACCTCGTTTTTCTTTCTTTTTCCCCTCTAGTCTAGTCACGGTCGACTGTAGTCTTTCCTTGTCATGAATGAGGGATATAACTAACTAATCACCAAGTACAAGATCAAGGACTGATTGAGAATTTTTTATTAACTGAATTAATTAGCTGTGAAATACTTCCCGATCATGTTCTAATTTCCCCCTGGCTGGTTTGGGAATGGAAATCGTTTGCTGGTGGAACCGGACGGGGAAGACGGAACCCTGTACTCTTCTTTAAGGGCCAGGGTATGAGTGGGTTTCCTTCATGAATGGATGACGTTGGTTGATGATGATGATATCAGACAAGAAAGAACACTCTATTAAGGTTCTCTCGGAGTCGGAGAACTGTCGGCGGAGACGATGATGTGGGCTGATCTGGTGGTTGTGTGGATTTTTGATCTTGGTTTGATTCATACTCAGAATCTCACTTAGGATGGCTATTTTATGATCGAAGTTATCTGGGGTAACAAGAAGGAGACTAAGGTAGCTGCCACTAGTTTCCTTAGTAGGAAAACCATCTAGATGACTGTAGCTCCCGTGGACAATTCGCCAGGTACTTACTAGCATCATCTAGTGTAAGATGTAGATGCAAAGTACATTTGCAACTCCAGTACTTCTTCCCAACCCCTTCAGCTGGGATGGCAGCATCTGTCATGTCCACCAGCTGCGTAATCGTGCATCCGCTAAGGGATCTTGTCCTGCCCCTGATCGTCGCATCCTTACTGCTTCTCGCCTTTTCTCGCATGCTCTCTCGTGGAGTCTCCAGATCTCCATCTTCCCATTGACCCAGTTCACCCAGTTCACACCCCTCCTCCCTCCCCCCATGATGTCAACTTGCCGGTTCTGGCCAGGTCTCGTCCACTGGATGCCTTCTCTTGGCTACCCGACGCCGGAACTTCAACTGCCCCAATCATCAAGAAAATATTCTTATTCGGGGAGTTGAAGCTTCATCTGTCATCTGTCTCCTCTCCTCCCTTCTCTCTCTCTTGCTTTCTCAACTTGACTCCGAGTCCTATACAAAACACCAACTGCTGCTTGTACTATCCTCCCCGACCTTGCATCCACACAACAATCCACAACAGCTTATTCCCTGCCACTTGCGCAACCACTTGGGAGCTTCCTGTTGGTAAAGTAAGTAAAAGTACTACTCTCACTCTCTCTTTCTTCTCTTCCATCCAATCCTCATCCTCACCCTCCCCAACTCTTTTCTCTCTTTTTCCTTTTCTCCTCTCGTTTCATCTCCTGTCCTCCCCTCGTATCACTTCCCACATTGACTTCGATCCGGATTTCCCCTCCTTCTCTTTTCTATCCGTGGTACTCCCTCCCTCCCTCTTTCCTTTTCCCTCCCAGTCTTCCTCCCCTATAGCTCTTCTTTCCTCTCTTGACTCTGCCGACTCTTCCGTTCCGTGGACCTCCCCGTTACATTTCCACCTTACCCCTCCTCTGCCCTTGACTCTGATTTCTGATTCTGGATCTCCTGCAGATTGCCTGACGAAGCTCTCTCTCTCTCTCTCTCTCCCAGCTCCACTCTGGTCTCGCCCAGTTCCCTGATTTTCCTGGTCCAGTTCCGCTGCTGGCTCCAGTCTCCAGTCTCCAGAAGGGATCCCTACTGCCAGCCCCCGTTCTGGACAACACACTCTCTCCAACACTTCCCCCCCACTTCGGTCCTGTCGGGATATATTCTCCTGGCCAACCTTCCTTCTGAACTGGTTGGGGTTCTCCAGCCTTTTACCTTCCCGCTTGTTCTTGACTTGTCAGTGCATTGTTCATCCTTTGTTGCTTTCTCTCCCGTCCTCGCAACCGTGGTAGCTGCTTACCATCACTCGTACCTGCCGTGGTCATCTTCAACTCGGTCACCCTTGTCTGCTCCTGGGCTTGACAGGATCCTAGGACCCGTTGTTCCAGGTGCCAGTCTGTGCTTTGGAGCGGCTTTGCTCACTTACTTTCGGTCTTGTGCTTCCGGTCTGCTCTGGCATCGCGGTTGGAGCTTTAAAATACCATCCATTCTCCTGCCCTTCCTTCGCCACAACCATCCTCTACTACCTCTCAATAGCTACTTCTCTTTCTCTCCTTCTTCCCTCCTAAATATAAATTCCGATCTTCCCGGCAATCGGTTCTGCTCTGCCTTCTGGTTAGTCTAAACCAGGTTTCACCCTCAACATGGCGGATCAGGCCTCTTTCGGCCGGCCGGTTGTTCCTGGCGAGACTGTGGTGTCCAACGAAGCGGTTATGCCTGGCCCCGTCAGCGCGGCTCCTTCTCAGTTCACCATCGCTAATTCCTACATGACGACCGACATTCTTTCCATGTCTTACCAAGGCGGGGAAGAACAGACTCTCTTTGCTTTTAGCCCTGTGTCTCCTTCACTGCAGGGCTGGTCGGCGAAGAATGACCCGCAGGTTTTCACCAATCCGGGTCTAGAGCGAGGCTTGAAGAACTCGCATGTGCGCAACGGTCAGCCCACGCCCCCGCCATTCGACGACAAGAGTGTCAATGGGGTCGAGGAAGTCTATTCCTTGTCTCAATACCACCAGCCGTATGACGGGGCTGCCTATGCCAACCCCACCCCCCGTGCGAGCTTCAGTCAGCCGGCCGTTTCCGACGCGCCTCAACCAGCGCCCAAGCGTCGCAAGACTAATGGCACACTCGATTCGTCTTCACCCGACTCCGGTGACAAGCTGAGCGAAAAAGCGAAGCGGGAGAAATTCCTGGAGCGCAATCGACTGGCAGCGAGCAAGTGTCGCCTGAAGAAGAAGAAGCAGACGGAGACTCTCCGAGATCAATTCAAATTACTCTCCGAGAGGAAGGATTATCTGACTCGTTATATTGACGCCCTGCGTAGCGAGATCCTCCTGTACAAGAACTACTTACTGGAGCACGCCCAGTGCAATGATGAGGCCATTTCGATGCACCTCAGCACAATGGTGAAAAACATCACCCAGCAGGACTCACTGGGGGCGTCCGACCTGAAAACGGACCTCAATACTCTGACCCCTTCGAGCTCCAGTCGGACAACCCGCTCGCAGGACCTCTCCTTTGGCTTTGATAGCCCCATCCAGATGCCCTCAAAGATGGGCTCCCTGGAACCCACTCCTCGCCGGGACTCGGAGCAGACCCTGGCGAGTGACGCGTCCTTCTCCTTCTCGACTCCCAACAATGACGCCTTTGAGGATTTGCTCGATGTCTAGATTCTATATCCATCATTCTCTATACATTGCCCAACACCATGTCTGGGCTCAATGGCGGCTGGTGTCGTTTCATTTTTGTCTTTCACCATCAGCTCTTGATGGCCAAATGACTGGCGACTGCATGACGGCGTTCTTTCTTTTCTTGCTAATTCCCCCAAACAAAAAGCACGTGGTTTGGGTGGGACCTTGTGATTGCTGGTTCAGGTAATATTCTTGTTTTTTTCTCGCTCAGGTAGCTGGCGACTGTGGCGATGTTTCAGTTAGGTAGGTTTTCTGTATGGTTTCGAGACCAACATGGTTGTGTTAACACTTGCGGGAGGGGGCGTTTTGGGAACTGCTTGGGCAAAGGAACACGAATTGCTACGATGATACGAGTGTACGCTAGTTGCTGTGTGGGTTCCCAGTAGCTAATAATAATCAATATTTAGCTCAATGAGGGTTTTCCTTAATTGTTCGTAGACTGCATAGACATAGTAGTATGATAGATGGCGCTCACATGACTGGCGGACCTATGAAGAGTATAGATCGATGGTTCTATGTCCACTTAGGACTAGTTTCCGCATTTAGACTCGTTTCATGTGCATACTACGGGGGGCAGTCTAGATAATTCTGAAAAATAGTACGTTCAGTTATCAACCATTTGGTGTTTTGCTAGCCATATAGTATAGCCAGCTAATATCATCATTATATGCCAGCTAGCCACTCGTCCAGCCAGCCAGCTAATCTATCTCGTATCAAAGAAATCCCAGAGAAAACATCCCGAATAATTTTCTACCATTTAACTCTATGAATAAATGATCCATACATGGGAATATATATATATATATATAATGGGTGAATAACTAAACCTCCACCCGCTCCTCACTCGTCTTCGCCCCCGCATCATCAGGAGAACCAATATCATCCTGTTCGTATTCACGGTCAATTTCCTGCTCCCCGACCAGCAGGGCGGACGATAGTGAGTCATCGTGGAGCTTATCGTCGTCTTTGAAAAGCGCATCGATCTCCTCGAGGGATCGGCCGCGCGTTTCAGGTAAGAAGAACCAGACGAAGGCAGCGAAGCTGGCGTCTAGAATTCCGAAGATTAGGAAGGTGGCCCATTTGGCACCGGCCAGGACGTACGGGGTCGAGAATGACCAGACGAAGTTGGAGAGCCATTGGGCGGCGACGGCGATGGCGACACCGGGTTCGCGGATGCGCGTGTTGAAGAGTTCGGCGGTGCAGGGCCAGGGGAGGGGGCCCCAGGAGAGGTTGTAGAAGACGATGGCGAGGTAGATAAGGGAGACGGTTAGGAGGCCGCTGTTGGTGATGGTGGGGGTGGTGTCGGAGTTATGTGTGGATGGGTGGGGTGTGGGGACGTTGGTGGATTTTACTACCACTGAGGTGGTTATCATGCAGATGGACATGGCGAGCGCGCCCAGGATCAGTAGTGGTCGGCGGCCGAATCGGTCGGCGACCCATACGATGAAGATGAGACAGCCGATTACTTTCAAGCCGCCGAAGATGCCGGTTAGGAGGAGGGTCAGGTGGGCGTTGTTGCCTACGAGAAGGGCGAAGAATTGCGGACCGAAGTAGGCGAGTGCTGTTGGGCCCATGGATTGTTGGGCTATGAACAGGCAAACGGCTAGAGCGAGTCGGTGGCTGTTGGACTTGCTGAGGAGCTCTCTCGGAGAGAAATCGGCCGTTGCGTGCGCGTCACGCTCGATGCTGGATTTCATTTGCTGGTACTCGGCGCGCACGTGTGGCCCGTTCGATGAGCGGATCCAGGTTAGGCTGTCCCATGCTTTGGACTCGTTCTTGTCGTGGTCGTGTGAGAGAAGCCAGCGCACGCTTTCGCGGAGCGTGAGCATCCCCAACCCCATGAATGCGCCGGGAATCAGCTGTACGGCGAACGGAATCTGCCATTGCAGGGCATTGGCGGGAGCGAACTGCATGCCATAGTCGATCCAGTAGGAGACGAGGATGCCGATAGTGAAGGCGAACTGATAGCAGCTTCCGAGCCGGGCGCGCTTGTCGGTGGGACTCATTTCCGAAAGATAGATGGGGATGACGGTTGCGGAGCCGCCGATCCCCAGTCCGCAGATGACGCGGCCCACGTAGAAGACGGATAGCGAGTGGGTATCGAGGAGCTCGAAGATGACCCCCGTACAGAAGATGAGGGAGCAGACAGCCATGGCCGGGCGACGACCAAGGCGGTTTGTGAAAGGCCAGATAATCAGGCAACCAAGCAGCGCAGAGGCTTGCTGGACGCCTACTGCGATAGCACTAACTCGTGTCTCATCGGCGGCGGTATACCGAAAGGAGCGATGAAAGGAGCCGAAGGTGAGAACTCCGCCTGGATTTGATTGATGAGCATGGCGTGCGGTGAGTCTTCAGGAGACTACATACCAATCACACCCGAGTCATAGCCGAAAAGAAGGCCACCGCAGCAGACGATTGCCGTGAGCCAGTAAAGGCGAAAGGCGCTTTGGCTGCCGGACGGCGGTGGATCATGATGGCTGGGATCGTGGAGATCAGCATCCTGGGGGAGTTCGGAGTAGGGCCTCATTGTGGGCCATGTCGCGAGGGAGAGAACGCGACAGCCACAATGGCAGAGATGCAAGACTGCAGATGGAGAGGAGAGGGGACGTGAGGATGGAAAGTGAGGAAGTAAATACAGGCCGATGGAGACTGGCGGGGAGTCAGATGACGTGCGCTTACGTGGTCAGGAGATCTGCGACGCGTTTCGAGTTGATGTTCATCCACTCCTGAGCGTTCTGCATCCCTTCCTGGTGTCCACTTTTCCTCTGCTACGGCTACTTACTGTCTTCTAGATCATCACGAAGAAGTCAGTAAATAGCTCCCGCCGCACGCACCGCGAGTCCGCCCATGTCCGCGACGCATCTTGTCGTCGCGTCATCTCCTCTAGCAGTAGCAATGCTTTCCCCGCATGCGGATGTCGCGCCGTACGAGAGCTTCCACGGATGCGCTCGGGATCCTGACAGCGACTACTACAGCTGCCAGTAATCCGCTGCATCTCTTTCACAATCCATCTTCGCTGCTCCAACGATCCCTCGAGACCAGCCACAAATAACGGCCATACAAAGCTGGCGGGCAGATGTTGCTGATTGCTCCCGGACTCCACCTCAGCAGTTGCCAACTGAATAATCCGATCCACTGCGCGATGCACTCGGTCAGTCCGTGGGTAGATGGCGAACGCAACCCGGTGTAGATAGATAAAGATCGCTAAGAAGTTGGCGATGTACTGTCGGAACATCCGGCAGATTTCGATCGCGATAGCAGGCTGTAGAGTATTAAAGAGGTCCTCAGGCGTACTGTAGACGTCTAGCACGCGCGGACGCCGGTTCCAGAGCGTCTCGAGGTCGGCCCCGACCTGGTGTGCTATCTGGAGCACCTCAAACTCGTCACTGACAGTGCCACGACTGCGGTGATGCAGGTCGATGCACACGATCCGTCGGATAACCTGTTGTGTTTGCAGGAAGAAGCGAAAGGCCGGGCCTGTGATGGCTTCCCGCATAAGGTATGCAGGCTTCGGTGGCTCCTCATCGCCGCTATTGTCGGCCCATTTGTCTTCCGTGGCCAATTCAGACGTAGTGCTTGCCTTGGATGAAAGGCTGCCCAGGTCAATCAGCGGGTCGCCATCACGGCCAGCTATCAGTGCTTTGACATCCAGCAATGACACCCACGACACAATCACATTGCTCACACCGGTCCACAGCTTGGTGCGGTGGTGAAACCGCTGCAGCAGAAGATATGCAGAGTGGAGAAAGGACGTTCCTGAGCCCCATAGATCAGGGGTAGACAGGAGCTGTTTCGTAAGCCCTTCAGCCGTGGTTGAATTATCAGAGGAAACTTGAGAAACACTCACCTCTGCCAGCATCAACAATAATACCGTAGTAAACACCCTCTTCAGTACCGTCTCCCCTACTTCACCCAGCAAGCACGACTGAACTTCCGAACAGGCCAGCTGATGATACCTCGACGCCAACTTCCACGCTTTCCCCTCAACCAACGCCTCATGTATCTCCGCGTAGCAATAAATCCCATGTAAAACTGCGCGACTATCGCGCGACTGTGCAACAACATTAGCACGCACGTACTCCCAATCCAAATCCACCGGCCCAAATATCGTAGGCGGCGGGTCCCCCTCCACGAAATGTGCAAACAACCGATCCTCATACGTCAACCGACCAGGGCCACCACCACCACTACTACCACCACCACCGCTTGTATCGGAAGAAGACCCTTGCTCTGAACGATCACCGTGGATGACTGAAACTGAGCCCGCGTCCCAACTTATCGGCCGTTCATTCTGGTCGAGTTCCTCGTTCGCGATTGCCGCCGGAACCGAGCCCGCTGGGAACCCCGCCAGGCCATTCGTAGTCAAATCGAGATGTTTCTGCTGAAAGTCGGAGGTGATCTCGCCGATGAAACTGAGGATATCAAACGAGGTGATATTATCCGTACCTAGGGGTTGCTGCTGTTGTTGTTGAGGGCGATTGCTGGGACCGACCTGCTGCGGGGATCCTGAATTCGATGTTGAAAGTCGGTCATTGCAGAGAACGGTGTGGAAGAAGTTCACGTCTGGACGGTCGGATGAGGTGGTGCTGGCGGTGCTGGTGGGGGCCGATGCTGCGCTCGCGACTGTGCCTGAGCTTTGACTGCCATGCCGTTGTCGCGGGATGACCGTCTGAATGGTGGTTTTGTAGGTGCATTGCAGTCGCAGGCGAGTGCAATTGGCACACGTGGGTTTAGCCTCGTCGCAACGGACTTTACGTGCCCGGCAGGTCAGACAGCCCGTGCGGCGTCGGGGTCCTGATCGGCCCATTCCGCGAGCTCGAGGAGCCTTTCGCTCGGTTAGCAGGTGCATTTTCTAAGTGTATCAAGGCTTTGGGGATGCGATATTACCTCCATGACGGGTGTGGGGAAGGCATGGTTGAAAGAGGAGCTGCGCAGCTGAGATGGTGTGATTGTTGGGGGGAATCAGGAACGAGATGCTCGGCTCCCCGCAGCGGTCCGCCTCGTCTTATATTTAGTTGTGTTCATACAGTTTAGACTCTCCCAGGAACAGCTACGTCAGAAAGCTTTTTTTATTCATATCTCATGGCACTACATGCATTCTATC